TCGCTTGTGTCTGAGGAAAACCCTGTGTGTTGACGAAGAGGTTGACTTGGCTGTAGAGTGAAAGTACCACATGGTCACATGGTCCACAAAATCTTAGAACTACTTGTAACTTAGGGTCTTCTGGCGTATGGTATAATTATATGAGCAGCATGAGAGTGAAGTAAAAGACTATTAGCTCAAACATTCAGTCTTTCAGGAGTAGGTGTTTCATCACGGAATAGGTTCTGCAGTTCACTTACACACTGCCACAATGGACCAGCAGTGTCCAGCATACAATAGAGTCATGTGAATATGTACCGTATGCATACTCACAGCTGCAAGGCCAGCGCCCCGTGGCTGCTTGACTTCTCAATCGATATAAATATTCACAACAGTAAGACTCTGTGATCAATCAGAGCTGTGCTTCGAAGTAGTCACAAATGCCCCATGATCTGTCACAAAACAAAACTTGGCAACCAGTCACAGCTTCCACGGTGCCCCAAGACCAGTCACCAGAAATGACCGTAGTAAATCTGCAGGGAGTTTCATAATCTGTTCATTGCAGAGTCCACTATGCTATGATTCAAGAGGGGGGTAGCGTTCCTGCGGATGCGGAAAACTTGACTGGAGCCCGAGTGTCACGTGAACCCTGATTTTTAAGACTTATTATTTGTTTTACGATGAGCCTATTATACGCGATACAGGCTCAGAACACACTTTTCGTCTAGTTGGCATATCAGGGATATAGGGCGGAGCAGCCCATATCCCCAATTATGACACGCGAGTAATAGTGAAATACGATTGGCGTATTGTGCTGGACTGACTGCGGTAATGTAAAGCTAAAATAAAGCAGTCAGTTTGCCCTTAGCATGGCCTTGTCATGAGGGTGCCACATCCGTGGAAAGGCAACATGCCGGCTAATCTCCCTGAGAAGTTGAGTGGTTATCAGCAGGCGATAACGCTGTGTCGATGATGACCTGTTGATGCCCGACAGGAACCTTGCGAGGAGAGTCATTGGGCCTGACGGGTAGGTAAAGCCAACTTCCACATGAAGTTTGCGGATGGCCGACATGTAGACATGGACAGATCGGGCCTGAAAAGTTCTGAACAACTCGGCAGCAAAATAACACATAAAGTAAAAAGTCATCACCTGGCAATGGATTCCAGTCATGCCCTTGACAGAACTGGAAGTAACGGGTATCGGCGGAAAAAATATGTCCGGCTGGTGCCAGTGCTGCTAGCTGCAGCACGGAGTCCGGCAACTGAGAGTTGGCAAGACTGGCTGATCTGGCTCAGCTGCTGCTTCCGGAGCCCTCAATGGTTCAAACACCATCGGCGCAGGCCACGATTTTCGGCACCGACGATTTGTTCGTCCACCAAAAGTCGAAACAAATGTTTCTCACTTGAACACTCCGTAGAGCTGCCGCTGTTGTGCCAAGGCCCATTGGCGCATGGTGTGTATACTCCAAATCTACATGTATGATGATGGGTCACTGCTGACGTTTCTGCTCTTGGACAGTGCAACGCCGCATGAAGATATGTTGTGGCTCTACAATCGCTGAGAACGCTAGTGTGCGTCCATGGAATACTAAAACACAATAGGCGCGGCGCAGCTAACGCCCACTTGGATGAATCGGAGTGGTGGCGAGTGCATTCTCCTTCCTCGGTGAACACTGCTGGTCACCCTGTTTGATGATCCACCAAACACCATCGGTGCAGGCCGTGTTTTTTCGGAACCAGCCATTTATTCGGCCACCAACAATAGAAATTAATGTTTCTCACTTGAACACTCTGTAGAGCTGTCGCTGTCGTGACAAGGCCGTGTATACTCCAAGTCTACATGTAGGATGAAGAGTAACAGTTACTGCTGATAATGAAGTTTGCGCTCGTGGACAATACAACGCTGTGTGAAGTAAATTGTGGCTCCACAATCGCTCTGAATGCTAATGTGTGTCCATGGAATACTAAAACACAATAGGCGCGGTGCAGCTAACGCCCAACGTGGATGAAACGGACAACAGCAGCGACTAGAGCGTTCTCCTTCCTCGGTGAACACTATACAAGACATTATGCTTGATGATTCACCAAACACCATCGTTGGGGGCCAAGTTTTCCGGCGCCAGCGAGTTGTTCGTCCACCAACTTACTTTGATGAGTCCTTCTTCAACACTTCGTAGAGCAGCCGCGCAAGGCCTTTCCTTCGCGTTAGGGTAGCGATCCTTCCTAGATGATATCGCTATTCATTGTTACTTTTTACTACAATGAGTAGTGTTTCTCCGAAAATAAAGTCAGCTGCCTGGGCATTGACTGATTAGTGCTGCCTAGGCCTAGCGCCTGGACTTGGAAAAAATTTGATTTTGCAAGTCTTCAATCATGTTTGCATGTACGCGCTATCCAGCCATGTGGCGTGAACAGATAGCCTGACGTGAAAGGTAGCGCGGGCGCGCGCGAGTCGGCAAAAAGCGTACGTCCGCGTACGCGGACGTGTCTGACACGTGGAACGAAAATATTTTTTTGGCGGGTAGTCGGCAAAAATTAAGTGACGGTCCCTTTAGTCCTTCGCTTGTACGTCATCACTCCGCTGGTCGCTATGGCAACGTGAGCATACAATTGGCGATTTGGCAAGTTTGGCTTATCGTATGGAAACGAGAGATATGCCATTCGAACCGATATCAAATAGTCTTTCTTCTGGACCCTACTCGAAAAATCGATGCACTTCCCCTTTAACCCTTTACCTTCTGACCATAATTCCCAGGCATTTCCAAATGCGATATTTCTCACCTCATTCTGAGAATATCTTTGGTTCTAATCAACCCATTTTCACAATCGTGGGCATTCTGGAAAGCTCTCCACGAGCTGCGTACAATGAGCTCAAACTGGACACTACTGAGATCACATATCCCACGCCAGGGTGCTTCAAACACTCCCCATCGCTGGATATCCGAGAAAATTCTCTCCTCGTCAGCCATTTCTCACTCCTTCATCGTAAGCATTTCAAATTTGTTTGCCTGAGTTTCTTTTTATGCTGCCCACGCGCTCAAAGCATGCGCAGGTGACTCAGCATATCAGGAGAGGGAAAATCCCCAGCTCAAGGCCAGTCACACAGAAAAAAATTGACTTTTGCCGTGGCTGAAATGTCGAGTGCGATATCTTTGGAATGCGACATCGCAGCTCTTCGCCGATTGTTGCAATGAAAAGCTGGGCTCTTCGGCTGCTTCATACATACTTAGTTTTTGAGATTCCGTCAGGAATTGACTGAGTTACGTATGTTTTAGTGCATGCATGTCCATCGACCAAATTCGGTCGATTCCTGTACACACAGAAGGTAAAGGGTTAAAGGGGAAGTTAAGGCAAAAATTAAAATTTCACCAGTTGTAGTCTTCGGGGTGCTGAGTCGAATGGTCGTGGTCCGAGGAAGCTGAGACGCTCCCTTCCTACTTGAATCCCAATCGAACTCGCGCACTTCCACCGAAACTGGGTGACTGCGCCCTACTAGATGGGGATTTGTATGCAAAATGTCACTAAAACCGCCATTTCGTTCTTATAAAAGCACGGATGACCGCGATTGGCCCATATGTTGTAGTCTTTTGGACGCTGAGTCGACTGGTTTTGGTCCGAAAAGGCTGCGATGCGGCGTTCCTCCTTTATTCCCAATCGAACATGGTTGAAGAAGCGGTCACGTGCTCCTGCGTACACCAGTCACCTGGTCACCGTGCCTGCAGGGTACAACTTACTAGCCTGTTTGACCTTTTTTGGGTGCAGTCCTGTCACTCGAGTTGAACTCGAGTTGAACCTTGGTGTGAAAGTTGTCACCTGCTGGCGTGGTGACCAGGTGATTTGGGCACCCAGGACCACGTGACCGCTTCTTCAACCATGTTCGATTGGGAATAAAGGAGGAACGCTGCATCGCAGCCTTTTCGGACCAAAACCAGTCGACTCAGCGTCCAAAAGACTACAACATATGGGCCAATCGCGGTCATCCGTGCTTTTATAAGAACGAAATGGCGCTTTTAGTGACATTTTGCATACAAATCCCCATCTAGTAGGGCGCAGTCACCCAGTTTCGGTGGAAGTGCGCGAGTTCGATTGGGATTCAAGTAGGAAGGGAGCGTCTCAGCTTCCTCGGACCAAGACCATTCGACTCAGCACCCCGAAGACTACAACTGGTGAAATTTTAATTTTTGCCTTAACTTCCCCTTTAAGTGTATGGGCACGGGTGGTCACTACACGAGCATGTTGTTGTTGTCGTTGTTGTTGTTGTTGGATTTATGTATGATATAAAAGAAAAACCTAGAACGTGCAGTGCTGGGTACATGGTCAACTAGGCTTGTGCAAGGAGACGGCAGCCTGTTTTAAAAACGAAGGCATGCCGTAATCCGGAGTACATGTACATGTATTTAGTGCAGACCTTGGTGAGCGCTGATGTATTGCCAATATTATAAATGACTTGAGTATGTGGTGGCAAGCCCTCTTCGTACAGCCGTGATGAGCTATCGCAGGACTGCTCTTCGCCACTTATCGATATAGATGGCTCAAGAAATGATCGAAGAGCTCGATGCGAAGTCACAAGAAGCAGGACCGGGACGGGAGACCCAAACAGGCCAGTGCCTGCAACGGGCGGCCGCGATGTTTGTCGGCGTGGGTCGTCTGGATCAGGCCCGGCAATTAAGGTGGACCAAGAATTTCTGGCGATGAGAAGTTGCCGGATCTTCAGGCGGCACATCCGCAAGGATGAAGCAACGGAAACTGAACCGCAGGGAAAGAAAACTCTCGTACCAAGGGCCAGGCCAAGAAAGACAGTGCAAATGGGCCAGCTGCCACGGCTGACACAGGATTACAGAAATGGACTTTTGTCGGCGTATCAGTAATCTCCCAGGGTCAACACTCTTCATGTAAACACCCCCCCCCCCCCCAACCGGACAGACTTTCAACCCCGGTTGAAAAAATTCTCATGTTAACCCAGCCCATATGTTTAATATCCGGTCTTACATTCACGACAATCATATCGCTTACGTCCTCACCTTGGTCAAGTCAGACAACAATAACCAAGCCAGCTGATCTGCTCGATTAGAGCTGCGAATTTCCCTGAGAACACGGTGAGCATGATCTTTAGCACCATCTTCACCACTTGAGTAAAATATTTCCAGGGCCTGGGAAGTTATACACACAAAAAAAAAGAAAAAAAGCTATTGCTCATACAGAGGGGGATACCTATAGTGGAATGTCGAGAAATGAACAGATAAGACTGACCTTTTGCACAGAGTCGGCCAGCTGGAGAATCTCTGGGTCCATTCAGAATGGCAATTTGAATGATATTTCACTGAATGCGTAAATTCAGTTTCTCAAACTCGAACCTTCTGCTACTTCGGTCCTATGACACAAAACAAAGTAGTGCGAGCATGGGATTGTGGTGAAAATGTTCATTCTTCTCTAGTGATCTACTTTTCACTGCTATCGCCAGTTGAGCGTGCACTAACAGTGCCAGTGAGTGTATGCTCTACGTTTAGAATTTCATTTTCAATTACAATTTACCATGATTAATTTTACATGCTAGTCGACGACCGGTCGACCAGTGCATGCATGCAGTGCAGTAGTACTGTAGTTCGTGTGATTGCACGTGATAACAAATCAAGCCAAAAATCCCGACACGCAGCTGTGTTATGTGTGCAGACAGCGCGCGCCCAGCGCCGGGATGCATGCACGACACCACGCTGGCTAGGCTGCCACCAGGGAGTCGTAAAATACCTACATTTTCCGACTCCCTGGCTGCCACATTACCTGATTACTGGCGATACTGCACTGTGCACAGCCTGCCAGACTAGCAAGTAGCTGGGCTGTGCAGAGGCCACAGAGTGCCCAGATCTGAAGAGCTCCAGACGTGCAGACGTGCACTCGCGCAGCTAGCCACTGTGGCACTGCCAGACGTGTCGTCAGTGCCTGTGTAGATCTACGATCGACTACGAGTACGAGCGTAGATTCTACGATATGCATGCCATACGCCCATACGGCATGCATGCCTGGTCCTTGTGACTGGTGACTGTGCATGTGCGACTTTGTGCATGACCAACACTGCACTGGCAACAGGGAAGAAATTGTTCCAGCCCTTTTTTATTTTCAGCTTGTTGCTTTGACGGAGGGCATTGAGCTAAAACTGCTAGTCATCGACTTCACTATGGCTGATGCAGATGAAGAAAGTCCGACCACACGGCTTTTAGCAGAAGTTCTTCAGAAAGAAACACAGCGGCGGCTTCAAGCAGCTGTAGAGCTGTTTAGTTTTTTCGAGAATGAAGCTAACTCTGTATTTGATTTTGAAGATGTTGATAAGTTAGTGGAGGGCCTGGCAGGCTGGACGAACAGTGGAAATCCCAAGGTAAATATTGTACATGCACGCTGCTTAATGCAATACACACCGATTGATAGATGGCGGTGAGAAACATACATCGACCTCTTGGACTTGCAATTTTTTAAATTTTAAATTTCATTGAGGTAGTGCGACAATTATTTGAATTTTACGTACATGTGCTTTGGATCAGCGTAGTGTTACCCTGATGCAATTGCATAAGTATTACGTGATCATTACTTTATAATTATTGTTGCTCGTTGCACAGCAATGATTTATGTGATACCGCTGCTGCGTGTGGTACCTGTCTGGTCCTTATCTTGTAATCTGATCTATCTGCCTTTGTGGACATGTATGTGGTTCTGTGGTCTTCGACTGCAGAGAGTATAGTACGGTAGTACTAGTAGCACTGGTTGTGTTGTAGGGGGGGGAGGGGGGGGGGGGAGAGATCGTTCTTGATTGTGTCTAATCCACTGGTGGTATTACCAAGAGTACATAACCCCAAGAGTGTGCCACTCTGATCTCCGAGCTATGGGTGCCCTGCGCGGCGCACTGGCTTCATTACGAAGTGAAATGACGATCCAACTGCCTGAATTTGAGTTTTCCTATGGTTTAGCCTCAACGATTCCCCGTGCAATACGGTAAGTTAAAAGGCAATTCCTGTGCATGACGCATCACGTACGAAACCATCCGAAGTCTCCGAGGAAAGCCAATTTGGAAGCAGGAAGCCGTAGCAGATCAATAATGATGCAATGGCCCCCAGTTTGTGGATACGTAATGCAGGCAGCGCGCTGCGCCCAATCCCATAAGCAGAGTTGCATACTGTTGTGGTTATGTACTCTTGGTATTACTGTGAGAAGTGTTTGTTGTGGTAGTGAAATCACCCCTTGTGTCAAGTTGTATGCGTAGTTTCAGTCGTTGCACACTTACCCTCAGAATTAGTACATCAATGCGTCTTCAGATTTCGAACTCTTTGTCTAAAACTAAAAGAATTCCTTGAGTCTGGCGAAAGTATCCACACCTACTGTGTGTGTGTGGGGGGGGGGGGGGGGGGGCGGCGTTGAGCGGTTCCATGCAGCCGAAGGCGTGTCTGTCTTTCCTCCAAATTTGCTTCGAATCATTCTATTAGGGGCCGTCCATAATTATCTTTTACACAAAAGGAAAACGTTTTGTTCGTGGATGGGTCGAGGAGAGTTCCGTTAATATATTTTTCGTTCAGGGGGGGGGGAGTGAATGGGGGAGGGTTGTAGCTAAACTTTCTCGTTCTGTGAAAATTATTGATAATGCCGGATGGCCCCTTAGGTTACCAAGGTTACCAATAGTATTTTCAAAACGAAAAGTTTTCGTTTGGGGGTGGGTGGGTTTGAAGGAGTTTCGTTTTGAAAATAATTATTGAATGCAGATGGAGAATGCCCAGTTACATGTGGGTGTCGAAAATTAACATCAATATTTTACCTGAATTCGTTTTACCTGCAGAAAAGGTAGGTGGGTGGGTGGGGGCTGAAAAAGACTAAAACTTATCGTTTTGCAACAACTATTGGTAACCCCGGACGGCCCCTTACGTGAACTTCATACATGTACTTTAGTTACCATAGCCGCATAGGTCAGTGCCCGTGTACATGGCAAGTATATGTCTGGGCTTGTTCGCCCCGGGCTTATTTGGACACCGTGTGTAGAACTTGCGAAAGCGGTCACCCCAGCTTCCATCATAATAAACATGACATGTTTATATGATATGATGGAAGCTGGGGCGCCAGCTTCTGCAAGTTCTGCATTCACTTTATTTATTTATTTACTTTTGAAGTATTTATATTGTACATGAACCCAGTGGTAAAGTTCATTAAAGGCATGGTTTTGATCAAATGGTGCCTACTCGCCTTATTTTCTTGATCGTTTGCACGAAGAAGGGCAAAGCCCTGGACGTACGATCAGCTTGGGGATACAGGGGAGGGCGTGTTCATCCTCGTGGCCTGGCACTAGGAAAACATGGATGCAGTGAATGGGATTTTCGGTCTTTGACCACTTGCTGGTGAGCTGATCTACTCACCTCCCACCGCTTTGAGAGCTGCATCTGCGCCTTGATCCTTGAAGGGTGGTGGCGTTCCTACGGATGCAGAAAACTCGGCCTGTAGCCGAGTCTGACGCAAACCGTGATTTTTTTGTTCCTTCCTAGAGCAATTTTCGTAATCCCTCATGTAAATGCACCCTCCAATACGACTGGATGGCAGTTCTGGGAGGGCTTATTGTAAGCCCGGGTACAAATACGCCCGGACTTATTTTTTTCTTGGGCAAGCAGGCCCTCGGTCTACTATTCTTATTTTTGAATCTATGTGCATCATTTTATATGCACTCAATCTCCGGACAGCTAGCTGCTTCGACCTTGTTAGGTCTCATCCGCAGAGCTCCGAGTGACTGGCTGAAACGATTGCAATCATGTTATTATATGTATGTATTTGTGTGTATGCGTGCGATGTCGGCAGATCTGTACAAATGGAATTGAGTTGATGCTTATTGTTATCAACTTGCTCGGGGAGAGATTTCGTCCGTACATTGGTGCAGGTATGTACAATTGGTACACCAAGAGACTGTCATTATTATTCTGTGCTTTGAGACCCGTCAACTCAGGCACCGGAACAGGGCTCAATGCACACGCACTTGCTCACGCGCATACATTCATACATACATACACATGCGCACACACACACGCACACACACACACACACACACACACACACACACACACACACACACACACACACACCCACACACACACACATATATGGATCTGTCTGCAAAAGACCGCCTGTTGATGAAGACCGGTTTTCTGTGCACCTTGGGGCTATCACTAAAATAGTACCCCCCCCCCCCCCCCACACACACACACACTCCTAAAGTGTCCTGGTGCATTTCACTTGCTCCCTTTCGTGTCTGTTCTAGGTTCCAACATCTATTGACAGGATGATGTGCTTGTATCGAACAATGCCTTTGGTTGCCCTGTTGTGCTCTCCGTGTAGTTCTACCCATATTGCGGGAACGGCTCGGTGACCAGAGGCAACAAGTTCGCTCAGCGTGCACCTCTCTCCTGCTGGACATGATGGCAGCGGTGAAATCACCCCAGGTAATGCATGTACCTACTGTAATGTACCGTAAGCAAGAGTACATAACCAAGAGTGTGCAACTTGACGATCCCCCAGCCCACGGCGGAATTTTTTTATGACATCAGTCTTTGGCGGCGGTTTGGCTCACTGATGCCATCATGCGTAGCCAGAGATCAAAGTACAAATAATTTGTACATTACAGCTACGGTAGTCGAAGCAGAACAACGGACGAAAGATCGACGTGTCTTGAACCTGACGAACTCTCACCGTATCTACAAAACAAGCGCGGGAAAGCATACCCACTTCATCATACTTCTGCCAAAGGATGACGCAATAAAAAAATTCCGCCGTGGGTGAACCCATCGCAGCTCAATACAGGAGTTGCACACTCTTGGTTATGTACTCTTGGTACCGGTATTAACAAGTTATACTAATAGGGTTGTACGGTGAGACTTCGGTGTACAGTAAAGCCTGTCAAGATGGCCTCTCGGGTAAGGCGACCGGCCACCTGTCCCAGAGAACCACTGCAGCTAGGACCGAGGGATGTTGTTACCAGTCCAATGACCCTGGATAATACGACCACATATACACAGGGACCATGTTTTGAAGGTCCCATGATCCTTCGCCTTAGACAGGTTTTACTGTAGCATTCCTCCGAGGGACGTGCAAATCCGTACATGTACTTTAGCTGAGGTATTCTATATCCCACGAGGTCGAATGACTTGCAAAGGATGCTCGGGGTCTTCAAGGGGGTACTTTATGTCTGCTGCAAAGAGAAACATATGTTATATCCAGTGTAGTATATGTTATATCCAGTGTACTATTATACTGCAGTTTCACTGTACGTGTAATGGCTCCCTCTCTGTTTCAGCTGCAAACCTTCTTTCTGGACCATGTGCTTCCGGGTTCTGATGGCGTATTGCATCTCTGCAGTACTCGTACAGCACCTGGTAGCTAGCTGAAGGTGTTGCACCTGGGCCGTGCTTAGCAAGCACACAGCACACACGCCCGATATGATACAACCACCACATACCAGCCACACACCTGCTGGTCACATCCGAGTGCTATAGTTATGGATTGGTTATGTGTGATATCCCCAACAAAGTTGGAAGGAGTTCAAGGCTGCACCCATGTTCATGACTTTGTACTACACTTCATTACCCAGTGAGCTAGGCAAGCCTCTGTTCACTCACATGGACCACTTGATGCTATGCACTTGTGTTTGGTGCTGTTTATTTCGCTCCACATTGACAGGGCGTACTTGATCAGCTCCTGCCATCAACATTAGGGCATAAGGCATGGCATGTGCGGGAACAAGGACTTCTACTGGTTGCCAGAGCGCTTGACCAGTGAGTTTTTTTTTAAATAATAATATTTTCTATTTGGCTGTGATAATTTCAATTGCCAACAGCTCTTGCTCAGTGTCTTTCAAACTGCGGAGTGTTGCGTGTACTTGCAGCAAATCAAACATTCCTGCACGTATTCTTTTTCCACGCCGAGCAAGTCAATACTTGAATCTTGTCTGCACTGCTGTGTTGGTTAGAGACGAGGGAAGTGCAGTTGCAATGCAGCAATACCATGTACATAGACGATAGTTTGACTTCTTTGACTATAGTGCCGTGGACAACATTTCGTTAGCAATTTGTTGTGGCAGGCGGTGTTGATGGATCGTCTTGGGCAGGTGGCTTTGATTGAGAATCACTTTCATTTGATTGGATCTCCTGTTTAGTCTTTGCATGGTCTTTGCATGTATGCGCCCCAGTTGCTGTGGGTGCTGTTGTCACAGCTACATTATTGTACGTTGCCTGCTGCTTTCCTGCATTTCTTTAAGACTGTGTTTCTCACTTGTGAGTTTGTGCGTAAACGCTGATGCAGCACCTGATTTTGTTTTCTCCCCGGCAGATTTGGCAGCCAGGAATTACTTGTGGGCCGCTACATGGCGTCCATATGCAAGCTGACTGAGGATGCTAATTTCCAGGTGAGAATATGGCCGAATTCTTCTCCATGTGCGCCCTCCGACCAACCGTGTTCACCGCACCAGCAACGCGATTGTCGAGTTATTGTAGAATGTGGATTAGATACCAGCATCGTGTCTTCCGTACTGCTGTTTCGATCGTATAGGTATCATCAGTGAAGGTTACAAGAGTACTGAATTATTAGCACTTGAAGACAGCACTTTTTATATATACAGTACAAAGAATTACTGTGAAAATGAAGTAGCACAATTGCATGCTTTGAGGTGATATCAGTGCTAACACGAGGAGAAGAAGTGCAAGATCACAAAATACAGGCAAGCTACTGCGGACATAGATACAATAATGTAATACTGTTGGCTCAAAAGGTCGTAGCACACTGAAATAAATAACACACTGAATACTGAGGTGACAGTTCAGACTTGGGGCTCCAGCACAGCACTGCATGTAGTCACGCGAGAAGCCCCTGGCCTGGGGCATTCACTCCAGCACAGCTCTGCAAGTAGTCACGCGAGAAGCCCCTGGGGCATTCACTCCATATCATACATGAACACTCACTCGCCGGTGACCGCCATACTGGACTGTCATCACATGGCCAGGCACCACAAGGGAAATGAAAGGTAGAGTTGCTAGGTATCTCTATTGTGCTGGAGTGACTGCCCCAGGGGCCTCTCGCGTGGCTACTTGCAGTGCTGTGCGGGAGCCCAAAGTCTGAACTGTCACTCTGATGTCCAGTTTGGTATTTCAGTGTGCTATGATCTTTTGAGCCTACGGTATTTTTACTACATACATCTATGTCCGCAGTACCTCCTTACGCACACTGTGTGATCTTGCACGTGTTCTCTGTGTGTTATTCTAACTCCAATCGCGCTATTGCGCCACTTCATTTTCACAATTATTATTAGGGGTGAAAGTTTGCACTGAGATCCCGAGTTCGAGTACTCTGATTTTCTCCGATCGAATATTCGAGTATTCTTGATATCCTAAAAATTGCACACCAACCGCCTCAAAAATCACATGATACAACCCTGATTGAACCGATTGGCAGTTCTTTTCTCGGGTGTATTGGTTGGTGGGTCATTTGGGCTCTCTCTACTCGTGAACAAATGTTCACCACACAGTCTGCACATCAATATCTGCTGACTGCTGCTCTGAAACTGCAGACTTCTGTGGTAAATGTATGTACCATGTATGAGCGAGTACTCTGATTTATTCCGAGTACGATTATATTCGAATATTCGGTATAATTGTTTCACCCCTAATTATTATCTTTTTAAAAAGTGCTGTTCACAAGTCCAACTATCAAAATAAAGACCCTTTCAGGCAGCGAATAATTGATTGTCATGTGGTAACACCTTTCGTACCGATTTTTTTTCTGCTACATTGTACTTCAGTATGTTCATTCACTTTGTATGGAAATAATTGTGAGTCTGTAGTAAATGTTGTTTGAGTGACCAAGTTTTGCCTTTTGCCATCTGAAGTCTACTGTATGCACTGTCATCCCTGTGGGGCAGATCTGCCATCTGAAGTCTACTGTATGCACTGTCATCCCTGTGGGGCAGATCTGCTATCTGAAGTCTACTGTATGCACTGTCATCCCTGTGGGGAGTCTACTGTATGCACTGTCATCCCTGTGGGGCAGATCTGCCATCTGAAGTCTACTGTATGCACTGTCATCCCTGTGGGGCAGATCTGCTACCACAGTAACTACAAGAAATTTTTCAGGAAGGCTGTAAAAGAAACTAGTTTTTTTTTCCATTGGCCCAGTCTTGTGAAAACCACTGCGTGCTTCCATGTCGTATTTCAAATTGTTGGCCATAACATATACGTAAGCTTTCCATTGGTACATTTTCGCCAAAGCATACGCTTTACTTTCTGCCTGATATTTTGGTGGACTTGGTTGTGATTCTATGCGTGCATGGGTGTGTACTGGCATTGGTGTGCAGGTGAGAGAGCAAGCCAACTCCACGCTTGTTACAATATACTGTCATGTCGGTGAGCGTATTCGAAACGACTTGGAAAAGAAGGGAGTGCCTGCTGCTCGGTAAGTGAGATTAGAAATGTTTCTTTTCTGCAGCACATGTACATGTACTTGGTTGCTTGTTGTATCACGCAGTATGGTGCATCTCGTTGTTGCATGTGCCAAGTTTCTCGTATTTCGTTTGTGCAGTTGCCAGGATAGGTTGCTATGTGCTTGTTGTTCATGTTCTTGTTTTTCGTTTCTACATGCCTTGTTAGGCTGGGCAGCTTGCTGTCTCGTTTCGACGAAGCACGCGCTGCTGGCAAGGTGCGTGTGCCGGAGTCATCAGCTGCTGTTTCTGCACCCAAGGTGAGTAGTATTGTGAGGGTTTTCTCGTTTTGCTGTAGCCTTGGCACTTGCTAGAGTGCTGATGGTGCAGGAAGAGATGACGTGCATGTACATGACCTTGTACAGTAAAACCTGTAACTACCGACCACCCCTTGGTGCCCGGAAAAGTGGTCGTTAGTGGCAGGTGGTCTTTAGTTAGAGGTTTGCACCGCGCGACCATATATGGATCCCATTATATGATATGTATGTCAAAATGCAGATAATACAATCCCCCACCACTTGCGCACTGACATTCTTCTTTCAGATCATACAACACTTGGAGAGAGAGAAAATCAAGTTTTTTATACACCGGAAGCGATACGACCTTTTGACACGTATGTCGACTCACCGGGTTTCCAGAGCAGCGCTGGCCTGGCCAGGCAGTGCACTAGTCACTATCGACTCCATCCTCATCTGTGTGCGACTACACTGGCAACTGGTATCAGTGTGTTGATCTACAGTGGAAACTCAGTCGCTCCGACTTGGATGTAGTGTAGCGTAAACTGTACTAGTGAGTAGTACAGTGTGTACCAGTACGTGATGCGGCGATGTTGCGAGTTTTCGCACCTTTCACTGTATTATCCGCCATCGATTCGTATCCTGGCCTGTGTTCCGTACAGGTGAGTACATAATACTACCGTAGCATGCTAGCTAGCCAGCACAGACTGTCAGTGTGACCTGGTGTAGTGGTGAGTCTGGTGACTGAGCTGCGTGATTGCACTTCGACAGAGAGCATTAGTTTCTCCTTCGAGTAGTAACATCGATCAAAGAGCGCTTTGGATGCGCTCTCCAAGACGTTTCCTATCACGTTTGTTCTTGATAGCACTTGAAATTATGACAGGTGTAGTGCAATCCACACTGATTCCACAGTAAAAATGAGACTGCGCTCATTTGTCCAGCTGTAGTATCGAAACGACCATGGAAAATCATCAAAATTTCGAGAAGGAGCTTCAAGCAATGCTTGATTTGCTACATCGCGGTCGCTAGTTACGGGTCAAAATTCGACATTGGGACAAGAAAAGGCGGTCGCTGGTCGCGTTCAGCAGGTAGTCGCTAGTCACAGTGCATTTTGAATGTGAGACCGTCCGGGCCTTACAAAGTGGTCGGTAGTACCAGGCCGGTCGCTAGTCACGGTGGTCGTTAGTTACAGGTTTTACTGTATGTGTTTGTGTATTTATACTGTATAGTGCGTGCAGGGTCTATACTCTACAGTACACAGGAAGAGCATGTACATGACCTTGTATGTGTTTGTGTATTTATACTGTATAGTGCGTGCAGGGTCTATACTCTACAGTACACAGGAAGAGCATGTGTACTTGTATGTGTACATGTATTATAGTGCCTGCAGGGTCTATACTCTATAGAACAAGTACATTGATATTGTACTGAGTGGTGTCAGTAGTACGTGTGGCTGCCAGGTGTGTGGGCGTAGGGCTGTTGATATTTTCACTGCCTGGCTGCCATTACGATCATGTTATAATTTACTGTCAATACCGTAATATGTTCATCATATCATGCATGCTTGCTGCTCCTTTGGCTTTTTTTTTGCAGGATATGTTAGGCGTATCTGACTTAGCAAAGCAACCAGGTCCGACTACTAATGGTTCCGGTAAGGCAGCGGAGGAAAGCAGCAAAGGTTCCCATCGCTATTCTCTGCCTGGCCCACCAAGCAGGCTGGCTCCTGGCAATACCACCGATGGAGCCGTCGCATCCAAAGCCAAAACTCGACACTCGATTGGTGTACCGCCGTCTCGTGGCACGGTCTCCAGCAGGTCGTCGTCAGGTGTGTGTGTTTGTTGTTTTCGTCGCCGTCGTCGTCGTTGTCACTATTGTTGTCTGCTGCTGTATTGTTTTTGGTGGTTTGGGTTGTTAATTGTTGTGGTTTAAAACTACCCCTATGGAAAACATGATTCAGCAGCTGCGACAATTTCCGCGCTACTCGTAATGTAATGATCTAACATTGTCCGCGGAAAACTTGCAGTTTGTATATTTTTCATGATATTCAGTGAAGCTTTGACTTCAATTGTGCACGACAGCAGATCGGTCATCGACTCGGTTCAAACAAAGCCTCTCTGTTTTGATCCTGGTTTCTTGACCTCATGGTTATTTGTCGTTCCAGTGGGTCGTCTGGGTTTGTCATGTGTTGGCCTTGTCGTGCGTTCATGGCCCAGTGACTGGCTGAGTCCTTCTACGACTTGCAGTACATGCACGCAGTTGTTGCAGCCATGCCGTCGATTTTTTATCGATTTCACCAAACCACTTGGATCCGTCAAAGCAAGCTCTTCATGAAGGCACAAAGGAAAGAGCTCATCTAAAAAAACCAGGGTTCGCATGAGACACTACTGAATTTTCCACATCCATAGGAACGCCGCCACCCTCAAGGACCAAGGTGCAGATGCAGCTCCTAAAGCGGTGAGAGGTGAATCATGATGAATAGATTCACTAGAAAGTGGGGAAATGCCGAAATATTATTCACCTGAGAGCTCATCAATGCTTTGAAGAAATTCTTGAAGATGGAGATAAATTGTGGCCCATGTACTTGCTCATGAAGCCCACAATCTCCACAGCCGACCGTAAAACTTGCAGTTTCCGCACGCTATAGCATTCTTAGCCTACAGTTTGCCTGTTTTTCCCACAACTTCTATCACAGTGTCTACTTCTCTATGGGGACAGTAAAAAGAAATTCCCCTTGTATTCATGTTGGTGTGTGTGTACGTGCGTGCGTGCGTGCATGCGTACGTGTGTGCATGCGTGCGTGCGTGTGTGTGTTCATGCGTACGTTTCTGCCGTTCCACAGCTGCTGGTGCTGTCGGTGAGGAGGATTTCCGCCGTAGCTTTGAAGATTGTCCGTCGCTGGGTCCCCTGTCAGCACGTGCTTTCGAGGAGGAGATAGTGAAAGTTGAGGAGACCTTGTTGAATACTGACCTGAACTGGGAACTGAGAGCAACGGCGGTACGTGTCTCCTGTTGTATTCGTGGTATCAAGTATCGGACATCGTGGTATCAAGTATCGGAAATCTCTGCCTCTTACTTATACACGGACGTATACTGGTGTTGACATTGTCTGTGTCTGCTGTATGGCCAAACTTTGCATGTTTTTGTTGGTATTGACTGTTTAGTTTAAGTTAAATGCACTCTCCAACTACATGCAGTGGGGTCGCCGCTCTTTTGTGCTTGTGTCCATGCTCATTCCAGTTCTGTACCTGTATCTTCTGTCCGCTTTTGACTGCAGTGTAAACGGCTGCGCTCACTCCTGCGCGCTGATGTGAATGGCTTTACAAGCCACTTGTCGGCACTAGAGGAACCGATGCGTGTTTCGGTGAGTGTGGCATGCAGTCTTGTGCGCTGATGTGCCCGTGAAAGCATGTGAATCTTTTTAAGTACCTCAGCTCTTTGTCTGAGAGAAAGTAGCAACTGAATAAAGCTGTTGTCAGTTGGATATCCCCCACCCCTTCTTTCTTTTTGAAACGAAGGGTTTGCAAAAATCGTTTCCCTAGAAATCGAAAGATTGTTGTCGACTATGGTTCCTCGGGTGGATAAGGGTTCATAATCTGTACCATACTTTGAAGTAATTATATTCATTAGTTGAGGGTGTTGAACAGGAGGAAAACGTATGGACGATGGCACATACGTACCAGTACTGTATGTCCCCGATTGTATGTCGAACTCGATTATAAGTGAAGTCGCACTTCCGTTTTCAGGTTTGAGCCATAATGTTTCAATATGATCACTTCAGTAGTAAGTCATGCTCGATTGTAAGTCCCTTTTTGCCCTTGAATTTTAATATAAACAGGTGCAACTTATATTCGGGGAAATACGGTATAATTTATGTTTGCTCCGAACCACTCGTTTTGAAATTGGCCATGTTTGTACCCACAGAACGATAATACCCGGTGAGATTAGCAATGGTATGTTCTCTCCTTTTTCTTCGAATTCTGCTCATGTCACTCTGGTGCTGCATGGTAGATCAAAGATCTTCGCTCCAGTATGATGAGAGAAGCCTGCATTACTGTGAGGTATGTTGCAAGATTTATGTTAGTGTTACTTCTTGTTTAACGTTACCCTCTTTGTCTCTCCCAATCGCATGCCTGCACCCCAAACATGCATGGCAATGCATACCCACACCGTGCACACCCCCCCCCCCCCCCCCCCCCACACACACACAAAACGAAGTGGCCGTGGTGGGTGGGGTGCTCTCGTGATACTGTTAGCGTGTATCTATTTACTGAAGGGAGAGACGGTTGAAAACATCAACAATTGAAAAGTGTGTACCGTTGAGAAATGCACATTGGTATGATATGGATTGTGAACTGAGCTGCACGCTCCTTTTGTGTTGTGTTACCCTAAAGCCTGATGGCTCAGGACCTAGCACCGAAGATGGAGCACTTCTGTGAGGCGGTTTTTCCAACGCTATTCAACCTGCTTCCCAACAGTGCAAAGGTAAATATTTCTAGCTTTGTATTGTCTTTGTACTCATTGGGACTCACAGCCAGTTGGGATTGAGCTGATTAGAGTTTCGTGGGCACGGATTTATTTGTGTAGGGGCGCATGGTTGGTAGTTACGATTATTTTCTGTTCAGGTCTGGGTATGGTGCTTGCACAGATATGAAGCATGTTGCTCTCTAAGCAACCTCAGGCCATGCTCATAGGCGCACGATGTTATTCCTGCGAGGCAGTGGTATGTATTCAGTGCTCTGCCATACTGAATGGTGCTATGGTGGCATTGTCTGCATGTTTTTGCCTGCAGGTTATGGCGTCTTCCGCTTACACTTGTGTTACGTTCATCATACGAGTAAGCCGTTGTTTCTCATGCTGTTGTGTAGCATGGTGTTGTTTCACATGGTATTTCTCTCATGGTGCCTTGTTTGTACACTGCACTTACTGCATTACCATGACTGTGGACATGCGCCAGAACCTGAGCATGCTTCTGCCTGCTGCCCCATGGTCAGTTGTACTGAAGCTGCTGCAGCACAATTAGCCTGTCCATCTCTACCTCCAGTTGTTTGTTTGTCTATGTTCATGCATGTTATCAATTACCAGAGGGTGCTGCTAAAGCTTGATGCCAAGCAAGGGTAGAGGTTGATTGTCTGATAATTGCTTTGTGCATGAAACTCAAAGTAGTACGGTGTCCTTGTCTACATTGCTCTTGTGCATACACACATTGTGATGTGGTCAGTTGTTATGGTGGCACAATCAGGGTAGTAGCCAGGTTTTTTTTGCCAAACCCATGATCAACAGGCACAGTGTGGGTTAGTGCTGGCTACATCTCTGTACAATACGCTTTACTTAACCTGTTATGTCGCTCTTCTCCTACACCTGGCCTTGTTCTGCAGTGCGTCCACTCCAGCCGCTTTATTCCTCTTTTCGCCGGGCAACAGTCAGCCAAGTCTCCTCTCACTCGCCGGTGAGTTGCTGTTTCTTGCAGAGTGGGGTGCGTTTGACAGAAGTGCACATAAGTATGACCTTGATATTAGGGAGGTTTCGCTCTACGTAATTACGTATGAAAATCCGTATGTCGTACACGCCGGGGAGCGAGGGCAACTTTCATACGTAAAACTCTCTACGGATATCCGTAGGAAAGCTGTTTCCTACGTTGGGGTCTCCGTAGGACTTTTGAAATATTTTTCGCATTTTCAGGGTTTATCCATGGCAAAGTTCAAGCCGCACGAAACACAAGGTACACACACCGTACACCACGTGCAAAATACAATGGAAAACGCGGTTTCGGCTCGTGGTGCATGCGGTGGGCGCATGCAGCCAACGCGTCTCCAAAGCAACAAGGCATGTTTAGCAGTCGTGGAGAAGTCACGTAGAGCGAAACCCAACAGCTCTGATTTTTACGTATGAAAATTACGTGCAGTTCCTACGTTATTTTCATACGTAATTCCGTAGAGCGAAACCTCACTATTATAGTGTGCAGTTTGTCGTTGTATTTTGTGCTTCTCTCTGACAGACGGTGTCCTTGTTGTTTGTTCTTTCCTGCCTTACATTTCTCCTAGGCGTATCTTTGAGTACATCGACTCCATGCTGCATTCCTGGCCAGCCAGCATCCTTGAGAAGTATGTAGTAGAGATTGTGCCCAGGACCTGTGTGTGTGTGTGTATTTCTGTCTGTGCACCATCCATGATCCATGTTACAGATGTGTTTCAACTGAATGGTCTGATCCGAACAAGTGCACACTCCTCCCAATAGAGCTACACAGTGGACCCTGTTCAAGGTCCCATGCACTTCCTTCTTGCCCTGCTCTTGGCCCTTGGAGTATTGTTGTGATGCTAGCGATCGTTCAGTCATGTGTGTATATTCTCCAGGTCTTGCACAACATCACATGAACACCCACTCGTATCACACCATGTTTCGACTGTTCTATCATTGAATTTCCACATGCATGATAGAGAATCTCTCCTTGTGCATCTTGTCCTCCATTTCCCCGCAGGCACTTAGCTGTCCTTGAGGAAGCAGTGAGGAAAGGCATATACGATGCTGACTCTGCCACACGAACAACAGCTCGGAGGTAAGTGACGGTTGCATGGAGCGTGTCATTGTTACCATACCCCAGCCGCCGAGGTGACATTCACGTTTATGTAGGCAGGGTTCTGCTCCTGCTGTACCTGTACCTGTTACTGTGCCAACACACCACACATCATCATTGAACTTCTGCTTTCTTTATGTCTGTGTGTTTGTGTGGTGTGTGCGCTTGTGCTATCATCTCTCACAGTGCTTTCTGGGGTCTGATGGATCACTTTCCTGCCCAAGGCGAAAAGTAAGTACAGAACCTGGTACAAGAACGTGTGCTTTTGCTTTTGTGAACTCTTTGAATAGGAGATGACACAGTGTTAGCTGTAGATGGGTGAAGTGTGTTGTCATACCTGCTGCGTGTTCCTAGCGTGCAGTCTCTTCACTCTGTGCTTAGGTCCAGATATGACTGGAAGAATGCTTCACAATATTGTTTGCTTATGCCTGTGTGTTCTCACATGAAACAGGCTGCGCGCTGCCTTGGACTCTGCGAAGCAGCGTATGCTTGATGATCACAGAGCCATCATGAACGGAGAAGCACCAACGCGATCAACCGGGTATGTACATGCCACGGCTGTCACTCTAAAGTAAAGTAATTTTTGTACTGCTCTGGTTCACTGCGGTGATTAAAAATTGAAGCAGAGATACTGAGATTGATCTCTTCCGTGTAGAAAAGAAAGTCGTGGAGACAGAGAGTGACAGTGAAGAGTAATAGCTCAAGCCAAGATTGGCACAGATCTCCATCAACTTAGACAAAGTGATAGCAAAGTCAACATAGCCAAGGAAATAAGGGATATGGTGCCTTGGCCTTGTCTCCATCGCAGATGCAGACAAACACTTCTAGGTACTTGGATTCCAGATTGTACTTGAAGTAGTTAGGAGACGCAACCAACATGGCCATGTGCCCTCCTCCACACCACTTCACATGCCGACTAGCAAGTTGCGAACGTGCAGAGTTGGTCCAAACACTGCCACTTATCTGCTCCTGTGCTCACAACACTGGAATGCTGCCGTGATCTTGCTATCCGGGACCAGGACTCGAAGTAGGGCGCTATTATCCTCGTACCTCTTGAAGCTGGATATTGAATATGGGTATGTGTGAAATGCAACTAACCACTGTCTTGTTCTTGTTGTACTACAGACTTCAGAAGCCGCGCAGTCGTCTCAGTAACCACCTGAATCGCCGCTTCACCAGCGAGCCAGGTCAGTAGATGTAGTGCCGTGTGCTTGTCTAGATTAATGACACAGCTGATGTGTGCGCCTGGTACGGTTCAGGTCACAGACAACCGCATGCATATCCGCAGTGGTTGATGAAGTCTTGCAGCGCGGTGGGGGGGGGGGGGGGGGGGCTTCTTTGATCCAACTACACTATTCTGATATGACTCATATCGGAGCTGTGTAAATAGCGTTTTCTTAGTTTGCCAGGGTTTCTGTTTTCAAGCCCACGCTCTTGTTTGTATTTCTCTCCTTTGCAGACCTTTCGCCGATGACAGATCGTAAATCAGGAACAATGTCTGCACTTACTGACCCCCGCCCAAACTCTGACCTAGGGCCATCGGGCTCCCAGTCGTCATGGAGCATAGCCGGCACTGGACCCGTAACAACAGCCGGAGAAACAACGTCCAACTCGTCCGTCTCAATAAGTAGTGGTCAGTACAACTGGTGTGATCTGGTGTTGCCTTTGGACCGCTGTGCACACTGATGCATGTGTGTTGAAGATGATATTCTGTGTCTCAGATTCAGGCCAAGCTTGCTCATTATGTGTTTCAGTGCTTTTGTTTAGTGATTGTAGTGCTGTAAGTGTGTATATGTATCTATGTTATGTTTTCTTTGCTCTGCTCGCTGGCTCTGTGTGGATTCTGCATGTGCAGGCCGTCGCTCACTCGCACACACTGTTCCAGCCACCGGCCAGTCGGCGTCGGCTATCCGCTCACATGTGCGCCGGGCTAGTGGTGGCGGTGGTGGTGGTGGAGGCAGCAGTGGTATTGGTGGTATTGGTGTGCCGACGTACGGTGGCCAGAAACCTACCGGTGGCTCTTCCACTGCCTCACAGAGGTGAGTACTGGTCCTGGTCCTGGCTCTGCTTTAGTCCTGACTCCTTTGATGCACTGTTGCGCTGCGGTGAAGGACGTTTGTAGATCACCCATCCCGGGATGCATTGAACTTGGCTGGAAGTATGGGTGTGGTTCAGGCAGCTTCTGTTTTCTCATTCATGGCGTATACACGCTTCAATGTTTGTTCAGCTCGAAGGTGTCACGTGCAAGCACCGCCGCTCCAGCTGTCGCGCATGGCAATTCACGAGATCCACCCAGTAGCTCTAGCGGTCCTGATGAGCTTCAACCACTGGAAGATTTGGTAAGGGAGATCAGTGTTCCGTGTACAGTACATTTAGGTGCACATGGCCTGGGTTGCCTTGCAGCACCAGTACCGAAAGCCTGTATGTCAGTGACAGTGTACAGTGCTGTACTGATGAGAAGAGCACTACTGTAGTGCTACCGTGTGTGCGTGCGTGTGTGCGTGTGTGTGTGTGTGTGTGCGCGCGCGCGCGCGTTTGCCTTTCTGCTTATAATACGAGTGGTGTGTACATTGCGTTGAACATGAGTGCGCGACTGCACTCCAGCAAGTGGCTGCCCTTGCTTTCTCTGCCACTGCATTGCTTCTATGGCATCTTTCTAAGTGTCTCTGTTCCTGTTGTGAGTACTCAATGAGGCATACTTGCACGTGGATGATGAATTGTGGCATATTGTGTCCCGTGTTGCCCTCAAACTCACTAACCATAGTACTTTGCTCCGTTTTTCTCCCGTTGGCTTTCTACTCGTGTAGATAAAGAGTTTCGACAGCAGCAGTCTACCACTAGTTGTACCGGATGGCAGTCGCCGCCGTCGTGGGGAACAGGATGATGACGTTGCTAGCCAGGGCTCCGTTGCATCGCGTGGCAGTCGAGGAAGCCGGGGCAGCAGGGACTCCACGTCATCGACTGGCCTATCTCAAAGTGGTGGCGCCTCTCGGTTCCACATCACCCAGGTGCGAATGCTGCGTTCTACTAAACTGTTCATGGCAGTGATTATTATGCACGGTGGTGTTGAACTGGTGATGCAACGAATGGTATTTTCTTGGAACAAAATAATCTCACGAATATTGCTTTAGCGAACCTAGGCAGCTCGTTCTACAACTATGGCAAGCCACACGGTTGACCTACGCTGCCCTAGCTGAAGTGTGTCTGCTGCGTGTCATTGACTTCCCTGTCCAAATTGCTGACATTCTACTGGTTTTCTTGTTGATTTGCTTGTACCTTCACACCTGTGTTGATTGTGCACGACCTACAGGATATACCGGAGATGCAAAGGCTCTGTAGTAGCGGATTGTGGCAAGAACGCCGTGATGGTTTGGCTAGTCTGCAAGAGCTCTTGAAAACAGAACGTGTCCTATCGTAAGTCGTGCTGCGTGGCAACAAACTGGGAGAGTTTCTCAAAGGCCTGGAAAATTCCCTGTGCGGGAAATTTGCAATCACTATTAATTTTAGGCTGGATTTGTGATGGTCAATGACTCATTATTGCTTTTGAACCAATCTACAGTAGAATGTAGTATGTAGGTGGTCTGGAAGTACAATATTGCTACATTGTAGTGTTGTAATGGGTATTTTACTGTATATGTGCAGCTTGCACATTGTCCTTCCAACTTCCAAGCACTGTATTACAATCAGGCTGAATCAGCAATCTGCAATTTTTCTGTTCTATAATGGTATCAGTCAAGGGTGAGTGAGAATTGTCACTCTTTAATTTTTTATTCTGTTGCTCTCTTGGGTTTTCCTGTAACCGCTTGCAGTAAATATGAAATTACAAAGTTCACTGAGTTGTTCTACCGGATGTTTCGAGACCCGCATCACATCGTGAGTCCTTAGAACATGTTTTACTGATCAGAATTTCTAGCATTTGAATCTACTATTGGCTTGCTATCCTGTTCTCATGTGTGTGCTGACTTGATATGAGTTTGTACAGTGCCAGACAAGCAGTAAATCACTATGTGATCTGGACTCAATGTAGTGGCTTCTGTACTTTCTCCAGAGGACACATGGCATACCTGGCCTACTCCGCTGTATGCAAGCTTGATGCCGTCATGTAAAATGCCTCTACAACATAGTCGTTGAGCATCAAGCGCTTTCATACATGTATGGTTGTGTGCTGAGTATCCCTTAGTCTGGCAGCAGCAGCAGCAGCAGCAGCCTGCAGCCAGTGATATGACATGGGACCATTTGGACCTTCTTTCTCTGCTTCCAGATTGTCAGCTTGTTCTTGGAAGTGCTGAAGGCGTTTGTAAATCGCTATCACGCAGAGCTCGTGGCCTGGCTGCCAACGCTGTTGCAGCGCTGCTTCCACAAAAGCAGTGGTGAACTGCGCTCGTCCATCAGCCTACGCCTTCACGCGCTGCTGTCTGATGTGAAGTGAGTTGCTGGTTGCTGATGATCTGGCTGTTCTGCCACAGGTGTGCTGCGGTTGACTTGGTGTGTATTGTAGTGTTACCCTGGTACATACTAGTCCATGTACATGTACAGTCATTGTACAGTCATGTACAGTCATGTACATGGACTAGCAATGCCACGTCTACACTTCACACACATGCACTAACTTCCACACTAGCATCAAATATCTAGGCCTGCTCGTAGAGGATTCGATAGTGAATGCTGCTGTCTGATGATCGCTGAAATGCGTGAAACTTAAAGTTACAGCTACACAGCCTTTCACCTCTGCTGTGTGTGTGTGTGTGTGTGTGTGTGTGTGTGTGTGTGTGTGTGTGTGTGTGTGTGTGTGTGTGTGTGTGTGTGTGTGTGTGTGTGTGTGTGTGTATACTGCTCTATACATTCGTGCATTGAGCACTCTACCTCGAGCTGCCTAGACCGGCCTTGTTTATGTACATGGACGTACAGTGTACTTAGCTCTGACTTTCGGTTGCTTGTCACTGCGTATCCTTCCTTCAGAGAGAAGTTTGACACTCAGCTGCAGATGCAGACCGTGTTTCAGCTTCTGGAAGACCAGTCGAGTGCTGTGACAGCTGGGGTGAGTTGCTGAGTCACGTTTGTAGTTTTGAGAGAGACAGGCATGTGTTGGAGACCTAGTGCCTACACCTCTTGTTGTTAGAAGGTTGGACTTGGTTTGCATTTTGTTCTCTGTGTTTTCGATGCGCCTGTGTTGCAGTACAAGTTGTCACTCTTCCTCTACCTGGAGCAGCTGGTACCGACCATGGACCCTGGTGATTTCGTCAGCTCACCTGATATCCACCTGTACATTATTCATTGTATAGGTGCATGTGTGTATGTGCATACTTGCCGATAATTTGTGCTTTTTTGGCCGTCACAAAAGTATGTGTTGTCCAACTGTTGTTTTCTCTCATGTCTTGGCTGCTCTTGCACCATCACCAGTCATCATGTTCTTGTTCATTGTCACTGTAGGTAGTATTGTGGAAACATCTGTATGAAATACATTTGCACTTTTGAGTTTTCTCCTTGACCGTGCTGACGCGATTCTCGCACAATCCATGCAAGGCTTGTCGACCACCATAGCTCGCTCCCTGGATGCAAACAACGCGGACGTGCGGCGCAGTGCTACGCGCGTCACGGCCGCCCTGTTTGAGCTGAACACGGCCACGTTCACCACTATGCTGTCGAGCTTGCCACGCAACTATCAGGTACTGAGTGTAGTGCAGTGGCTGTCCTGTGTTGCACTGGTGTTCACACACTACAAATGCATGTGCGCAGTAGTGAATGTAATGTCACACTGGTGTGTGTGTGTGTTAGCTCATTACAAATGTATGTGCGCAGTAGTAGATGATGACTCATCGGATCGGGGTTCATGCGTTGTGCTCTACTTCAGACAAGTGTCATGTTTCATTCCCACGTTGGGGACGAAATAACTACATGTATAGTGTGTACCAGATATATTCGCAAGAAGACTACAAAAGTTTAACTCTTTACCGCAACGTCAGCTTTATTGCATGTACTTCGCCTTTGCTACTTTCGCAAGCCTTGACTGAGTCAGTGACTCTAATGAGGGCATGGCGGTGCTCCACTGGTGAGTGTACCACCACATTCCATGACGACCACTTAAAAAATGAGTTTGGTGAACTTCAAATACTACTATTTGTACCCAGTTGTATTCCGCATTGCAAAAGCTGGTTCGCTGTTATGTGCATTCCACATCATAGCTGGGGTCCAATGCCGCTTTCTTCTTGTTCCTGTTCTGTGTTGTGTGTTTCTGCTTGTAACTTGATAGGACCATGCCAGAAAGGTGATGCAGAGTCACATGCAAGGAACGGTATGTTCTCTTTCCGGTATTCGGTAGCCATTCGCTTTTCGAACTCATGTGCTCGTCTCTTGAACATGTGCAATAGGTTCAAAGCTGGCACGATGAGGTTTTTTTCTAATGGCGTTTACATTCAAAACTTTGTTTACACTGAAAGATACCGAGCTGTAAACATTGGCATGACTTAACGAAAGAACCCAGGGTAGTTTCATTGAAAATGGAGAGATTCTTCTGCTACCCACATGTAACAAAGTCAACTGCAGAAGAAGTCAGTGGCACCTTCTGTGCTGGATCTAGTACTTTCTGTATGACATGTACTGAAGTGTATGCTATGTTCCCGGGTCACCTGGCATGGTCGTAGAAATGATGTCCATTCTGATTAAGTGTACTGGAAGCTTGCTGGAGCAATTCATCTGGCAAAGATGTTGCTTGACTGCTCCACTGTACATGCACAGCTGTCGGCGTCGCCCAGTCAATCGCCTGCAACCCTGCGATCACATACAAGTGGTTCTAGTCTCCTTGGCAGCTCTGCTGGCAGTGGTAGCAGCAACCTTTCTCAGATGAAATCGCTTTCCAGCACGTCCTCGCCAGACCTGCGCGAGCTGCGGCGTTCATCGGCCTTGTCGCCCTCGCCTTCTGCCTCTTGGAAAGCATCACACTCAAAGAGTTCAACCAGCCCTGGGCTGATTAGGCATTCAATTCCATCAGCAACGACAGTCAGCACAAAGACTTCTCCAACTGTAGTAAAGTCGTCGTATCAGCCAAGATTAGCCCAGGCAGCAGTGACCACCACGACTACTACAGGAGCCGTTACAACAGCAGCACAACAGACTGATGCTATTCGGAGAACTTCTTCCACCCCATTGTCAAGCGCTGGCAGCAGCAGCAGTATTCGTACACCATCTGCAAGCACGGTATGACACACAGTGTGTGGTACAGATGCTGCTAGTGTGGCTGTGCTGCACTGTGCTGTGCTGGGTGATTGCATTGGCCAGTAATGTCCCCTATCCCTCGGGATTTGCAAAGCAGAAGACCCAAAGTCAGATGCATTCGTTATGTGCTACTTTGGGTAGCATCATCGATTTTAAAAGTCAAGTACATGTACATGATGTATCCGTTCTCCATGCTACATGACGGAGCAGCCATTGTTTTGCTGTCTGCCTGAGCCAGGTGACCATCTGCCGACACGCACACCAAACAATATAATTCACACGGTGAAATTGTGTAATGTCAGTCTCTGCCATTCATTGTGTGAGATTTTGACACCAGTGTCTACCTTTCATTGTGCGATTTTTTGATGCTGCAGCCTGATAATGCAACTGGGGACTCTGCGGGAACGAACGACAAACCTTACAACCCCACTCTTTACCAGAGTCCAGCTGAGCAGCAGAGTGTGTCCGCGGACGCGCCTGCACGACGCTCATCTCTACCTAGCCCGTCAGCATCCACATCATGTGGTGATAAGACAGTACCAGACTTGTTTGACATGGCGTGTGACTTTAATCGTTCCAGCAGGTGAATATGTCAGCTTTTCTTGTAATTCTCTTCACTCTCTTTTTTCGGAGTTACCACTCCACTTTTGTGGTGTATAATTTATCGGTTGCAGTAGTGAAGTTGCCCATGCTGTACGCTTGTTGTAAGTCGACAAATTTCCGCCGCATACCAGTATTTATTTTTGGCTATTTTCGGCCTGATCCTATGTGGCCGAAAATTTGTTGCAGCCGAAATTTTGTTTTGCAAGGTTCAGTGTGACAGTGTATACAGGCAGCAGTAGTACAGGCCGAAAATTTGTTGCAGCCGAAATGTGTTTTAGTCCTGGGAGGCTGAAATTTGAATTGGCCGAAAATTTGTCGACTTACAGTATGTTATGCTGGACGCAGGGCAATCTGGTGATCGGGTACACGTATAGCAACAGGTTTCCTCTCTCCTGTCTATGGCATGAGCAAGCTCAGCCTGTAGGTCTTGAGCTCAGGCAGTGTGTGTGGGGGGGGGGGGGGGGTCGTACCTGTTGTGTTTTGCTTTGCATTCACGTGTTGCTTTTCCTCTCCTCTTTTCGTCCCCAGCGAGCGTGTGAAGGCCCTGTCGTCACTACGCTACTTGGACTGGCAGACCGCACCACTGAGTGCAGTGCTTATGCCATTCCGGGCGGATGTCAATGCTCGACTTTCCAGTCTTCTTCAGGATTCCGACGTATGTACTAATGTTGCATGGTGTTTGCAACCAGTTCCTTTCCTCATGGACTTCTATCGTGACCAGCATACGTGCATACCTGCATGGATAGACAGAGCGTTCGTCTTTGGGCTCCTATAATTTGCTTGTGGTGGGAACAGCCTTCTAGTTGTTTGTGGCACAGTTGCCTGTAGTAGCGTGTTTCTTTGCCGTACGGTGTACATGTACATGTAGCTTGAGAGTGACGTTGCCCGCAGGGTGCGTAGCTGACTGTCACCTCATCAAGCGTGCTCTGTTGTGTAACCGTTTATCCTTCCGCTGTTTGCAGAGAGAGGTCCAGTACGCAGCCCTTCAGGTTTTCGAGCAGCTGTTTTCATCCTCGAAGGGGTCGCCCAGTGTTCCTCCGGAGGCGTCTAGCATTCCGGCCGAGCCCTGGTTTGTCACGCAAGCGGATATCTTGACCTGCTTCGACAGCGTCGTGGAGTGCCTTTGCTCTGACGACAAGAGGGTAAGATTTAGTTCTGTGTGTATGTGTATGTATGTGCCGAGAACAGTGAAAAGACACCTTTGCACTGCTACTACAGTGGTGGCAAGTCTAGTCCTACTCCAGGAGCAGTGTGCTCACACTGCACCAATACAACATGCGACCTCACCAGCCTCAATAGTGCAGCAGCCCAAATCTAAAAGAGATTGTTTTGCAAGTCCCGATTCAGTCTCAGGCAGACAACCTGAGCTTTGCATGGGTGCAAAGACCATGTCCTGGAGATGTCGAAACGGCTTGTTGTCATGCCCACAACTAGGACATTAGATGGGGAGAAGCATATTATTTTAGGTTTCTTTGGCTAGTCGTTGTTTTACGACTCCTTGATTTGAAATTTTCAGCATTTGTTACGATATACTTCGAAGTATGTCGATAATAAGTGTAGTCGAAGTGAGTTGTTTTTGTGTTTGGGTGATTTGCTTGTCGAAAATCTAGCTAAATGTCGACAGAATTTTTATTTAGCTTTGGGTTATACCAAGAGTCCATAAACAAGAGTATGCAACTGTGATCTCTTTTCTATGGGCCAGATGCGCGGCGCACTGCCTTCATTACATCATTCAGCTGCAGTCCGCACACTGCGGAAAATCAAACACCGCACTTTCCCTCTGGTTTGAAATGAACTTTGGTACGAAACTGGAGTTTACGCGCCAAAATTTAGAGATCGTGTAGGTACTGGAAAGAATCGAGCAAAAACGGATGGGCTTGTACGAGAAATTGTGGGTTTGAGTGCATGCTTCCAGAGCGTGATGAAGGCACGTTACGTAATGAAGGCAGTGCGCCGCGCACTGACCCATAACCACAATTGCATGCTCTTGTTTATGCACTCTTGGTTATACTACTTCAGTAGTAACACATGAGAACAAGTTATGCACCAACTATCCATGACTGTAACAAGATGATAAAGAGTCAGAAAGTGCGATAATAGGGCACAAAACTGACAGGCTACTGCTGCATGACACATTCTCATGTGTTTCTACTCTTTTTTACATTTATTACTGGCTCAGTATCCGGGTTTAACTTTTACTTCAGTAGTGCGAGTAGTTTCATGCAACGAAACGAAGCTGGCCGTACACATTACAACATTCCTCTACCTTTCCTCTCCTTATGGGTCGTATAGTGCTTGCACTATTTGAAGAAAGATCTGGTCCCTAAGCTCACCAAATGTTGCTGTCATGGCTTGAAGGATTGCCATAGCATCGATCATCACGATGGTGACTTGTTGCTGAACGTGTTCAGGAAGAGGAACGTCTTTCTCCAGCAGTGCAATCAATGCTGATTTGGCAGTAGTTTCTGGGGAGCTATCAGCTTTCGCAATTGCCCGTGGTACAGCCCCAAGTTCGTAGAGCAATGCATCACGCATGTCCACTTGTTGCTCCTTTGCCGTAACCAACAGCCGAGTAAACAGCTGGCGATCAGCTTTGAGGGCTTCTATTGTTGATGCTGCCTTTGTGCGCTTGTTGCTGGGTTTGGCAAAGAGCGACAGACTGTGGCTCGTCAACGGATGGTAGAAGCTGACTCTCCCCCGAGCTCAGACGGTCATTCAGGAAAGCATTCAAATCATATTCTCCCAGCACACACGTAAGCGTTACGTACAGCATTGCACTGTGCATCTGGAGATACTGCCCTCGTCGACAAGCTGACCAATGAGTCACCCGCGAAAGGATCGCCCCGGTTGTCCAGCAGGTAAATCAACGTTCTGACATCACTGCTATCGCGCTGTCGCCATGGTGTTGCAGAATCCTTGTGCACATTACGGGTATCTGAGGATGCTGGTCTTGCCAGTACGTCAGCTGCTCGGGTGATCGCCGACCGTTCATGAATGGTGAGAATCCATCTGTGGACGGCTCCAGACTTTTTGGTGAATCCAACAAGTCCACCTTTCGATTTGCTATCCCAGTTGAACGTTTGCTCGATCGTCTGGTCCGCAGGAACTTTAGCAAATGTCTTGCCAGACCGAGATGCACTAAAGTGACTACTCAGGAGTTCTTCGTGAGCAGATGGATTCTTCTGGGGGAGTTACATGATGCTAACCCAATAGTACGTTGCACGTCTGGCATAGTTGTGGTGGTCATAGCTGGAAAAACCACAGCAACATTCTATGAAGATAAGCTAAGTGTAGGGGCCAGTTCCCTGTGCGAGTAGCGCGGATGAAGCACGGCACCAATTGAACCATGTCAATGTATGTCATCCAGAATTGACCAAGTCGTGATGTGGATCGCACTGACTTGTTGGCCTCTTCAAAGGGATCCACAGGGGTGGGGGTCGTTGCTTGCGCAGAGCTGCGACACAGTTGCATGACTGGTATCTTTCCGGACGTCACATACAGGCTGCCGGGGGCATTAGCAGGATCCTGCTGTGACTCTGCACTGTCAAACTGACCGAGTCATATCTTCACAAGTGCTTCAAACACCAACTTGTGGCAGCGAAGGGAACGGTGGTAGTGCTTTTCCTTTAGGACACGGTTACAAGCGCTGGATCCAATGACACCAGGTTCCACCAGGAGATCTTTAAAGCCAGCGTCGCCAAACCGTTTCCCAAGTACTGCCAAGAATACACACACAGTATGGAAAGCCCCCATCCGGAGGACAACTTCTGGGAATGCATGCTGGTGTTTCCATACTAGGTGCAGAGACTTGGCATACACTGCCTGATTACGTGTCATGATGCACTGCTGCTGCTGCCCAATGCGTCGGGTAATCTGTACTGAATGCTGTACAAGTTACATTACTATAGCAAGTTCAGTAGGTGGAGCAGCGATAACGGGTAGTTAACCAGCTTCTGTTGGCCGGACGTGGACATCAGGAGATGGGTTGATACAAGCGTTGAAGCCAGACCAGGCAGTAACAGCTTACGCATTTTCGCTGCCTACAGTGCTATCGCTTGGAGGACTGTGGAGGAGACGAAAGCTTGGACTGGGCATGCATTCAACGTACAACTGGCGCCGGTGTGCACGTCCAATTGCTGGATAGCGAAGGCTGTGTCCGCAATAACTGACTGCAGTTGCTCGGCAAGAACGTCGGCTGCTGGTGCAGATCTCGACACCTCCACAGGGTAAAGTAGCTGCACCGTCCTCCACGGGAAGAGCATTTGATCACTGCTCCTCGGACCTTGTTGTCCTTGCCTCGAATGAGGTCTTCGACTAATGCTAGCCTCCACTACTACGACTCGTACCGGTACTAGTGCTACATGTACTAGTATCTTGCTTGCTACTCAACTGGAGCTGCTCCTGTGCAGTTCGTATGTTGCCAGTAGCTGAAATTGACTTTGTAGGTAAGCCCAAACGTGTTCAGGGTGACGTGTGTACCGCAACCCCGTGATCTTACTTGTGCGCGTGCAATAGTCCACACATGCCAGGGGCACGCACACAACTGGCTAGGAATCGTTTTAGCTCCGGGGCACTCGTACTGAAAATCCAGGGGTCGCGTTTCATTTGCCACCACTTCAGTATTGTGTACTTGGCTATGTAATGAATACTGTATAATCTTGACTAGTTTGAGGGAAAGACCAACGGACTGTATAAGCAGAAATATTCGTCTGGAATTTAATTTCGTCTTTTTCGTCCAAGGAGGTTTTGGACTAAATTAAATGGCGGACGATTGTCGATTTGTCCAGCTTTTCAATACACTCTTATGATCCATGGACGAAATTTACAGCCAGACGAACTTCTTTGGTGTTGGACGAAATTATTGACCGACGAAATGTTCTGCCTGTACAGTACCCTAGAGTGAACAATGTGTATCACTGCCACTGGGAAACTTAGGGTGCCTGGGGGGTACAACTTTTAGGGGTAATTTTAACTTCATCTTTGAGTTTATCGGCAAGGTGGAGATGAAAATGTTTTTCGGTGAATCTCTGGAGAAGAACTCTTTCTAACTTCCCATTGTCTCATTTTTACTTTTGGACAAAATTTAAACAGTTTATGAATGGTGTTTTTTCACTGTCCTATCATAAAAACTTTTTCAAATATTGTCCAAAAGTAAAACTGAATATAGGAATAGAGAGGGCTATTCTCCAGAGGTTCACTGAAAAACTTTCTCAAATTTATCCTCCATTTTTTTGTTTCCCATCCTGCTACAGTACAATGATCTGTGCTTGCACTTTGCACTTTGATTACCGGTACATGTATTTGTTGCTTGGTTGTGCTGAGTGTGGTGATCTCCTGCCTGGTTTGTTTGACCCGTGTGCAGCTTCGTCATGAGCTTGTTGTGATAGTACCAATACTAGGTAGTCAACTGCCTGCCGTGGAGCTCTATCAGGTGGTTCTGCCGCGTACGAATGGTATACAGTACCCGCAAGTGGAATGCTACCTGCGGCTCTTGGCAAAGGTCAGTCTGCTGCCAGTTTGTATGGTGCTGTGTTATCAATAGCCTCCGGCTCTAGATAACATTGGCTTCATTATGGACTCGAAGTTGCTTTCTCGTGCTTGTGTAGTGGACTTGCTGTAGTGCAATGCCAATAATCCTTACTTCATACGTGGCTGCGTTCAAAGCTTCTTCTTTGCTGTTGCTGTTGTTTTCGTGTGTGCACAGCCTAGGTTGCTTTCTGGTTTAGAAACTTTCAAAAAAATATCTAAAAAGGTCCCTTTTTGCTTCACATGAAGCTCCTGACGGGTCATTGTTTGTTTTCTTGCTGTAACTTGAATAGATTTTTGGCCGAGTAGCGGCAGAGCTGCTGCTTCCTGACTTGGAAGTCCTTGTGCCGCGTATCTTACAGGTAAGTTCTCCTGTTTTTGTGTGGCATATGTACACTCACACATGGGTGTTTTGTTGAAGACGAGCCGAGGGGACTCCTCCTAGCCGTTTCTCGCAATGTTCCGCTCACACCTTCAGTCTTCACCTGACCATGAAGTAAGGAGGACTGTGTTCAGAGGTTGCTCACTGCCCGCCTTGACCTTCAACACCTCAAAGTCAAATCAGAATGCATGTGTATATATGTTGGTGTGCGACGCCCGAGTATCATTGTGTTTGCCACTGTGTGTGTTAGTGTGATGGACTGAGATATACTTGATCTAGGAGAGGAGGGTTGTGTCGTTGTGTGACTACTAGTAATCCGACTAGTGATATGTGCGTGTACGTGTGTGTAATGCTGTATCCATGTGCAGTGCTTCAACCACACAGAGAGCTCAGTGCGGCATGCAGCCCTCAACTGCCTTGTCGAACTGCAATTAGCCGTTGGCAAAGACTCGCTGTCACCTCACCTAGCCAATCTGACAACAGCACAGGTAGGCTCGATAAAGATAGCGCTATGGTGCCTCGCTGGGTTTCTACGCTCTGCTATTTGCTGTGAGCTTGTGTGTGCTCGCGTGCTTGCTTGGGTGCCTGCATGTGTGGTTGTAAATGTTTGGTACGTGCATACACATGCACATGTATTGTGACTGATTTGTGTGACCGTGTTTGGTGTGCTCCTGGTGTACTGACAGGCCAAGCTTGTTGAGCTCTATGTCCGACGTACCAGTGCTCAGAAAAAGGACGTTGACCCCACTGTCTCTCTAACTTGAGTTTGTAAACACACATACACCGAGGCCACTCGCTCCTATTTAACCATTTCACATCACACTGAATGTAGATTTATTTTTCACTTGGGGCAGCAGCCGCTGTCAGTCGGTAGTACTTGATGCTCCCATTTAGTTTTCTTACGAATTTCCTACTCTGGGAAGCTTAGCAATAGATATACATCTAGAGGGACACATCGGGAATTCCATTCCTTTTTTTTTTTTATAATGCCCAATTTCGTTGGAGGAAACATCTGCAGCCGCTCTACTTTTCAGCCCCCAAACTGTTGTATTCTGCTGTACGAAAGGGAATCAGCCGTTTCACTCCACTCTGCACTTTCAGCATGTTCCTGCCTCAGCAGCGGTTGTATGTCCTGCACTTTCAGCTTGGTCCTGCCTCAGCAGCGGTTGTATGTCCTGCACTTTCAGCTTGGTCCTGCCTCAGCAGCGGTTGTATGTCCTGCACTTTCAGCTTGGTCCTGCCTCAGCAGCGGTTATGTGTGCCTCTATGCATCTAGGTTTCTTATTTTCCGATAGGACCCCGCTCAAAGGGGGATGTATTTACTTTTTTTAAAACTTTAGTCACCTGTGATAGTCGGGTAATTGTAGTGGTATTTTTGACTATTTTCTCTGGTCTGGCATCAAAGCAGCTTGCTGTGCGTAGCCTTAACGTTAGTCTCTACTGACCGTGACATTGTTGCAGTTGCCTGGCTGAATTATTCGTGCTGTGATTGGGCGCAATGGCACATGTACTACTGCCGCATGGGTGGCACTTTCCCGTCTACGCCACTCACTTCACTCTGCACGTAATTTATGGTAAAGATAGAGATTTTTAATTTCCCCTCGAATCAGAACGCCTCCAACTGCGTGCCGTAATGTACAATGTCGAATTTGCTGCAGGTATCTAGTGTTCAACGCTTTCGCTCGGCTGTCACTGACCCTTCTGCTTTCCATGTTCCTGCCTTGTCACATGCGTGCAATAATTTGTTTGGAGTAATGGATGTGTTTCATCATTGCTGTGGTTGTCCTCTGCAGCTTCTGCATAACGTTACTCCTTTAGAACCAGAGTGAATGTCCTTGTTTCCACGATGTCCTCTCTCTCTCTCTCTCTCTCTCTCTCTCTCTCTCTCTCTCTCTCTCTCTCTCTCTCTCTCTCTCTCTCTCTCTCTCTCTCTCTCTCTCTCTCTCTCTCTCTCTCTCTCTCTCTCTCTCTCTCTCTCTCTCTCGTTCTCTCTCTCTCTCTCGTTCTCTCTCTCTCTCTCTCTCTCTCTCTCTCTCTCTCTCTCTCTCTCTCTCTCTCTCTCTCTCTCTCTCTCTCTCTCTCTCTCTCGCCTGTGTGCATTTGTGCCTGATAAATGCTCTTGCTAGTTGTGGTGCGATGGTGATGCCGGAAATCACCGAAGCAATACTATATGTACAACCTGCAGGTTGATCAGTTAGTGACTGTGTCTGAGTGTGTGGTGTGCGGGGTGTGCTGGGCGCTAGCTGATGCTTGCTGCTGTGGATTCAACTGGCTTTGCATTGTCCGCAGAAGAACGAGTCTTTTGAACAGGTGCAGCGGAGTGTTTTCGCTGGTCCATGCCCAGCTGTGTTTTAGATTCTTTACTGTTGTACATTGTGCATTGTACATTGCACACCACACTGCACAAGTCAGGACTTCCTCCAAATGTCAAGCTGGTTGCAAGATGTTCCCACTGTGCACAGTAGTCGTGTGTTTGTGCAATGGACAGGTACATGCTAACAATAGCATAGCCACAGCCACAGGGGCCAATATTCGTAATAATGATTGACTTCCTCCCTGTGTACAGGCTGTTGTTGGCTCTGGCAAGAATTCTTGGTCTGTTGCACACCTGTTGAACAGCCGGAGGAAGCATACAACAGATAGTGTGGCAGTTGTGCTGTGTGTATGCTTCCTGGCGTAGCACTATCAGGTCCCAAGTACAGTAGAGAAGAGAAGCTCTCATGAGCCATCCATCTCACTCAGTTGCACCAGCTTTCGGACTCAAAGGATGTTCGCAGACTGAGTTCAAGGGCGTCGGACACGGTACGGTCACTACGGTATTGACCATACCACTTTTTGGCCCAGGCACCCCGTGAATCAATAAAATACACTGATCTGGACTCGAAACTACTACTAAATTTCCAGAATGTTCGGCTCCGCCATTCCTCCCCCACTAGTAAACTGTACTTCAGATGACAGACCGTACCACCCCAAAATACCCTCCGACGCCCCTGGAGTTGTAGAGAGGAAATACAATCATAATAACTAAATAGCCTGAGACTTTTGCCTTGTCCATACATCTGCAGAACTATGATTTTAGTGCATCATTGATTTTGGTTGGACGGTCTTATCTACCGTACCGTACCGGCACGCGTCTTGTTGATGGGCCATAGGGCGACCGGAGAGCGGGCGCACGGTAGATCGCACGCCCGCTATCCACCTCCAACGCTTATCGATCACGCTGGTACATTGGCCCATGCGCATTATGACCCCATGATTGGGCCTGGTGCCCGGGCATATTGGTTCAGACACGCAGGACTAACGAAAAAGGCCTCCCCTGCTGATCTTGCAGATGTCGCGGATTCAGCACAGGTAGAGTCCACACACGAAATCAGATTTGGCAAGGGTGAACTTTTCAGCTCGTCCTGCGCCTTTCGACTGCGAACTGGACAGGAGTGTGAGCTTCACTTTATCTTTAGCTTGGTGAACGAAGGTGTCGGAAAGGTGCTCTCGGCCTCTCCTTCACAATGGCTGCCCGACTACCAGCCGCAGTCGTAGACTGCGGAACCGGCTACACAAAGATGGGGTACGCCGGCAACACCGAACCGCAGTTTATCTTTCCCAGTGGTATTGCCATCAAGGAGAAGGCAGGTGTTGGAGACAAATCCCAGCAGAGAGTAACGAAGGGAATTGATGATCTTGATTTTTACATCGGAGATGAAGGAGAAGCGGCAACTGGATATGCTATCAAGTACCCCATCCGACATGGTGTCGTTGAAGACTGGGATTTGATGGAGCGCTTCTACGAGCAGTGTATCTTCAAATATCTCAGGGCTGAGCCAGAAGATCACTACTTCTTGCTGACCGAGCCCCCGCTCAACTCTCCGGAAAACCGCGAGTACACCGCAGAAATCATGTTCGAGTCGTTCAACGTTCCCGGACTGTACATTGCCGTCCAGGCTGTGCTGGCTTTGGCTGCATCGTGGACATCTCGTCAAGTAGGAGAGCGTACCCTGACAGGAACAGTCATTGACTCTGGTGATGGTGTTACTCACGTTATTCCTGTAGCTGAGGGCTACGTCATTGGTAGCTCCATCAAACACATCCCTATTGCCGGTAGAGATATCACATACTTTGTGCAGCAAATCCTCAGGGACCGAGAGACTGGCATTCCACCAGAGCAATCTCTTGAGACTGCCAAGGCTATCAAGGAACGCTTCGGTTACATTTGTCCCGATGTTGCCAAGGAATTCAACAAGTACGACGCTGACCCTTCAAAGTGGTTCAAGAAGTACGGCAGCAAACACCCAGTTACCAAGAAGGACTGGGAGGTCGATGTCGGTTATGAGCGCTTCTTGGGACCTGAGGTGTTCTTCCACCCAGAGTTCTGCAACCCCGACTTCACCACACCGATTTCAGAAACTGTGGATGTAGTCATTCAGAGCACCCCCATTGATGTACGTCGTCCTCTCTACAAGAACATTGTTCTGAGCGGTGGCTCAACCATGTTCAAGGACTTTGGTCGTCGCCTGGGACGTGACGTCAAGCGTGTCGTAGATGCCAGAATCAAGCTCTCCGCGGAGCTGAGCTCCGGCCGCATCAAGCCCAAGCCCATCGATGTCAACGTCATCACTCACCACATGCAGCGCTATGCTGTCTGGTTCGGTGGCTCCATGCTGGCCAGTACCCCAGAGTTCTACCAGGTGTGCCACACCAAGGCCCAGTACGACGAGCAGGGTCCCAGCATTGCACGCCACAACCCCGTCTTCGGCACCATGTCTTAAGTCCTAACCCGGAAATAACATGCATATCATGCCTAGTGCACTTGACTGCCTATGGATTCTGATAATCTGGCATTCTCATAACAGTCTTGGTCCTAGTGGACTATTTTTACTACTAAATGTCTAAATCTAATACTATCACAATGGTCAGTACTGGCGTGCAGTATGTGTAGTTGCTTGTCTGGTTCATACACGTACTGTGCTCGTGTTGCTCATTCCCAGAGTGAGCGTACGAGTATATTGTGCTGAGCAGCTCACAACAAGATCACGTAGAGCATGCAGCATGTGCATGGAATAGAATAAGATAACGTCACGATAAGGGCAGGTAACAGACTTTTTACTGTGTCATAGCGGCCTTCAACACTCAAGGTCATCAGATAGGTTGCATGTCTTGGATGCTGCCAAAGGCACTAATACATCTACAGTGGGACAGGAGTTCTCTCCAATCAAACAAAAACGAAAAATTAATAGAATAGAAAACTACGCACTGTACATGGTGTTGTGGAGAAATAGGTCGGCTGAAGTCAGTACATGTATCAGAAAAGATGGCAACTGGCTCGCGTTGCTGCCATAGCCTAGAAGTCTTCATCGCTGTCACCCAGCTCGCGTTGCTGCCATAGCCTAGAAGTCTTCATCGCTGTCACCCAGCTCTCGTTCACTACCGCCATAGTCCTCGATGTCTAATGATTCTTCCTGGCCGACGTCACCTATGCGGGGACGGAACTCGCCGTCATCCTGTGCAGGAACAGAAAAGAAGTGCAGCCACCTAGTTACCTATTGCCGTTCCTGGACGCACTTAACCCAACACAAACCAAACTTGGCTACTTGTACTACGGACTGCTTGGGCCGTTTAAACATGCGAATTTTCAATCCGGGTTGAAAGTCTGTACGGTGGAAATGAATAGGCGGGTGTTTTACGTGAGAACTCCGACCCGGGTTGATTACTGATATGAGTATGCGTCCATTTCTTGAGTCCTGTATAATTGCACGACTTCAACACGTGTCAAGCACAATGCGTCATGTAAACGCTCCGGTCAATCTGTGTTCACGGTGGGATGAAACTTGACCCAGGTTGAACTCAACCGACATGGAAAACTCTCATATAAACACAGCCTCGGTGATGCTGCGATGCGTTTGCTTTGCTTTGCTGATACTGGCGTGTAAAGTTTTGTACGAGAAACCATTCCGGCAGTGGTCCTCAACTGGCAGCATTCAGCTGCAGTCAACACTGAACATGATTAAACAGCACAGGAATGTGATAAAATGATACTGAGCTGTCCAGACCCAGACACGACCAGCTGTTACCTGCATGACAGGCTGTGCGCCACTTTCTGAACGGTGCCCTGTCTAACAGTGTGGACTCAACTATGTGTTCAGTTAGGGCCACCAGTCCACAAAGAATAGTCACTATGTGTTCAGTTAGGGCCACCAGTCCACAAAGAATAGTCACTATGTGTTCAGTTAGGGCCACCAGTCCACAAAGAATAGTCACTATGTGTTCAGTTAGGGCCACCAGTGCACAAAGAATAGTCACTATGTGTTCAGTTAGGGCCACCAGTCCACAAAGAATAGTCACTATGTGTTCAGTTAGGGCCACCAGTCCACAAAGAATAGTCCGTACAGCCATCTTTCGAAGGGGTCTTAAAGTAATAGTCAACGCACGCTGCAGCGTATGTATATGCACTGAGACACTGGCCATTTGTCAGTGCCCGACAACTGGAAGACTAGAATGATCGCATGCTGTGGCGACAAAACATAGACGACTCGTGCTTTCTGGCAGCACACCAGCGTGTGCGCTCCAGCTCGCACTGCACGACATCATCAGTTTGGAGCAGACAGATATTCTCCCGGCACTACCCAGCAACACAACTCAACTCGTGTTTACTAACGCCCTGCGACGGCTGTGACCTGTGTGAAGATATAGTGGGAAGCCTGCTGGCCTGTGGTCTAGGTGGTCTAGGTTGTTGTTCTTCTTGCTGCTGCCTTCGCCGCTGAGGCCGCGGCGGGGGACTTTGACGCAAAGGCGCGACGGCATCCCTAAGCATTGGTGTTGGCGGCCTCGCCGCCTCTTGCCTTGTGGATGGACGTGCACCAGCTCTAGCCGCAGGACCCGGCCTTGCATCGGACATATCACTATGGCGACTGCTGTCCGGCTCCGCAGGCTGGAGGGGTAGAGGTACGAGGTCGGGCCTATCGCCACTGGCAGCCCAGGCAGGTCTGGACGTCTGCTCAGGAGGGGGGAAACTATCAGATCCAGCTTCTTCCTGCACGCTTGCATGCTCCCCAGTGATCCTGGTGATACTTCTGGGCAACTTCTCCTGTTCTGGCTGCAAATACCTACCTGTTGGAGGACGTTTTGGACGGCTTGCTGTTGTTGGGGAGAGGGTCTTTGCCTCGTCTTTGATCTTGGATTATCATGCAAGGGGAAAAGGAGTTAAACTAACATGTCAGAACTACAACAAATGTGACATTTTAAGGTGTGTGTGCGCGTGGAAGCATGCACTGTGCTGAAGAGCCAAAAGGGGACCATGACACTGTGCTGAAGAGGCAAAAGGGGACCATGACATTGTGCTGAAGAGGCAAAAGGGGACCATGACATTGTGCTGAAGAGGCAAAAGGGGACCATAACATTGTGCTGAAGAGGCAAAAGGGGACCATGACATTGACAAACATGTATACAGCAGTTGTAGTACGGGACTTACATCATCACCGAGTCCATCGATTTCTTCTGAAGTTTCTTCTGCAAGCATATTGCAAACAGGACATGCATGCACAACATGGAATCATTGCTATTCAGAGACCACATATGGTAGTAACCGCGCCAGCTACTGGAGCAAAGTGTGTAGTATTCACCCCGTCAAGGTGATAGGCCTTATGCACGTTGTACACGGATGCACGAAATCCCGTAGAATCTCGTAGAATCTTGTAGAATCCCGTAGACCCGGTTGGGTGTTGAATGTGCTGGACCCTATTGTGTTTACTGCTATTTCCACTATGAAATGGGCCCTGAAGGCATTTCAAACGAAAACATTTTCTGGCAGAGATCTAAATAGTCGTCAGTTCAATCCCAAAGTGAAGAAGCTGGAAAAGCGATTGTTTGCCATGAATTATGAGGCTAAATGGGTCAAACGCGCATGTATAGCACACAATGAACACCCAACCGGGTATGTACACACCTACGGCCCTACATGTAGTACAGAACTTCGTACATCTGCACAACGTGCATACTGAGGACTATTATTGAGCATACGCCAAAATGAAAATATCAAACATCAAATGTCTTTATTATCATTCTTATCTTCGGTCTTCATTTCAGAATAGAGTGATGGGTTACCTTCATCGTCGTCTTCGTCGTCGTCGTCATCATCGTCTCCCTCATCATCATCATCTCCCAGACCAGCGACAATGACACCATCAGCACCAGCAACACCTGCCAGTAAGCTCTCTTGCTGTTGACTGTGCGCCTGCTCCTGAATAGCTTGGAGTTCCCTTGCACGTTCCTGCCAACAAGAATCATGAGCAACAGCACGGAGATATGACAGCCAGAAAGAACATCTCGCGTAGACCCATTGCAGCCTGCGATAAGCTACAGCATACGGTACAGGCTATGCTAGACACCATCACCCCACAATAGCACAAGCATGTCTGAAAAGTTGCGTCACTTGTGTGTGTACAGGCCGGGACTGGTACCAGAGAGAACAGTAAAGTTCTCCAGCAGCATGACGCTCTTGGGTACATGACGACGTTGGGTACATGCATGCATTGGGCGGTGCAGTGATGAGCCCATCCCATCTGCATGCCCGATTACTTCTAGCTCTTACCAAGTACTTCTCCTGCTCTTCTTTGTTGATCTCCGCCACTTTGGACTCCAGAAACTTGACATTGCGAAATTTGCCCACGTATACCTGTGCAGTATGACGACAATAGCATCCAGTTCTTACAGTATGGATAACAACTAAGCTGATGGTAAACTCATCTGGCACTATCCAGTGACATGATCACCTAATGCCAAACAAGAAACAACGTCTGAAATTGATGATCATACCGGTATGCTGTCAAGCATTGACGGATCGAAAACGGGTAAATCTGTGTTCTCGAAGCCGTTCCAATTCACATTGGTGCACAACAAAACTGATCACCTGGGAATCAGCAAGCCCGGCAGCATCATACCATGTGATCATTTTTTCGTGGCTGAGCTTCAGGCCCTGCTGCAAATGACCCTTCCCCACGTGCACTCATGTATCTATTGGCACTATGATTGTCATCACCATCACCAGCACACATCACAGAAATCAAAGCTACCTACTTCATAGAGGTCTCTCATAACGGTCTCCAGCTTGTCAAAGTCATCCATGAATGCTGGCCTGCACACGGTACCAACAAGACATAAAGCATCATAAATTAAGGGGCCGTCCATAACTATCGAAAATGTTTCGTTAATGGGTGGGCGGGTCGAGGAGTTTCGTTATGGAAAATATCAATAGCTGAAACATAAATCCATTCTAGCTGTCAAGTCAATATGTTTTTCAGTCAAGGGTGGATAGGGGATAGTTAAGACTAAACTTTTTGTTCCGTGAAACTAATCGACAATGCCCGGGATGGCCCCCGATACCCCAACATATCCGATAATCATTAAAAAAAATGCTGATCCATCGGAGCATCCTCTCACACAGGGGAGTCCTCTCAGCGGCAACTTGCGAGTGGCGTAGACCATGACTGACTGACCTGACATTCTTCAGTGCTCGCATTCGCTTTCCGGCACGTTTCAGCTCTTCTTTCTTGCGAGTGATCTTTGCCAAGAGATCGCTTTCATCCGACGCCAGCTCATCAATCATCTTCTGCTTGTGTTGGATGTTGTTCTAGGGGCACAGAGAATACACAATATAGAGTCGACTGGTAGGCGACTCCTAAAAGAAACATTCTGAAGTAAAGAGCCACGGAACACCTTTAGAAGTAACCGGCCCAGACTCCCCTTGCATTGAACCGGAATTCAAGATCGACACGTCGTGTTCTAAATCCAAGCCCCCAGATGTACTTGCGTTTTTCCACTAACCATGAGCGATTCGATGCAGCGCTTCATTCCAGCTTCGATTTCCCTCATGTCGAGCTCCTTGGAAAGAGCTGTTTCGCGTTGCTCCTGTTAAAAAAATAGACAGGATGGCAAACACAAAGGTTCCTTGGTGACAGTTCTCATACACATTTGCGGCAAGTGCTACTCAGCGCCTCAAGGTACAAAGGTGATTGACTACTACAAGTACTCAGCATTTCTAACAGTAAACGGCATCAATTTGTTGTTGTATACAGCTGACTTCGCCTTAAAAGCTCACCCGGAGTTCTGTCTCACGGCCTAGCAGGTCATATAGCCTTGCACCGCGTTCGGTCAGCTCCGACGCCATTTCTCGGACCTTCTTTTGGTCCTCCATCTGGGAAAGATACAGAGAAAATATTGACGCAAGATCAAGAACTGGAAAGTCAGCTGACTTCGCCTTAAAAGCTCACCCGGAGTTCTGTCTCACGGCCTAGCAGGTCATATAGCCATTGGGTTTCTCAGCACTGTTCATTGCTGGCTTGTAGGACATATCCTGCTTTGCATTTTTTTAACTGCCGGGCTGTGCCATGCTCCATTCTACACAGCAGACCCGCACTGCGTATTGTGCATGAGCTTACTCCAAGAACATGTACTATTATATCACATCGTATATTTGTGGCAAAAACCCCGAATCACGACAACTCCCACCAAGTCATCCTTTTTCAGTATTTTAAACATTACCTCCAATAGCACCCACTTTGATAAGCTTGCAACAGGAAAGCTAGATGTGTACCGACAGATTCGTGGAGCTCCACATACAGGAGTCACTTCGGGGTGACTGCGCAGTGCTCTGAACTAGGGTTTATCTGCCATGGCTGCCATTGTTGTGAGGGTTACACATCCTTTATCCCTCATTCCCTTTTTTTTGGGTCTCCCAACCAAGGTCAGGTGCCCACTTGCTAGCTGATGATAACAATTTGACATGCTGGAAAACTTGAAAAAAAAACCAGTAAAACACACATCCGAAATGGTCCACGGTGAATCTATCCGATCGCCAAGCCAAAACGTACCAACTTGGCCAACTCCTGTGGTGTAGGTCGTACGAAGCCGGTTGCGGAACTCTCCTACATCGACAATTCATAGGACAAAAGAGACAGCGCAAGGAACCGCGCATGAAATGAAAACAGTTCTTCATTAGTGTCAAACATATACATGCACACATGCACAGCTACACAACTACTTCCAAGTACATACATCATCACACACACACACACACACACACACACACACACACACACACACACACACACACACACACACACACACACACTCCACACACTATACACACTATACACACTATACACACTATACACACTATACACACACACACCTTGAACGTGCCCATTGCCGATGGCAATGATAGCGAAGGGACTATCTGCTAGCTTTGCACACACACACACACACACACACACACACACACACACACACACACACACACACACACACACACACACACACACACACACACACCATTGGACCATTGGACGCCCATCGCCGGAGGCGATGATAGCGATGCTACAGCAGAAGCCATAGCAATTTGTGCTGGGATTGCACCATTCAACAGTTTGCAAGGCTGAAGAATTGACCGCCACTATTCAGCCTGGTCACCCCCCCCCCCACACCTGGTCCTGGTAAACACTGCCATTACGGTCACGTGTCCCCTTACGGGGCCGACAATAGAACGACGAGCGGGACCATGTTCGAGAGAGCCATCTCCAGCAGCTATGGATCTGGCTATGGATCTGGCTATGGATCTGGTCGCTTATCATCGGAAACGATTCCTCTCACGGCTGCCGCTAGAAGTGGTCCATCACTCTCCACAACAGAGCGAACATTCCATGAGCCAACGCTCAGAGTCGTTCCAACCCCCCCCCCCCCACACACACATACACACACACACACACACACACACACACACACACACACACACACACACACACACAAACACGCACGCACGCATACACACACACACACACTACTACTACTACTACTATTGACAGCTGCCAGAAATGGCCACGCCGCTCCCCAAAGGGAGGTACTGTCAGAGAGGTTAGGGGGGAGGAAGGCAATGCTCCAAGTGGCGTTCCAGATCTTGCCGCCTCCGGAACCGTCGGTTGTGGCAAACTTGGCAGTGAAACTTGAATTGTTGGCGTTCAGCCACAGTAGGGCGCTTTGGACAGGTTCCACAACGGTGACGCTTGAGACCCGCAGCCGATTTAAATGAACGCTGACAGTTCGTGCAAGTTACACCAGGAACAACAAGAGGAGCAGGGGCAGGGGCCGGCGGCTGGTCGACATCGCCTAGCCGACACTTATGCACCGCAAAGCCTCCTCTGCTACGTAGCCATCGGTTGCATGTTGGACACTGTACTGATCCAGGCTGCTCCGATACCGGGAGCTGACGGATTGCTGAACACTTGTGACGGACCATGTCGGAACTACGGCGGAACAGACGGTTGCAGGTTGGGCACTCGATGCTCTTCGGGGCGGGTTCCTTGTCCTCACCTGCTGCTGTCACCACTCCACGCCACTCTCCACGATCGCTTGCCAACTCAAACCAGTTACGCACTCCAGCCACGGATAGGTCCGTGTGAATGGTGTCCTTCCAGCGACGACGAGGTCCACAGAATGGCCGAGACTGAGGGAGACAGGCAAACAGCAACTGCTTCGGTACTCTGGTGTCATCAAGACGAGCCAGGTGCCCAAGCCACTCCAACCGTCTCTGCTGCACCATGCGTGACAATGGTGTGGGATCACCCCACTGTGCTCGCAGTTCTTGTGAAGAGATGCGCTGTTCCCACTGTCGGCCTCGCGATACGCCAAGGATGGAGCGAATGTTGGCATGGTGAAACCGGTCCATTCTATCTAAATCTGCCTTCAACGGCGTCCAGCATTCTGAACCATACAGAACCGTTGACAGTACGCAAACGACATACAGGTGGCGCCTGGTAGGGAGGTTCAGGCTCCGGTCATGTAGGATGCGCCGAAGACCACCAAAGGCCCCTGCACCCTTTGCTAGACGGCTCCGAATGTCCGCTTGCGACCGCGAGTCTGGAGTGATGGTGGAACCAAGATAGGGGAATGAGGTGACTGCTTCAACCCTATCACTGCCAATGACCAAATCAGAGCAATCAGCAGGGCAAACTCCGAAACCTGCAACGAGAAGCTTGGTCTTGGTCATGCTCACTGTGAGACCCAAGCTGGATGCGACCTCACAAAAGGCACACAGGGATTGATCGGCTGCGTTGCGAGTTGTAGCGAGCAGTACAGCATCATCCGCAAACTCGAAGTCATCAGCATGGCCGGACTCGGAGTGGGGACGACGCCTAGTGACACGAGGGAACAGCTGGCCATCAATTGTGAAGCTGAAGTCCACACCAGACTCTATTCCACGCTCAACGAGAAGGGATCGCCAACGCTCAATAACTAAGCCGAAGTACAAGTTAAACAGTACAGGTGCCATAACGCACCCTTGGCGCAGCCCATTCTTGACAGATATCGGATCCGTGCAACCACCGGCAACGCGAACGCAAGCTGACATGTCTGTATGGAATGATTTGATGATGGCCACAGTCGGGGGCGGCACACCCAGCCGCAGCAATGCCTGCCAAAGAGCTTCGCGAGGGACAGAGTCGTATGCTTTGCGGAGATCCACAAATACGCAGAAGAGCTTCGATCGATGTTCGTACGACTTCTCGACAAGTTGACGGACAGAGAAGATGGCGTCCGCACAACCACGGTGCCGCCGAAACCCGCATTGGGATTCAGGCAGTTCCGCCTCAGCAATACCTTGCAATCGGTTTTGCATGATCCGAGCAGCCAACTTGCCGACAACCTCCAGCAATGCGATCCCTCGCCAATTATCGCAACGAGAGAGGTCGCCCTTCTTTGGAATCGGTACCAGCAGTGCATCGCGCCAGTCCTGGGGCACGCAACCCCCCGACCAGACAGATTGGAGTAGGTCCAGGAGGAGTGGATGGAGGACAGGCACACCAACCTTCAGCAGCTCCGGCACAATCTGTGACATACCACCAGCTTTGCCATTCTGTAGGTGTCTAATTGCCTGAGTCAGCTCATCCTCCGATGGTGGCAGTGAGAGGGAGTCCTCGACCTCACGCTGAGGGATAAGTTGGAAGACATGCGGATCGTACACACTGCAGACATTCAAGACACCCGAGAAATGCCCATGCCACGTGCCCTGCTGCTCCTGAACAGATTCGCAAAGAACTCCATCGGCATTGCGGATGGATTGGACAGACAGGGGTTGCAAGCCCCCAAAGCAGCGTTGCATGTCGCGAATGGCAGACCAGACAGCTTTGCCACTGAAACGTCCACGGTGCACCACCGCCGCTTTGTCCATCAACCAAGTTGTTTTTGCCTTCCGGATACCAGTACGAGCCCGGCCACGCGCTTCTTTGAATGCCCGGTGATCAGAGTCCCAGGGGGGACACACACACACATACACACACACACACACACACACACACACACACACACACACACACACATGTAAAGTGACCCTCCAACATCTGGTGCAGATCAATATCAAGATTACTATCAACTTATCATCCAGGACCAAATCACGGTCCATGCGCGGGGGCATGGGTGGTGTGGGTGGTAGGTGACTGCATGGGTGGTGGGTGACTCACTTCCTCTGGGTTGTAGTTCTTAGCGGCTTCCATCGCTTTCCGCAGCGAGCTAGCCACCTTCAGCAGCTCCTGAACACAATGGCCATCAGCCGAGTATAGACGTCTCGGGTTCAACTTGATGCCGCTCTCTTTAAACTGCACACCCACACCCACATACGCGCATGCACACACACACACACACACACACACACACACACACACACACACACACACACACATACACACACAGAGGATATACTATTATGGAATTGGAGGAGCACCGTCCCTTAACAACCAATTCATCCTGTACCACACCACTGTACACACTCCGTAGAGGTATTCACGTACGCGGCACATGGCGGGAAAAGCAAGGGCCCGTGAGCGACAAATGTGCATGCTCGCATGCGTACAACGTGGACCTGCACGTGTGTGATGTGCATGTATTTTTGTGTTCATCCACCACGCGGATGGTAGGACAGCAAGTTCACTTACTAAGAATTCCACATGTGTTGTGATAAAGAACGTTCGATCGTGCTCGTTCTCCGTCGACACCGGCAGACCAGGGTCATCTTGATACCTGCAGCCAGGGTACCGACACATAACAGCACGACTTCAACCAGACCGCGCTCTGACAGGACAGCACAACGTAGAAAGTAGCACTGGAAATGGAAGCACAGGGTGTTTAGGATGCAGGTTCAGGCATACGGGTACATATGTATTGTGAATGCCTCCTCTCCGGCATCAGCATGCTGCCGGGCAGGCAGGAGTCAGCAGCACTGCAATGCAGTCTATTTCTGCACGTCTCTTCTGTCTGTGAGGTCAACAACCGTGATATGAATTACATAACCCACAACTACCTGCACAGCCACTACCCCGGGGTGCTGTGACAACGGCAGAACTTCACATCACGTGACATTGTTCAATAGGTTACGCTGGCAAACAGTGAAACCTGGCGAGCAGAGAGTTAAACCCAACGCAGGGTTACGTACAACCCTGTATCTATCATGCGCATGATACAGCAATTGTGTACGGGTTCGTCACGTGATGTGAAGTTCTGCCGTCGCAGACCCCATAGCTGGAGCGGCACACTCTTGGAGATATCAATAGCAGATACTTTGTAGACACATGAATATTATGTTGCTGGTATTGTAACATGAGCACATAGCTGGCTGCTGGCAATGCACCAACCTTGTGGTAAACCACTGCAGCATTTCAGCCACCAGCGGGAAGTTCGGGTTGCGGAAGCTCTCGATGGATAGCTGCCGTGGGTAGTCCAGATACCACAGGTGCTCGCGTAACGCTGTATCACACATACGCACACACACACGCACACGAACACATGTACGCACAGGCGTGCACACACACACCATTGCAGTGGAGTTTCGGTTGCATGTGAAGGCAAAGTACACGTGTGCCTTGCTAGTTGCTACCTGCATCTAAGTTAGAACGTTCCACAGCCAGGCACAGGTGTTGAGTCATGGTTTTGCAGATTCAATGCATTGTCAAATGTGTCAGGTACTGAGCGCTGCGCTGGGCATCCCGAACAGAACACCAATCTACCATCACCGACCGTTCTGGACGGCTGTACATCTATGTCTGTACAGTGCACTGCCTAGTCACGCTAGTCACGTGATAAAGGTTCATAAAACACAGTCTACCAGGAGTACATGTATCCCCCCCCCCCCCCCCTGTCTCACTAGAATAATAATGACTCGGATTTTGAGCTGCAGCTGTAGCTGCCCGTGTGGATGTGTAGGCGTGAGGATTGTGACACTGTGACATTGTGACATTCAATGACACAGCCACCTTGCATGGCCCCTACCATTAATTATTGTTCCTACTTCTTTTTCATTCAGAGCTCATAAGTTAGCTGGGGTTGTGTTTGACGTAAAGAACAAAAACAAACAAAACATGGTACTACGTGCTATTCATTGCTTACCTCTCATTTCGTAGAAGGGCATTTTCGCTCGCTTCAATAGCCTCAGTAGGCCACCAGCAGCGAATGCACGCTACTGCACTGTAGTTCGTGTAATTGCTGCTTCTGCTCAGTCACCGGTACTACGCGGTGTACCCGAATCCAATCGCGATACTGTTCAGGCCGCCGTTCTGCTTGCCTATGTGGCGAGGGTGTATCAGTTGATCTATCTGCCTTTCAGAGCGAGTATCCTGAATTGTTGGTATTCCCAACAGCTAGAGAATGACTATCCAGCTCCACGTAACAAGTTACGTGTCGTTGCCTCGGACCGTGACACCGCCTAGCGTAGGTCAGAGACGGCAAACGCTGCAAGTATGTGTAGCTCCAAATTTAGGAAGCCAGGATCCGTTCCCTACGTGAATGAGCTTGCTGGAACACGACACATTCACCATGTTCACCTTCCCAAACTAATACTTACTTATTATCATGAATAGTCTGAGTCACTTGTGAGTTTCATTGGTGACTTCAGCCTTCAGCTGCAAGGTCCATACCAGGATCATATCAGCTGAAGCACTGAAGCCTGAAAAGGCTGAAGTCAGAGGTGCTTTTTGCGAACCGGTAAAAACTACGAAGACGGATTATTATGTACTTGTTACTAATAGTAATACTATGTTACTTGCATGTATTGTTAGGTTCGCGCGCGAGCCAGCCAAGCTTGTGTGCATGGGCACCGTTGTCATGCTAACGACTGTAGCATTATTTTATGGCAATTATGCGCTTATTTTTTTAGGTTTTTTAATAAGGCACCCAGGGCTAGCATACTACTACTACTAGCACTCGGATCGAACTCATGAGTGAGTCGAGTAACCATGGTAACGTACATGTATCGTAGATCTACGGTACGAGTACGAGGTGATTTGGCTTTTAAATTTTGGCATTTTTTAACAAAATTTAATGTGTAAAATTTGCTTTTCTTCTGCAAGTTCTGGCTGTTTCTCTGTGTTCCGGATGGCTGTATCGAAGATATGGCTGGTGGCAAATGAGAGCCAGTTTATCGTAGATCAACCATTGACCAGAAAATTTGGTGCATATAATTTAATTCTCCCTCAGTGCCACGTCGGTAGGCCCCAGCGAGCGGCAGATGCTAGCTAAATGTTGCCAAGATGCTTTTTGGGATGCTAGCTGACAACTCAGAAAGATGCTAGTTTGGATGCTAGACAACACGAATTATGCTACCTATTAATGGTAATCATTCGGGTGAAACATTTGGGTGAAACCTTTGGGTTGAAAACGGTGTTCCGTGCTATTTATGAATTCTCACAAAGCAGGTATGTAAAAAGAGTTTTTAAAGGTGCGATGTTGGCATCGTGTTGCTATGGAACTATTTGCAATACAAAAGAGCAAATACCAAGAAGTACCAATGGCAATGTGGGTCTTGGTCACAACTAGGTAATGCAAACAAATTGAATGTAGTGCATGCAATAATTACCGTAATACTAGTTTCATAGTGTAATCTAGACCGAATTCCACATCCAGAATGCCAAAATTGGCAAAAATGTATCGGATGCCGGTAAAAACTGCTGTTTATGCTAGCATCGTGTGGAGTCACAAAAAGGCCCTTTTATGCTACTTTGGGTGCTAGCATTTGCCGCTGGTGCCTACACGTCGGTATAACTACGTGTAGTGGTGGGTGCTTTGCGGAAACAGCCTCTTTTACGGGCAAAAGCATGAGAAACCAAGGTATGATAAGAAGATACTTATCATGAGTAGACATGGTACTTGTACCTAGAACACAAGTAGAAGGCTAGATAGAGAGGTCCAGAGTCGAGAGCTAGCTGCTCACGACAAATCCCCAGCTGTAATGTCGAAAGTTATGAAAAAGTTTGCTCGTAAGGTGGCCTCCCCTCTCCACGCTGGCCGTGGAAGGGAAGGTTCGCCACCTAGTTCAGAGAGTGATATCACAGTAGATGCGTCTCCCCCTGCTCCAGGTACAGGCATTGGACAAAAACGTAGAGCTGAGAGCCCGACGGAGAGTCTCGCCCCGAGTGACACTGAAGTCAGACAAACAGGTGCAGAGAAATCCAGCACGCCTGCACCGCTCCAAGTGCAGCCCTGTGCGTCGGGCCTGTGAACGCTGGTGGTGACGGCCAGAGCATCACTGTAGAGATGAGAGACATGTTTGAAAATTTCCGTCATGAACTTCGAACGGAGCTGAAGACAATCGTGACAGACAGCATTGCCGAGACCATCGGACAACGTCTGGACAGCCTCGAAGTCGTCGTGAACGAGCAGCGCCAGGACATCAACCGCCTGTCAGCGGAGAACCGGCGCTTGAAAGCCGCTATCGAAAAATGTACTGAAGATGTTGTAATCTCAGAGAATGGCGCCAAGTCCGCCATTGCGGAAGTAAAGCAGACAGTCGCCACCTTCACTGCCAGACATCCTGTCGCCAACCTCACCAGCCCAAATCCAGCTGGAAATGCCATACAGGGCACCTCGGAGGCGACACTGCTTGACCTCGTGGCTGAAGCCACGGATAAAAGCAGCAGAGTGAACAACATCGTGCTACGCGGCCTTTTGGAGAGCCCCTCCGAAGACCTACCTGCCATAATCAGCACCTTGGCTCCGCAAGTTGCCCCCAAGGACATCCTGTCTGCGACGCGCATCGGTCAGTTACACAGTAACAGCACTGGTGCTGTCACGACTTCAGCTCGTCTAGTGCGAGCTGTGCTGGCTCCCACCACCAAAGCACAGCTAATGCGCCACAAAACGCAGGCCAAGCACAAAGGCGAGAACGTCTATATTCAGCACGATTTAACCCGCCAGGAACAGGCAAGACGAAAAGAGCTGGTTCCCAAGTTCCGTGCTCTGAGAAGCAAAGGCGTCAAATGCCACCTTCCACGTGATGCCATTACACTGAAGGGTAAACACTTGACATCCCAGGACATTGCCTGCCTCCTGACCACACAGAGCCAATAGGAAACAGCCCGGGCATCCCCAACACCACACAAGAGATCTGCAACTGCTACGGCTACCACTACTGCACCGTCTACCAGCACGATCAGTATTGCTCATTTATCACCAGCATCAACAGCTACAACTCGAAAGCTAAGTATTGCTCATATTAATGTATGTAGTCTTTATAATAAATTGCATGAGATCAAATCACTTCTACATGCTCATAATATTGATGTATTGACCCTCACTGAAACATGGTTGACCGACACTGTTCCTGATAACTGTATAAACATACCGAACTACACCGTGCACAGACAGGACAGGCAGACTGGGAGAGGAGGCGGTGTCTGCATGTATGTTAGAGATGAGTATGATAATCGGAGATTACACCACTCCTCAGACGTGGAAGTTCTTGCTGTGCAGATAAATGTATGCCAACAACCATTGACCATATTCGGCATTTACCGAGCGCCAGCGGTACCTGTAAGCTTCTGGTCGATCCTCACTGACTTGATCGACGACTCGCTGAGACGTGCACCAGCCTCCACCTGCTCTATTGTTCTAGGAGATTTCAATGTGAATGTACAAGATCCTAATCATACACACTACTCTCATCTACAAACACTCTGTAGTGATTTCGACCTCCGAAATGTTGTCACCTCGCCAACCAGATATCCAAGCGGAACAACGATAGATCTAGTATTAGTACCCAACTCCACTTTCACCACACCACCTGCAGTACTCAGCGGGACTGATATTGTCTTCAGTAGTTCGACTGTAATTGCGTGTGATATTTCAGACCATAATCTGGTTCATGTTCATTTCACCGTCCATTCTGATGCTCAGCCACACCAGACGAGTAGACAAATACAGATACGTAAGCCACCAGTTCGGTCTCTGAATATCATAGATTTCCAAGAAACAGCCACTGAGAAAATGTTCAACCTGTCCCACCACGCTAGTGCCTCATCGCCAGAGTCTCTAAACACACGCATTGTACATTGGCAGACTGCAGTTCAGGGTGCACTAGACGAGCATTGCCCTGGTAAACGTGTGAATATCAAGAAAGCATACGCTCCAGCCCCATGGATGGATGATGAACTCCGCCTTCTATTGTTTAAGCGCAAACGGGCGCACCGTGCAATGCTCAGACACCCAGACCAGTCAGATCTCGTACAACAGTTTAGAGCACTTCGCAGGCAATGCAAATACCTAACTAGAAAGAAACGGTCGACATACTTCCAAGAACAACTTGTCTGCCACAGAGGCCACCCAAGAGAACAGTGGGGTATTATAAACAATCTACTTGGCAGAGCTAAAGCAAATCAGGAACCTGCTGCTAATGTCTCCGACATCACAAAGACATTTGCGAAAGTCGTGAACGATCCCTCGATTTCTGATAGTGCACCTTGCATGCCCCACGGCCCTCTACCTGAATACTCATTAGCTCAGTTTTCATCAGTCAGTGTTCCGGAAGTGCAATACTACATCCAACGCATGAAAAGCCGTAAAGCCACCGGACCAGACAATGTTCCAGTTGCTGCTTACAAGTTAATCAACGATGAGATCGCTCCCTCACTATCCAAGTTGTTATCTGAATCTCTGACGTCTGGTGAATTCCCAGCTCCGTACAAGTCAGCCCATGTTCGCCCCATCCACAAGCGCGGTGATAGGTCGGTCTCCTCCAACTACAGACCAATATCACTGCTCCCCCATATGTCAAAGTTACTTGAGCACATAGTGCATGATCAACTCATACGCTACATCCAGAATGCACCACCCGCACTGCAACATCTCCCTGCAGAGCAATTCGCCTACCGCAGAGGCCACTCCTGCGAAGACTTGCTGACTTGTGTTACCAACGATTGGATGCTTGCCTTGGACAAGGGTGACTACGTAGTGGCTGCCTTCCTTGATATGTCAAAGGCCTTTGACACTGTCAACCACAACATGTTACTTCAAGAACTACTTGAGATTGGTATTGGCGGAGTCGCTCTGCAATGGTTTCACAGCTACCTTACAAACAGACAACAGTGCGTGGTCACTAAGACTCAACAAGGGCAACCATACACAAGCAACAGAGGCGTTCCACAAGGCTCTGTTTTAGGGCCGTTTCTATTTAACTTGTCCGTGAGGAAACTCCCCGCTGTGCCCAAACACTGCAAAGCCCGTCAATACGCAGATGATGTGTCTTTATACAGGGCGGGGAAGAATGTCCAGAACTTATGCAAAGACCTCACAGAGGACATCATCAAAGTAAAGGAATTCTTGGCAACGAGAGGTCTTATGTTGAACTCCTCGAAAACCCAGCTTGTTGTGTTCAGGCCAAAGTCGAAACCTCTTGACCCCGATGTCAACGTTCAGATTGAAGATGTCACCATCACCCCTAGTGCACACGTGAAATACCTCGGTATAGTTCTTGACGAACATCTCTCCTTTGGAGTTCACATTGCACAATTAGAACGTAAAATAGGCTGTAAGTTAGGAATGTTTAGAAAGGTCCGAGACCATTTAACGATCGATGCTAAGAGGGCTTTCTACATCTGTTCCATTCAGTCCATACTTGAGTATGGGTCTAATTCCTTTGCTCACTGCCTTTCTGCCTCCCTCCATGACCGTGTTGTCCGACTTAGTAATAGAGCGCTGCGTATTGTATTTTGCATGCCCCGCCTATCTGATGTCTCCCTTGTTCTTGCCCGCTACCATATCATTCCCTTGTCTGTCAGGTACCAATTCAAGCTGTACGTTCTAACGTACCGTGCGCTTCATGATCTGGCTAGTGTCTTTGTTGCTAACTGTTTCTGTCTCCGCTCTAATTCTACCTGCACTAGTTCTCGCACCCGCTCTCAAGTGTCCTCTTCCCTTGCTCTTCCGACAGCCAAACGTCGCTATGGTTTATTTTCTGTCACTTTCCTTGGCTCTGACCGCTGGAATGCCCTCCCAGCGGAGGTCCGCTCAAGTTCTTCCTTGCATACCTTCCGTAATTCTGTTCTTCATTTTTTAGGGTACCCTGTCAAAAGGCCTTAGGCCTGTGGGGATTGCCCTATCAAAAATTTAATAATAATAATAATAATAACGTCACTGGTCACCCGTGCCCGCATTCATGCATGTGCAGCTTCGTAGATAGACAGTACCCACGCAGCACGAGTACGAGTGACGAGTGCACACGTAGATCTACAGTCAGTACAGTTACCGGTACCGCGGTAGCTACAATGACGCTAGCTAGCGAGCTAGCACTACTGAGTACTGTAGTAGCGTCTACGTAGATCTACGTGTGGGCTCGAGCTCCTGGCCTGGCCCGGCGCCTGCCCGATATCGCGCCCGATCCGACTCATTGCGAAAATGATTGTTGCCTACAGCTATTTTTTCAGGCAACGTTCAACAACAATTAGACGTATACACTTTTGAATTTCATTTTCAATTGGGCTCTTGAACAAAGCAGAATGTACAAAGAGATAGTTTGTAGAGGTGGTGAACATGCCGTTCCTTCATGAAGCATCTTGTGGAGCCAGTGCTGCTATGGTCAACATTTCAGTGACTTACCCACTGAATAAGGTGATTTTCCGACAGCAGATTCATGCCTTACCGTTCCGGAGAGCGTTTTGGCAGGTGCACGCTGAAGGTGGTTGGAAGCTGTACAGAGGAGTTCTGCCGCCTATGATGCAGAAGTCTGCCTCTATGTCGCTGATGTTTGGGCTGTATGCGCAATACCGTGAGACGTTGCAGCGAAAGGGGCCTGCGTGGATTCAAAAGCCCTTCATGCTGTCTGCTTCTGCTGCATTCTTGGCTGGCACTACAGAAGCCATCCTAACTCCTTTTGAGCGAGTTCAGACATTGCTTCAGCATCACAAGTATCATGGTCAACTAAGAAATACTGCTCATGCATTTTGCCACTTGCGTACTTACGGTTTTCGTGAGTACTACCGAGGTGTTGTGCCTATCCTGTGCCGCAATGGACCGAGCAACATTCTCTTCTTCAGTCTGCGTGATCCGATCAGCAAGGATGTTGGCCGCCTCATGGGAAACCATGACAGCAACGTAGCCCTCGGCATTCAAAACTTTATCAGCGGTGCTGTCCTTGGTGCGGGCCTGAGCACGCTGTTTTTTCCATTGAACGTTGTCAAGAACAAGATGCAGTGTCGCCTTGGCGGCACGTTCTTCAGCCTGCCGGCCGCTGCAATGTATGTGTTCCAGGAGCGTGGCTGGAGACTGTTGTACCGCGGCGTTCATGTCAACTTCACGCGATCATTGCTGTCCTGGGGCATAACCAACATGTCGTACGAGTGCTTCAGGAGTATTCTCCTAGACCTGCGGTAGTAGTAGTGGAGAGCACCTTTCTGCATCCGGGCCAGTCTCCTGTGTACATGTGTGGCCTATAGCTACAGATTCCCACAGTACAGGCATGTCATCAATTTTGGATTTCTGCCCAGTGCTACTGATGCTGCTGGAAATTGAAAGGTAAACCAACTTATCGAGTGGTTTGGGAGCATGCTGTTTGTTTGTTTTCTCCCTATTGAGAAGTGTTATTTAATTCAGAAGTCTTAAGGCTTGGCTGCCTGGTGCAGTTGTACAAACCTTGAAAATAGAGACTGAGTCTTTTCTTTCCTGTTTTACCCTTCGTCTGGCGTATTTGTATGAAATTCTTACTCCATACCGTGTATCAGTGGACATATTCTCAAGCAACTATCAGTTTTTATTATTTAATATGTACAAGGGGTGAGGGGCTGGACCCTTTCTCTCCTAGTCGTCTTGTCTAGCCGTCGCACTCTTGTACATACGGACATCTATTTATTGTCACGGTTCTCATCTCGGGGTTGGCACCACCCTGTCCATGTCTACGTTGTCATCCTTGAAACTGATTGTCTTTGTTATGCTGTAAATTTCGCGCACGCGTGTGTGCACCGTTGGTATTTCGGTTTTCACAGTTCTGTCTGCACTCGACTTGTACAGTCATGTATATTATTATTATGCTTATGTTTTGGTTTGCACAGTTCTGTCTGCACTTCACTTGTACAGCCATGTATATGTTGATGTTTCAAGTGTTTATAGCTACATGCACCCAGTGTTTTGTCTCGATGGCCATTATCGGCCTTACCCCGTTTGCCGTTGATCTTCTGAATGTTTGTTTTTCCTGTACATATATGATCTTGCAACGCACACCTACTCTGCTATGTACATTATATGGTGCTGTGTTTCTCTACGTCTTGTACATTTCCTTGTCCTTGAAGTGCATGCACCACCGGTGGTATAATATTATACTACCACTACCTGTGTACAGTGTTTATTATCTGGTCTAGGACTGTGTACATTGTAGTATGATTGTACATACTTTTATTGTCATGCTGGAAGCCGCTGCTAGTGCCACCGCTACATTTCTACGTTTCTTCGTTACCAGTGTTGCTGACGTGTCAGCCTTGAAGCAAAGTATTTTGTGTGTGTGTGTGTGTTTGGGTGGGGGTGGGACATGTACTGATGTAGTCTACGGTACTCACCTCGTCACTGACATTGGGCCGGGCGCTACACAGTCCTACAATGTAGCACGACACGTTCTGTGTACTCGAACACTGCGCTACTATATTCATGACATGAGGTTGGATTTCTGTACCCGGCTCTCCAATGTAGCATGACGTGTTGTTCTGCCGGTGCACTCGAACGCGGTGCTACAGTGCTGCTCAATGAAATCCAGTCATGTCACTCAAGTTTGTGCCTTGCACAATTTCGCAGCCCAGTGTTTGCAGGTCTATGGCTGCGCAACGCTCGGCGCGTACTTGAGTGATGCGACTTGATTTCATTGAGCAATACTGTACTATATTCATGAGGGATTTTCTGGTCAAAATGTGGGTCACTCCGCCGAGCTCATTAAAGAGGTTAGGATGAATATTTCTGACGTGACGCTAAAGTTCAACTCGTGTTATTCGGCTCGCACGTCGAAAAACAACGCGAGTGACCTGCAACTGAAGTCGAAATGTGGAGTTTTATGCCAAATTTAATGTGAAATTGCGCATCACGTCGGAAATATTTTATCTGGTGTCCATGAATGTGTAACTTTAAAAAAATCCCATTTGAATATTAGACCCAATCAAATGGGGTCTAATTATTTGAATATTTGCTTTATTCGAAGCGTTTCTCAAATACTATGCGGTGAGTGCTAGCCGCCACACGTACGATCGAGAGCATAAGGGAGCTTATAGTAGAGAGGTTCTGCACAACGAAAGTTCGAACGAAGTTTCGCGACAGGCCTTGCGAAAGTGTGCACGAATTTTCGCACGAACTTTGTGTTCTGCACATTTTCGTAGTTTGCACGCGTCAAGTGCACGTACGACGCGTCATCATGGTCATATCGCGACATGACCCAATCTCACGAAACTTCCTACCAGGGAGTAGTAAAATAGTATTTTACTACTCCCTGCTTCCTACGAAAGTTCATTTCGCGTTCCCTGCAAGTTTCGCGTCCAAAGTTGCGAAAGTTCGTGCGAAGTTTCTCAGTTCGTGACGTAGAGCGAAAGTTCGTACACATTTTCGTTTTGCAGAACCTCTATTTCATACTCTAGTCTTGGTACGATGTGGGCAGTGTCCAGCGAAAACCAACCTTTACAATACAGTTCTGTCGGATGCTGAAGAACGAACAGGCTAGAATTTCACCAAGCACTGCATACCAATGTATACACGGCGACTCAAACGGTGCATAGACTGTAGTAACTAAGTTTATTACTTATATGAAAATAAGAACGGCCTCGGCTGACCCGTGACCCCCGGCCCCCCGTTCCCCGACGCGACAGTCTAGTACTGTAGTCTGATAGCAAGAGTACATAAACCGTACTCTTGCTGATAGCGAGTGGGTGAAAATGCCAAGAAATGACGTCATTGAATAGTAAGTGGGCTACCAGCATGCCAAGAAATGACGTCATCGAATTCTTTGACATTGTCATGCATTGTCTCCAACTAATGTGTTGTTACTTAACTCCTAATGAAAGCTGTACGTTCACTTTTGCTGAACACGGGTCAATAAAAGTTGACGACATAATACAACGTTACTCTTGGCGCAAGAGGGTTCATACAACTTAAATTATGACACTGCAGAGGAGTTCAGCGAGTGGACACAGCCATCCACGAAGTTCAGAAAGAAAAGGTTAGGCAACTGTTACTATACAATGGCTTGTGCAGGAATGAAAGAAGACAACAGAGGGGAAGAACTTTCAGAAATTCCATCACCTCCCACGACTGTACATATTTATATTGATGTCAACTGACTTGACTCAACGGAAAAGGGAAAGCGTATTGTACAAAACAGCAAGCTATGTACACAGCAAATATATGAACAGCCGAGCAATTGCAGTGCAGTGGGGCAAGCCGTCGACACGATCTTGCCAGAACTCGGGTCTGAGTACATGTTCGGTGCATCTGGACATGCAGAGCCTGGCCATAGAAGAAATCAACATCGACTGCAATGAATACACTGAGGTTGACTGGCCAGTTTGCTCCGCGCGGCCAGAGTTCCTTGCTAGGCAATACAGTGGCAGCATGCAGAATCTTGGGGGTAGAACAGCAGCTTGTGACAACGCAGGTCAGCACCTCAGCACAGGTGTCGATGTGACGTGCTCTCGCCATCATTCAGAAAGCACAGTATCGACGGAGTAGCTGCTGGGCAACGCCTGTTAGTCCCGTTGACAAGTAGATTCTGGAGAGGTTGAACGAAGCCTCGGCGCGAAGATCAAGTGGATGAAACTGGATGGCAGGGAGAACCGCCGTCAGCAATAACACACGCACACGCACATATGTACACACACACACACACACACACACACACACACACACACACACACACACACACACACACACACACACACACACACATGCCAGGAATTGTCAGCACAAAGCACATGCCAAACACCCGCACAGACAGAAACAACACAGCGGTGGATAGCATTGCTGCAAGACCAATCCAGGAATTGTGCAGCATAGTAAGTTAAACAAAAGAAAATATTCTCAGCAACTATTGACAAGCACTAGCTTGGACAGGGCCGTAGCAGGCGGCCCGGCAGTCGCCGGACCAATGTTCGGCCAAAAAAAAGAAAAGAAAAAGATGGAGCTCACACAGAGGTAGAACATGGTAGTAGTAGCGGTAGTACATGTCATGCTGTATTGATTCCATTCTTCCCCCTTTCTAGATCCGGTTTGTACCAAAGATAATTCCATTGCAATGTCCTTTCTCCTCCTCCAAAGGTCTATTTTGGTTCTTATATCAAATGCATGTAGATACCGTATTTTCCGGAGTATAGTGCGCACTTTAGATGTGCTATTTTAGGCCCTAAACCGCAGGTGTGCACTATGTTCCGAATATGAAATGCATGTACTTCGATGAAGATTGAAGTGCTGTCCGCGTTATACAAAGGTGCACACTATACTCCGAAAAATACGGTACTGTTGCTATGCCTCCAATAAGCGACTCGCCATGATCAGCCATGATAATGCTCCTCTCGGTCACAACCCCTGTAATTGTTCATAGCAAGAGTTCATGGTATCACAGTTCCTTCCGATCCCGTACACAGTTGCTGGTGTTAACCCTTCCTTTCTTTTCACTTTGCTGACTCGTACAGCTCTATCTTTTGTTTTTTGGTGCGTGTTTTTGGCCGTGATGCCGAGACCTCAGGTCGGCAGAGCCATCAATGCCCCGCCATCACTGCTGCGTCTCGGTGCAGCCCCTGCTCAGTAGTTGTTATGTTTGTCCTAGTCTCAGTACCATTGTCTTTCTTTATTATTTTCGAGTTGGGAATGTGAACATAGTGAAATAAAGTTCTGTTTGGACGGACACAACATGCTGATGCCCTTTTTCCTGACTCCTAGAGATCCTGCAGAACATCCTTCCTTTTCTCGCCCTACGTCACTCTGCATGGTCACGATTACATACATATACAATCACGCACATTTTGTACATGTACATGTACCGGTATATGTGTGAGTGTGGGCTCGGGGGGGGGGGGGGGGGGGCATCGAGGTCGGATCTTGCCGGACCAACCAAAATGGGGCTGCTACGGGCCTGCTGGAGGTTGCTACCGTTCCTACTGTATTATCTGAATTTAGAGAGGTTCTGCACAACGAAAGTTCGAACGAATCTGAATTTAGAGAGGTTCTGCACAACGAAAGTTCGAACGAAGTTTTGCGACAGGCCTTGCGAAAGTGTGTACGAATTTTCGCACGAACTTTGTGTTCTGCACATTTTCGTAGTTTGCACGCGTCAAGTGCACGTACGACATGACCCAATCTCACGAAACTTCCTACGAAAGTTCATTTCGCGTTCCCTGCAAGTTTCGCGTCCAAAGTTGCGAAAGTTCGTCCGAAGTTTCTCACTTCGTGACGTAGAGCGAAAGTTCGTACACATTTTCGTTTTGCAGAACCTCTCTTTTATCTCTGTTTATACAAACTTTGGGCATATGTATATTTTCAAACTGTCCTGACCCTATAAAGTGGTCCTGTCCCTGAGTCTATTGGAGACCGTGCCAATATCTTTCCAAAAGTTGACAAAATGGACATCAAGCGTCCCCGTGGAAGACCACAAGCAATGTGTCGACAATGTCAATGAAGACCTCAATCCTCTGAATGTACCGATTCAAGAGTGCCTCAGCCTCACCGCCTACAGGCAATTCGGTAGGGAAGTGCTCATACAAAGAGATGTGTGTGTGTGTGTGTGTGTGTGTGTGTGTGTGTGTGTGTGTGTGTGGTGTGTGTGTGTGTGGTGTGTGTGGTGTGTGTGTGTGTGTGTGTGTGTGTGTGTGTGTGTGCGTGTGGTGGTTTAGCGTGTGCGCTAAGCCCTGTTAACGAACGTGGAACATCTACCACTCATACTTAGTCTGATGATCATGCATCTGATTATGATGTCATTGCTATACATGCGCATGCGCAGCGTGTGCGCCACTCTCCCTCGCATGCTTTCCAAATCTTGCTTTGCAGAAAACTCCTTTGTCACTTCTGTTTTCCGACGACTTGACTGTTCACTGGTTTGTCCGTCAGTTGTCAATTTTCCCTTCCCTCCCAACCCCATTCGACTGGGGATCACTATCTCTCCGTCACTGTCACCATAATTTCCTCAATCACAGTGTCAGTACAACTCTTGTCAATATACTTATATCGGGTGAGGGCAGTCTATCTCCGCAACTGGCTCATTTCAATCACTACTGGTCGCAGCTCCTGCCCATGGCAGGCCGACCGTCTCTTGTTCACACTCTGTGTGCACCAGGTCACAGCTCCTGCGCAGAGCAGGCCAACCTGTCAGTCTCTCTCTCTCTCTCTCTCTCTCTCTCTCTCTCTCTCTCTCTCTCTCTCTCTCTCTCTCTCTCTCTCTCTCTCTCTCTCTCTCTCTCTCTCTCTCTCTCTCTCTCTCTCTCTCTCTCTCTCTCTCTCTCTCTCTCTCTCTCACACACACACACACACTATGTGTGCACCGGGTCACAGCTCCTGCGCAGACCAGGCCGACCTGTCTTTCTCATGCACGCCAGCTGCTCCGCCCAATATCCCTGATATGCCAACCAGAAAACAATGTGTTCTGAGCCGGGTGCATGCCTGTATGTGGAGAGTGCGTTAATCTTGGACAAAGGTGCTTGACTGACTCGCAGTGTGGTTTCCGCATGGGCCGTGGTTGTTTGGATATGGTGTTTGCTGTGCGGCAAATCCTGGAGAAGTTGCACGAACATGCCACGAAAGGTTTCGCTGTGTTCATTGATCTGCGAAAAGCGTACGACTCGGCTTCGCGGAGTGCTGAGTGCTGGCAAGACTTGGCATCCCAGAGAATCTAATCACCATCATCAGTTCCTTTCATAGCAACAGTCATGCCAGTATCCATGTGGGTGGAGAGGTACCCGCTCGCGCCGATTCGTGTTGAGAGCGGCTTGCGGCAGGGTTGCACTATGGCCCCCCGTTTTATTTAACCTCTACATGTGTGCAGTCTTTGAGAGATGGCGTGGCATTACTGCTGATGATGGTGAGCTGGGGATCCCACTCGTCCAGTTTCGGAGAGGGCGGCTTTTCAACACCAGACTGGCAGAGCTTTGCAGAATCCGGCTAACGGAGTGTCAGTTTGCGGATGATTCAGCCCTGCTTGCGGTTACGCATGCTAGTGCTGAGAGGGCTCTATCAATTTTAGGGATGTAGCTGGTGCGTTTGGCCTTCGTGTCAACACGTACAAGACCAAATTCATGGCGGCTGGGGCTGGTATTGTGGACGCCCGACCAGACCCCTTTGGATGGTGTTGTGGAGCACGTGGAGGCACTTCGTTATCTCGGTTGCCATGTTACGCCGGATGCCCAGAGCTTGTTTGATGTGTCCTGGCGAGTCGCTGCTGCATCAGGTGCATTCTGTACGCTGCGGGAGTCGGTTTTCGACAATGATGACTTCAGCATCGCCATTAAGCGCATTGTGTACGGAGTGACTGTCCTGGCCGTCCTTCTTCATGGATCTGAGAGTTGGACCGTCAGGCCGCGTGATGTCCATCCATGAAAGAAGGGGGGGGGGGGGGGGGGAGCGCTGGAGGGTGAAGTTTGACCCAGCTAAATCCCAGCAAATGCTCTGCACAAGATCTCCTGACCCAGCAAAGCCCAACACCTCGTTTGGTGTACTGGCAGTTGCCCAGTCCGCTACCCTAAAACTCCTGGGAGTGCAGTTTGAGGAGAAGCTCTCATTCCGTGCCCACATCGCCAGCACAGCAGTTAGGGCTAGTCAGAGGCTTGGGCTCCTGTTGTGTCAATCGGCAACTACTGCCTCATACCAGTTCCGATCTTGTAGTATCCAACATCAGGCGGGGGAGAGAATCGTGGATTTTTGTAACAGACTCAAGCGAGCTGCAGTACCACGCCAATTTGGTGATCATTTAGATCGAGCTCTAAAGGATCAGTTTGTTGCCGGTCTTGCCAGCTCTGACATCAAACGTAAGATTCTGACTAGCGCTGATGCAGATACAAATCAGTTTGCCGACGTGGTGCAGATTGCAGAACGGGAGGAGAGCGCCATTACGTACGTCGGTCAACTCACTCCAGGTGCATCATCGCTGGATCAGTCAGCACACTCGAGCTCTGTCAATAAACTGCATAGTACGAGCAAGTCGAGAAGTTCACCGAATCGTACTGCGCCGAACCGTACTGCCGACCAGCGAGACCGCCAAAGTACTACTACTACGCCTACGAGGAAATGTGTCCGGTGCACTTCTGATCTGCAGATGGCCAGCAAGTGTCCGCACCGGAACACCGAATGTCGCTTCTGCAAGAAGATCGGACATCTAGAGAGAGCCTGCCTCTCGAAACGCAAGCGTGCCGGCCAAGTAAACCATGTGGATGACGAGTCGGAATCAGATGAAAACCGAGGTGAGATCATTTCTGATGTGCCAATGTTTAAGATTCGGTCTGGGAATGGCCAGAATCCCCCCTACACAGTAACGGCAAAGATAAACGATTCACCGTTATCTACACGTTTAGAAATTGACACAGGGAGTGTGGTTACCATTATCACAAAGTCTGACTTTGAGAAATTGGGCTCCCCTATAACGTCTCTTGCAACCGCCACAGTTCGGCTCATTAGGTTTTCTGGGTCATCCATCCCCTGTCTGGGCGAGCGGAAGTTCCCTGTGTCGATTAATGGGCAAACGCACAAGGATATGCTACGTATTGTGGATACGAAGGGTCCGTCATTGCTAGGAAGAGATTTACTGGCATCGATCCAGTTAGACTGGAAAGAAATTTTCCATGTCAAATCGCAAATTGATGATGCGAGCAGAAATAATGGCTAAATATCCTGCACTGTTTGACGACTCTTTGGGCATCCATCCCCTGTCTGGGTGAACAGAAGTTCACTGTGTCGGTTAATGGGCAAACGCACAAGGATATGCTACGTATTGTGGATACGAAGGGTCCGTCATTGCTAGGAAGAGATCTACTGGCATCGTTCCAGTTAGACTGGAAAGAAATTTTCCATGTCAAATCGCAAATTGATGATGCGAGCAGAAATAATGGCTAAATATCCTGCACTGTTTGACGACTCTTTGGGCAAATTAAATACCACACGAGTCACGCTGAGGGTAAAAGACGACCACCCAGTCTTTATGAAATGCCGTACCATACCGTTTGCAATCAAACGCAAGTATGAGGAATCTTTGAAAAAGCTTGAAGCCGATGGTATTATTCGCAAAGTGGACTTTTCCAAATGGGTTTCTCCTAGCGTACCGGTGCGCAAACCCGATGGTTCAATCAGAATTTGTGCAGATTATTCCCATCTTCGTCGCCATTTGTTGTGTCCTGATCCCCATGCACACAAGCATCCAGCAAGCACCAGCAGTAGATTGGGGGAAAAAAAGCCTTGAACAAGAGCATGCGCAGTGTGATCATGCTAGTGCTACAGGAGTAGGTATATTACTACTATGCACAGTACACATGAGTACCTATCTAACAAGAGTACAGTAAAACCTGGTGTAAGCGACCCCTGGGTTTAGCGACCACCTGCTCTTAATGACCGTCTTTCTATGCACGGACAGTTCTACACAGACACTATGGGACCTGGTTCTAAAGACCACCTGCCTTTAACGACCGCTTTTCCTTGCACCGTGGGGTGGTCACTTAAACCAGGTTTTACTGTACATACATAACAGCTCCTACGCCGTGCAGCTCGAATTCTCGACCCCAAAGGAAGCCAAACGGTGTACCATGGCTTCATCCGCCCTACGTGTGTGTGTGTGTGTGTGTGTGTGTGTGTGTGTGTGTGTTGCGTGACTAACCTGATCAATACACATGGGTATGCCCTTAGCAGAGAGTATAGAGGCTTCATGGGCGGAAGAGCCATGCCGAGGCCAGCGGTGTTGCCCGGCTGGTAGCTGCAGCACTTTCTCGTAGTAATTAGCAGCCAAGCCAAGCAGACCTGGCACGCGCACGCACGCACACACACACACGCACACACACACACACACACACACACACACACACACAAACACACACATCGCACAGAAGTTGCACAGAACCGGAGATGAGCTTTACATTGAGAAAAAGGCTGTTTCTCCATGCCACTTAGTATATGTACATGTATGATCATTCTTCATCCTTTTCCACCAACACATGATCCACAATCATAACACAACCAAGGCAGATACGCAACGATCATCACTTATAGAATTACATCGTCTTGCTAGTAGAGTCTCCGGATTCACTCTTCTATGCTCTCAGCTCTCAGCCCATTTTCAATTCACTTCCCTACGTTGCACCTGTCCGATCCCCATCGATCAGGCCACGCTTGATACACACAAACAGCACTTACCAACATGATGGAAAGCACGACCGAGGTTGTACATCGACTCCTGGCACTCGCCACGCAGCAGTTTGTAGCGGTAGAGAAAAGCAAACGCCTGGATGCCAAAATCCACACAAATGCCAACAAAACAACCAAACTTGACAGTGCTGAAGCACCTTCTCGCACATGCATGTACTGGTACTTGGTATGATGATGACATAATTATACCATGCATAGAACGTTACTTGTAGCTAGGGCTGAAACAATATGACCGATAAACCGTTTGCTTATCGCTAAGGACGTTATCGATTATCGTTAGCTGTCACTAATGATATAGCGATACCTAATGCACTATGTGCCAATGGACGTTTGTAAGGTGCTAGAATGCATGTCACATTACTGTTAGTGCTGCATGCATGGTGTACCGGGTTCGGACCGCGCTGTTCACTGGCGTGTCGCACGTTTAGTAGAGCTGTACTACATTGTACACTGGTAGTAGACAGTTAGTGGGTACACTGGCCTAGTGAGTGAACTGCTGTCCCATTCCAGCCACGCTCGGCTACTACTGCCGAATGCTATTGTGAAATATCGTTATATCGATATATCGATCGTTAAGCTAAAAGTGTTATCGTTAAGCAGTTTTTGCATATCGTTTCGACCCTACTTGTAGCACAAAATACCAATACAGACTGCTTCTACACAAGTACATTCAGCTGACAAACGTCGGCTGAATGCGCTGGTCAGTCTAAGTAGTGTGTAGAATGACTGACCCATTCAGCTTATGGAGAATGTAAGGAAAATAGAAATTTAGGGAATAGAACTTGGGATCGATATCCTGGAAGGTCTTAGTGACTCGTGTAGTGAGGCAAACTGTGTATCAGTGTCATAATGCACTGTATCAATGTATTGGCAAAAGGGCATCAAGCTTAGCAGACTAGCATGTACAAGGTACAAGTACGGATCAGCAGCAGCAGCAGCAGCACACCATTGCACAAAGTTAGACCACTGGCACACATCATGTGCAGCATACTACTGTATACTAGTACTGTGAGTCTGTGAGCCTACCTCCAGTGCGTGCCCGTACGGACGCTGCGTGAAGCGCACGGTTGACAGTTGCAAGAAGCAGAGGCCAAGGCACAGGTGCAGAAAGGCGGACTGGGGCAGTCTTTCCAAGGCGCGCTGGTACAACACTGGACACATGCCAGCCAAGCACATACATACACGCACACACGCACACATACACGCACACACACACACACAAACATACACATGCACGTGATCATTCTGTGAGAACCGGCTTTTGGCTGGTGAGGAGGCATTATTGCCTGTTCGCTTGATGAAGTAAATAAGGAATACCATACCATACATAAGCTATACTGATACCGATACGTGCATATATGCAGACAAGCATATCCTTGTACAGAAATCGGTCATATTCCATGGTATGGGAATCAATGGAAGCAATGACCAATACTCAAGCATGTTGGTCTTTTTTTTAAATAGATGACTCACCGACAGCGAACTTGAAGGTACCATTCTGCATGCAATGGTGTGCATTGATGATCAAGAGAGGCAAATTGTCTGGATTCTGAACAACACAAGGGCACAGCGAGAAAACGCTATTCAACACCAAGCAAAACATCTGCAGCTGCTTACAAATGAAGAAAATTACGACAGTGGAGAGTGATACTGTGATACTGTCCTAAATTCCGGCTTTGTTTCACTCATCCTCCCTGAACAAGGACTACAGAGTGATGTTGGCCGGTGTCCAAGACAAGGTTACATGATGTGGCGCATTGTATGGGATTGATCCTCCATTGAAACGAGTCACGAAGAGATCGCTTACCTTCAGCAGGACTCGCAACTCAAACTTTTGATGCCGGATGTCGGGCAGATTGTACGAGATCCTGGCATAAATATTCCAGTAGTTGGTTTTGGAAACAGCCTGGAAGGCAACACACAGTCACACACACACACCTCAGACCTCAGACATGCCCATCGCGGAAGCGATGATAGCGAACAGCTATGTTAGACATAGCAACTTGTGCTGGGATTACACCATTTAACAGCTTGCAAGGCTGATGAATTGACCGCCACTATTTTTAGCCTGGTATCCACCACACAGCTGTTTGAAGTGACTTTTTCTGGCCAGTGAATCCCTATTTTTCATTTTTTCCATTTTTTTCTACACACACACACCACACCATACTCCGGCGTACACTGGCTGTTGGTAACCACCCAGGAGAATGAAAGAAAAGTCAGGAAGAGTCCGAGAAAGAGAAGAAAGACGTGTGCGACCACAATCGTCGGGAATTGAACCCGCAACCTCTCGATTGGAAATCGACTGCATACCACTGCACCATATGGGACACACACACACACACACACACACACACACACACACACACACACACACACACACACACACACACACACACACACACACATATAGACAACAGAAAAGAGTGCTGCCAACAGCCGTTCACTTCCACTAGGTGCATTTTGCTGTGTATATTCAAAGACTTGTAGCTTTCAGTCACCGAACAGATAAGGCAGGGTACGAAACGCTAGCAAAAGAACTAAATTATACAACAAAGAAGACAAAGAAAGTAAGAAACAGAAATACTCCCCCCCCCCCCCCCCCCCACACACACACACACAGACCCACACCACATTACCCCCCCCCCCCCCCCCCCCACACACACACACACAGACACACACAGACACCCATCACAACCGACACACATAACAGGTCCACAACCACCCGCACACCCACCCACACCCACGACCACACCCCACACATGCATGCAGGCAGGCAGGCACACACAGGACAGGACAGGAGTACTAACCTTATAAGCCATGGCACGTATATGCTCCCATGCTAGAACAAAGTTACCATTCAGGTAAGCTGCTGAAGCGCACAGCATTGACAAATCCTACACACAATAACAGAGCACTTGGATGAGCAGCCAGACATACCTGCTGAATGAGTTATACTAGTTTTTACTCTTTTCTGATTAGCCAAATTTGTTCCATTTCCTGACTTTCGATCAACCCAAACTCCCTATTCTCTTACCGTACTTCCCCACATGTAAGCCCATGGGCTTATAAGTGAAAATTTGCTACAAAAAAGATTTGTTGCTGTGTGAACATGTTCGGGTAGAAGCCCATGCGCTTATATGTGCAATACAGGTTTGTCTGTGTCCTAAACAACGGTGTTATCACAATGCTTAGCAGTACATGTATATTCAGCTTCCGAGTGTTTCGCCAATAGTGTTCAATTATAAGCGCATGCGCTTATAATTGAGGGGTGCGCTTCTGTCCGGACATAAGCACATGCGCTTATATGTGCGGAAGTACGGTATTAGCCTAAGTCTTGAGAGGTGTAGAGTCCTATCTACATGTACGTCTGGCACATTACATGTACATGTATATTATTATTATATACACACCACTATGTAAGACCTGGCTCAAGAAATCACTCTGCCATGCTCCAGTCAACCTCACAGCTGTGGTGATGAGTGTGCCCAACCACAGTACGGGACACACTGCAGATAGACTGGAATGTAGTGTGACAGCATCAATGTACTGGGAAGAGTTGAAGTGGACACACACACAGTTTGGTTTATACAGCAGAGAGCAGGAGTCTTCAGGGCTGTCTTCTTCAAATATCACCGTATAGTGAACTGACGTGAAAGTCACAAGTACCTACTGGAAATAGAATAAATTATTCGTTTTCGAAAAGCTTACGTAATTTCGTCGGTTCTTGTCCGGAGCACGCTCTAGCAACTTGATAGAAGCTGCAGCAGCACAGGATAGATGCTGGAAGGTGGCAAAGCGGTTCAGCTTGGCAAGAACACAGCACAGCTGCAGTGGCATAACACAGAGAGAATTTTCAAAAACAAAAATCAGTCCACTGAGTCCAGTCGGCGCGTGTGCTATAGAACGCAGGCCTGCCGCCGGAACCGGTCCGGTTGGTCAGGTCATCACCGGACCAACTTGTTGGCCACCAACACATGTTTACTGCTGAGGAGGTTATGTTCACAAAGCTATATCATCTATATCAGCTATATCATACACAAACTGTGATGAAAGGCTATGGTGTGGCCGGACCAGTCAGAAACAGCTTCCGGTGGTGCCTGGAATGTTGGGTGCAGAATTGAGCATAGCACATTCCTAGATGTCATGGTTATGTTCTTCTGTGCAGACCACACTCCACAGCACACCAGTGTCTGTGCATAGTGTATACAGTCAGACCTCGCATAACCACACATATCCGTTTTCGACAAAATATCCGGGCAGGCGAGGGAACCGGATAATCGAACACACATACTGTATGTATGCATGGTATATTCTGTAAATCGGTAACCAACGATTTTCTTCCGGATGGCGAGGGATCCGGATAAAAGAGGACCGGATAAGCGAGGTCTGACTGTACCACAATACACCAGTGTCTGTGCATAGTGTATACCACAGTACACCAGTGTCTGTGCAGTTCAAGATAGCATGACTGCAGTGCAGTGCACGGAGAGCCGCGCTTGCTCACCTGATAAAGCAGCTGATACCATTCCTCCGACGACAGCTGGTTCTCTTGCTCTTGCTCCTTGGCAGCTATACAACGTACGCACGCACGCACACATGTTCATACACACAGACACATCCACGGCACGTGTGTGTACGTGTAGTTCAAACTCTGCAGCACAGTCGTCGCATGGTACACATGCACCTGTATATGCACATGCACATGGGCTTAGGGGACTACGGGTTATGAACAGGGGCTTAGGGGACTACGGGTTATGAACAGGGGATTAGGGGACTACGGGTTATGAACAGGGGCTTAGGGGACTACGGGTTATGAACAGGGGCTTAGGGGACTACGGGTTATGAACAGGGGCTTAGGGGACTACGGGTTATGAACAGGGGATTAGGGGACTACAGGTTATGAACAGGGGCTTAGGGGACTACGGGTTATGAACAGGGGCTTAGGGGACTACGGGTTATGAACAGGGGCTTAGGGGACTACGGGTTATGAACAGGGGATTAGGGGACTACGGGTTATGAACAGGGGCTTAGGGGACTACGGGTTATGAACAGGGGATTAGGGGACTACGGGTTATGAACAGGGGCTTAGGGGACTACGGGTTATGAACAGGGGATTAGGGGACTACGGGTTATGAACAGGGGCTTAGGGGACTACGGGTTATGAACAGGGGATTAGGGGACTACGGGTTATGAACAGGGGATTAGGGGACTACGGGTTATGTACAGGGGATTAGGGGACTACGGGTTATGAACAGGGGCTTAGGGGACTACGGGTTATGAACAGGGGATTAGGGGACTACGGGTTATGAACAGGGGATTAGGGGACTACGGGTTATGAACAGGGGCTTAGGGGACTACGGGTTATGAACAGGGGCTTAGGGGACTACGGGTTATGAAAAGGGGCTTAGGGGACTACGGGTTATGAAAAGGGGCTTAGGGGACTACGGGTTATGAACAGGGGCTTAGGGGACTACGGGTTATGAACAGGGGCTCAGGGGACTACGGGTTATGAACAGGGGCTTAGGGGACTACGGGTTATGAACAGGGGCTCAGGGGACTACGGGTTATGAACAGGGGCTTAGGGGACTACGGGTTATGAACAGGGGCTTAGGGGACTACGGGTTATGAACAGGGGCTTAGGGGACTACGGGTTATGAACAGGGGCTTAGGGGACTACGGGTTATGAACAGGGGCTCAGGGGACTACGGGTTATGAACAGGGGCTTAGGGGACTACGGGTTATGAACAGGGGCTTAGGGGACTACGGGTTATGAACAGGGGCTCAGGGGACTACGGGTTATGAACAGGGGCTTAGGGGACTACGGGTTATGAACAGGGGCTCACGGGACTACGGGTTATGAACAGGGGCTTAGGGGACTACGGGTTATGAACAGGGGCTCAGGGGACTACGGGTTATGAACAGGGGCTTAGGGGACTACGGGTTATGAACAGGGGCTTAGGGGACTACGGGTTATGAACAGGGGCTCAGGGGACTACGGGTTATGAACAGGGGCTTAGGGGACTACGGGTTATGAACAGGGGCTTAGGGGACTACGGGTTATGAACAGGGGCTTAGGGGACTACGGGTTATGAACAGGGGCTTAGGGGACTACGGGTTATGAACAGGGGCTTAGGGGACTACGGGTTATGAACAGGGGCTTAGGGGACTACGGGTTATGAACAGGGGCTTAGGGGACTACGGGTTATGAACAGGGGATTAGGGGACTACGGGTTATGAACAGGGGCTTAGGGGACTACGGGTTATGAACAGGGGCTTAGGGGACTACGGGTTATGAACAGGGGCTTAGGGGACTACGGGTTATGAACAGCTAGACCAGTACAGTGCAATGTGATCTGATAATCAACAGCAAAACTGGTAGAGCATGGACAATCCGAATCAGGATCCTCTGAATGAGAATGCCTTGCTATCTGGGCCAGCGAACAGCTGTCCCTCAAATCTAAAACAAGCACGAGGGAAAAGATTGGGACAGGAATGTTGTCATTACATCACACAGAGTATCTTGCAGCTAGTGCCACGTTGGATTCTTGTCTTACCAATCGGGTCCTGAGAGTCGACATTCTCCATCATGCCGCTCCGAACGAGTACGGCCCTTTTGCGACATTTCGCTATTCCACCGAACACTGAGAGCAAGTCACAGCCAAACAACCAAACAGGACACGATCAGAACGGCTAAGTATCGGACAGATCAAACACTGGCATGCTAATGATTCCACCAAGACTACACGAATACACAACCAAGAGTGCACAACAACTATCCGGTGAGCCGTCATCAACTTGCCCATGGCGGAATTTCTGGTCAAAGACGAAGCTACCCGGGCCTAAGAAGCTCATCCAATATTTTGATTTCGTGCTTCGGAAACTTCTTCAGCTGAGAACCCTCACAGCTCGCACAATGCGCTCCATTCTGATTTTCACCCACGTTCTGGCGGAACGTGGGTGAGCCTCCATACACGGTATGTCGCGAATCAGAAAACGTCTGTACGTGGGTCACTGAGTATCACGTGGTACACACACGTAAAGTACCCACAGATTACGTGGTACTAAACCTCCCTAGATTCAGGATCAACCTACAGTTCAGCAGGCTCAGTGCACGTGAATTTACCGTACAGCGTGCAGGGTGCCCAATGCCCAGCACTCCGGTCACACGGTAGTTTGTCAGCAGACAGTGTTATTAGTAAACGTATTACTTATTACATACTGAAGTAAGTGGAAAAGCTTCGGCGCTCTGCAGAATGATGGCAACGAGCTCGTCAGCTCAAATGCTTGCCTATGTAGTCGATGAAACTGCAAGAAGCCTCATTCTCACTTTTAGGCAAGAGGTGTCTATACAACTCTCTGATCACTACTTTTGACGTACATTTCCCATTTATTGTGTTATATATTGGTGTGTTGCAAGATTTATTATAGTTCTTTAGTGAAAGCACCAGTAGTATTTTTTTGTGGCGCTGGTTCTCTGTGGGCGTATGGTTAGGAAGACAGAAAATTGAAAGTACTGGTTCTAAATACCGACTTGAGACAATAGTCGCGGAGAGTGATTTCCTTCCCCAGAATGTCTACGTCTGTCAGTTTACCCGGAGCAGAGTTACTGCAGATAATTTCGTCGATCAGCAAACTCGGCATCGACCAGCATGCCGGGTGCAAGCTAGCAGAACGCGTTGTGAAGCCGTCCGGTAACCATGCCTTCGAGCGCCCATTCGCTGAGACTACTCACAATGGCAGCGGACCGTGCCACATCGGCACGGCATCCCCACATCCCCTGTGCGTGTGCGTGCGTGCGTTTTGTTCTTCACATGTTTTCCAGAACTGTAGGGCTGTGCTACTAGTAAACAGAAACAGAAAGAAAAACATGGAACTCTTCCAGTGAAGAAATCTACGTCCTCAAGTTTGTTCGGAGAGACCTGAGCTCATCATTTGACATCATGGGCCTGTACTATTCTTTGCCCAGATCACTAGAAGGAAAGTTCACGTTGTCCTGTGTACTGGATACGATGCGGCTCTTCCATTCGTATGGCTTTCACACCAATGCGTTGGTCTGTGACGGTGCGTCCATGAACGTGTTGTTCATCAAGGGAATGCTTGGCTGCCGCGATGCCTTTGCTACATCCGTAGTAGATGACACCAATACCAATAGCCACGACATCCCGCACTGCATCGACCACCCGTTGCGGCTTCACCACAAACTATACTTCGTGATTTGCCCATCATATATGCTGAAGAACATGATCAATGCATTGTTTTCGTCATCAGCCAAGGGCACAAACTGCCACAAAGTCATTCATCGACAGGATGGGTACTCCTTTCGACTGGCAAACCATTATCGATATGCACGGCAGAGAGTGCAAGCGACAAGAGGATGGTGAACCAAGATCCGTGCCAAGTCTATGAAAGAACTTTGTTATCAGAGATGCCTGGACGAAGCTCAACGTCTTTCCTGCATGCGGCCATGCAGCAGGACAAGATGTTGTAGAGCTAGCCTGCTACATAGCAAAGAGAAGCCACGTGATGTCGGGAATGCTGCTGCAACGCTGGCGTACTAGTGTCATATCGGGCTCGGCAGCTGACGGTTTCTCCCGGGTTGTACGACGAACTACTGCCGGTACTAGCTTACGTCATGTTGCTTACGTCTTGTTGGCTGAACGTGTTCCCCTCATGAGTGCGCGCAGGAGCTACAATGTCTGCTTCGACAGTAAGACTCCCGCGGTACACATTAATGCGTCAGTACGGCAACTGTCATATTTGTATACACTTATCATTATTATCGATGCATGGTCTGCTAGCTGTCTCTTCGTATACGCTGTTTAGTCAATTCATTAGTACGCATTTCTCCTTGTTCTGCTATTGGTCAAATCTACTTAGCAACTAGCTATCTGTAATCCGATTGGTTGGCGTTTCCCGCCTCTGCTGCATCTTTGTCACGTTCGATCCTTTTATTATCGTATATAACTCCTGCTGCTTTCGATGTAAGATATCTTCAACCTTCGACCTTCAATCTTCAACCTGAGATTCGAACTAAGAGTCACAGTCACTCTCCAACCTTCTCGATTGATCAAGGTGAGCGTGTGGGGCTGAATGGATGCTTGGATCAACTATATTGGTTGAACTTGATGACCTGGTGGGGTCAATACGAATGTATATGTTGCAGCCATGAGATCGGTATTGTGTATGTCCGGCATGACACTAGTACTTGACTGCATGCGGCCAGATATGATTAGAATATGGCACATCGCCACAAATCACAGTCGAGTAAGCAACCTCTGTGCCCTTGCTGAATATAAAAAAGGCTTTGGATTCTTCTTGTCTTGGCTTGATGGACTAATTGAATGAGATCCTGATTTCATTGCAACAAAGCCCAGCCAATTGAAGTTCATCTCTTGGCAAACCTGGGATCCAACACGGCTAATGACGTTCGGATTCCTACAAGTGTTGTAGGTCTTTGCACAGAACTCCTGAGCCGTCACCCACCACACTGCATTGTCATTGTGCGCATCTCGGGAAGTGCAATGGAGACATTGTTCTCGCAAGTGAAGGGAGCATCGCAAGTTTGCTTGCCTAGGATCAGTCGCCCCACAGCTAGGGCATCTGTTCTCTTTCCAACAAGCACTCATTCGACTCACAGCTCCGAGAGGGATTACGGGTACTTGAAGTGAAAACTTTGATTTATCACCGATAAGATAACGTTTAGAGAGAGAGAGAGAGAGAGAGAGAGAGAGAGAGAGAGAGAGAGAGAGAGAGAGATAGATAGAGATAGATAGTGTGTACGTGTGTGCGAGCGTGCGTGCGTGTGTGTGCGAGCGTGCGTGCGTGTACGCGCGCGTGATGCACTCAGCTGGTCCGGCCAAAGCCGCAGTCAGTTCCTGGCACTGGCACTGGTAGCTTCAACACCTACCGTGTATGTCTCTCTTGTGGTAGACGGCACGCAGGTAGAACTTCATGAGTGTCAGGGCATTCTCCGCATAGTCGTTGAACTTCTTCTGAGCATGCAGTAGCTCACAACGCCGATGAATCACACGCACATCCTGAGCAGAAAACAGGACACGGTCAGAAAGCATGAACTCACCGATCAACCAAAGAAACTTACAAAGACTACATGTATTAGGACTACTGTACTGCTGCAGCTCATGCTACTGGACAGTACTGGATAGTACTGTACATACTGCATACACTCTCTTATGCCGCTTACTCATTCACCCATCACAGTATTGCTAGATCCAACCACAAACATATGCACATGCACACACATGCACGCACCCCCCCCCCCCCCATACACACCCACGCGCACACCCACCCACGCACGCACACGCACACTGTACTACCGACACTATACCAACACCATAATATTATGAACACTACGACTAACCTGGGTCATGACTGCCTGGACAGCTTGCTGCACAGCCAGCTGGGCAGCAGTGACGGCTGGAGTAGTGCCAGTACCTGCACTAGTGCTGGCACTAGCACCAGTGGAACCTGTACTGGATGAAGCAGTACCAGCAACGGCATCTGCACCACTCACACCAGCGCCGGAAGCTGATTCTTCCTGCTGGCTAGTTTCATCCTGGGCAGCAGTTACATCTACAATGTAGTTGGGCATCATGGCAAAGCATCAACACAATACACAGCAGTTGTCTTCAAGTAACTTTTAAAGTCGCTATTTAACCCTCCCATAACTTTCAACGGATGGGTTGTTCAGGTTATGAGGTAAAGTCAAACACTGGCCACCATAGCCGGCAGGAGCAACAATACAATACGATACATGCAGCAGCAGTAGCAGCAGCAGTAGCAGCAGCTGCAGCAGCAGCAGTAGCAGCAGCTGCAGCAGCAGCAGTAGCAGCAGCAACAGCAGCAGCAGCAGCAGCAGCAGCAGCAATACAATACAATGCATGCAGCAGTTGCTCACCAGCTTCCAGTATGGCAATGGCGTCATCGTGGTGCCCAAGCTGTTGCAGCAGATCAGCCAATGTTAGCCGTGCATCCAGGTGGGTGGGTGCCATGCTGACAACAACACTGTACGCCGATGCAGCATTCTCCAGTTGCTTGAGTCCCAACAAGCTCTGGCCGTACTGCAGCCATACCGCCGCCTATAGCACCGAGCAACGAGTCAACAAAACAATACAATTAGACAAGTGGGTTTTGTGATAACATGCACAGCAGCGCATGCTCTGCATGATAATGGCAGATGTGAAAGCTTTGAAAATGAATGCCAATGTGTGCAGAGCAACACCTCAAGGATATACATACGCACATGTGCGCACGTGCACACGCACACTTGTACTTACTCACTGCCAAAACTGGTCAAGTGGGTCTCCCCGGGAGAGGGGAGACAGACTCAAGACACACACACACAAACACACACACACACATACACACACACACACACACACATACACACACACACACACACACACACACACACACAGGCACGAAGCAAGCCTCTCCCTATAATTATCCACGGCAAGGTGATCAGTAGATAGCAATAAGGCCGTCATCACACTACGTTCTCCGACTCCCATTTACGTCTACGTCTATGGTGAAAAACCAAAACGGGTGGCCGTGTCATCAGACAGGCACAGTTCTTGACGCGTACACACAGTCAGGTTTTTGGAGAAATTTGAACGCACGTACATCGAAGTGCAGGGTCGCTCTGAAAAAGGCTGGGGGAGATACGCACGTTAATACAAAAAGTCGTATACCCCCCTCTCCATACCACGTCTACGTCTCCCGTTCCTCTGCTCCCGTTTCACCCCGGATACGGATCATCGTGACAACCGACTAAAAACTCCTTACGTGGACGTAGACGCAGCGCTTTGTACCATGGTGTGATGACAGCCTAAGCGGGTAACCAGACGGGGTATCATGGTATACACTACCTTGTGGGTTCAAGTCCCACCCGTGACATTTTGCACATTGTACCCATTTTGGGGGCAGGGCACCTCTGGCCCAGAACCTGCATAATACTTTCTACTGTGACCAGGAGATCTTCATGTAGCCTACATAGCACATACCATATTGTAGCGCTGAGTTGACACTAGCGCCGCCAAATATGGCAGTGCTTCAGCATGGTGACCTGCAAGAAGACAAACAAGACAACACTCGCATTGAACTGTAGGATGCCAGGTGTACTGGAGTAGGGTTTCACTTGGCACCATTGCATACTAGTCAATTACATGTATTGTATGATGTAATGTATGTATTGTATGATGTAATGCATGTATTGTATGATGTAATGCATGTATTGTATGATGTAATGTATCATACGCTAATACTATGTGTAGGTGGCAACATGACGGGAAGGACACAACAGGAAAGATAGCGGCCTTTTCGCAAACTCACCACATGCTACAAACGCCTCGGCAACGTCAAGGAATACGTCGCCAAAGTGTTCGGCATTCTCTTCCAGGACAGGAGAAGCAACAGCCTGCACATAGCCACACGTACACACGCACACATACATAATTATGCATACACACAGGTGCATACACACGTGCATACACATGACACCCAATACGGAATACTACAGCAGTAATGAAGAGTGAAACACATGGCAACCAGTCAAATCAATTTTACTGCTGAATCTCTGGACAGCCAGCTGTGTATTCTTACTAGAGAGACGGGCTGGTGGCAAATACAAATTCACAACCCCATGAGCGACCATTGCCAGGCACCTCGTGGCCATTATCATGACTCTTCTATACTTGAACGTGCACACTCGGCCGGAGGGTCATGGCACAAACTAAAACCATTGCAGGCAGGAAAGCACTGCTGATTCGAAAACCAAGGATTTCAGGAATACCATGAACACGCACAAACACACCCACACCCACACACACACCCACACCCACAATGGTTGAAGCAACAGCAGCAGTAGCACTAACCACTGCCTCCCGAGTCCTGGCAAGGTGGATGAGTGAGACGATGATCTTCGCTCGCAAATCAATCGGCAAACTTGGTGGCAGCTGCCAAACTTGCTGTGGAGCACGTGAACCTAATCCACAGAGACATCAACAGCAGAAGGAGTAAAGGCACAGTTTACTACTGATGCAAGCTGATACCAACATGGCCATTAGAAAAGCAAGGATCAGTTAAAAGTGGACGGAACAATAAAGAGAGGTGTGTGTGTGTGTGTGTGTATGTGTGCGTGCATGCACGGACAAAAAGCAGACCTATACGAGCATTGAGCACAGTGAGACGAAGGGAGGCAATCAGAGGAGAAGAGCGTAGCTCACCTGCTGTTGTGTCATGTGCCGATGTCTCAACTTTTTCCTCCTCGCCGCTTGCCAGTGGATCAGTTATGCCACAGCTGTTGCAGATAATCTGAAATCAATGATGTCGGAGATGAGCAGTCATAGTCATAGTCATAGTCATAGTCATCAGCCAATAACAACACAGTCACAGGTGTGACGAAGAGTAGGGGTGTCAACGAGTAGTAGGGTACCCGCGCTACCCGTAATTTGATCGGGTAGTAGGGTAGCAATTCGCTCCTGAGAACCCGATCGGGTAGTTGGAGTACGGTGGTTTTGCAACGGTGTGTGTAAACAATACGGCTACGTGCGTACTGTACACTCTCTATGTCGCGCAAGTGCACACTCACAGTACATGCTGTGTCAAAAAATACCTGATAGGGTACCGGTGCTACCCAGATAAAAATACCCGAACCCGTTACCCGACCAAACCCCTACCCGTTGCAGCCCTAACGAAGAGTGTGTAGATTCTGACATTTGAATTCGTCACATTTCTGCACGGGTGCCTGCCACGGCGAAATTCCTGGATTATTACATCATAGCTGGTGCAGATATGCGGCGGAAAGTGGCGTAGTGCATACAGCTGAGCTGCAGTTGTGCAGCAGGAGGCTTGCTTGAATTTCGCGTGTGCGCATTACATCACTACAATGATGTAGTCACGGAATTTTGCCGGCACAGCAATGACAGCAACCCGTTGGAGTTGCACAAGCCTGGATTCATGTACTCTTGTTTTGGCTTAGCTTACTATACAATGGAGGTCAGGCGTGCATGTAAATGTACTACAGTCAACTTCGCTTATAACGACTGCGGATATAACGACAATTCGCGAATAACGACAGAATTTCCATGCCCAGAGCAAAGTCCATACTACCTGTATACATGTAATGAGACTTCGGGTATAACGACACTTCGCGAATAAGGACACTTTTCTGATGCCCCGCCGAGTGTCGTTATAAGCGAAGTTGACTGTACTTTCTCAGTCCCAGCACTGAGAAGAATTATGCACAACATCGGTACATGTAGTGGCAATGACAGCACGTGCAGGGCTCACCAGGATCAGCACCAGCATTAGCATCGGGAGTATTTCCTGCTGCCGCTGCAGAAAAGGAGCGATTACCAAGGTTACCTGCATCACACTTGCATCACACCTGCATCACACCTGCATCACACTTGCATCACACTTGCATCACACTTGCACCGCTATCACAGTCATACTCACTTGTAATGAAGATGAGAAGTCATCTTTGGCCATGTACAGCTCCGCCAGCAGATTGACAGCTAGTATGCACAACAACAACGAAAATACAAACAACAACAACGACAACGACGCAGCAGCAGCAGCAGTGGCAGCAGCACGAGCAGAACCAGGTAAGTATAAATGTCTTCCTCTAACATGCAGAGTATAGCAAGCAGAATACGAATACATGTACGTGTCATTTCCACCCAATGATGCTCACATGTCTACACAAAATACCACAATGCAGTCAGCGAGAAAGCAAAACACAACCACACAAAGAATACAAACACACTTTAACACAAAGAACACGCAGCTCCCCCACAAGAACCACTTCACGATAGTAACCTGAACCAGCAACACATACCGTTGGCATCAATCATGGCGGGGGCCAACTGGAAAGCATTTTGCAGCGCAGCAATACCGCGGTCAATGTCTTTCTGCTCGTGGCACAGCTGTGCAGGGCGACAGGAAAGCAGAGCACCATGTCCAACACGATCACGAGAAGTTGAACAAAAGCACACGATTGCATTGTATGCATGTCGGAAATATTCACATGCACAAAATATTCATACAGAGAGAATGACCCCATCTGTATGAATTACACTGATACGTAATTCCATACAGCAAGCTAGCATGCGAAAGTACAAGAAATAAAAATGCACCTGAAGCAAAACGCTGCTTGTGATTGCATTTTCGTCTCGACGGAAACTATTCACGTAAAATATTTTGCATTCACAGTGACAAACATTTTCGAATCAGTCTGTCTACTACTGCAAGAGAATAGTGCCATGCCACATAGCAATTACTCTATCTGCCACATAGCAATTACTCTATCTGCCACATAGCAATAACTCTATCTGCCATATAGCAACAACTCTATCTGCCACATAGCAACAACTCTATCTGCCACATAGCAATAACTCTATCTGCCACATAGCAATAACTCTATCTGCCACACAGCAATAACTCTATCTGCCACACAGCAATAACTCTATCTGCCACATAGCAATTACTCTATCTGCCGCACAGCAATAACTCTATCTGCCACATAGCAATAACTCTACCTGCCACATAGCAATAACTCTATCTGCCACATAGCAATAACTCTATCTGCCGCACAGCAATAACTCTGTCTGCCACATAGCAATAACTCTACCTGCCACATAGCAATAACTCTATCTGCCACATAGCAATAACTCTATCTGCCACACAGCAATAACTCTATCTGCCACACAGCAATAACTCTATCTACCACATAGCAATAACTCTATCTGCCACATAGCAATAACTCTATCTGCCACACAGCAATAACTCTATCTGCCACATAGCATAATAAAAATGCACCTGAAGCAAAACGCTGCTTGTGATTGCATTTTCGTCTCGACGGAAACTATTCACGTAACATATTTTGCATTCACAGTGACAAACATTTTCGAATCAGTCTGTCTACTACTGCAAGAGAATAGTGCCATGCCACATAGCAATTACTCTATCTGCCACATAGCAATTACTCTATCTGCCACATAGCAATAACTCTATCTGCCATATAGCAACAACTCTATCTGCCACATAGCAATAACTCTATCTGCCACATAGCAATAACTCTATCTGCCACACAGCAATAACTCTATCTGCCGCACAGCAATAACTCTATCTGCCACACAGCAATAACTCTATCTGCCGCACAGCAATAACTCTATCTGCCGCACAGCAATAACTCTATCTGCCACATAGCAATACCTCTATCTGCCACATAGCAATAACTCTATCTGCCACATAGCAATAACTCTATCTGCCACATAGCAATAACTCTATCTGCCGCACAGCAATAACTCTGTCTGCCACATAGCAATAACTCTACCTGCCACATAGCAATAACTCTATCTGCCACATAGCAATAACTCTATCTGCCACACAGCAATAACTCTATCTGCCGCACAGCAATAACTCTATCTGCCACACAGCAATAACTCTATCTGCCGCACAGCAATAACTCTATCTGCCGCACAGCAATAACTCTATCTGCCACATAGCAATACCTCTATCTGCCACATAGCAATAACTCTATCTGCCACATAGCAATAACTCTATCTGCCACATAGCAATTACTCTATCTGCCGCACAGCAATAACTCTGTCTGCCACATAGCAATAACTCTATCTGCCACATAGCAATAACTCTATCTGCCACACAGCAATAACTCTATCTGCCACACAGCAATAACTCTATCTGCCACACAGCAATAACTCTATCTGCCACATAGCAATAACTCTATCTGCCACATAGCAATAACTCTATCTGCCACATAGCAATAACTCTATCTGCCACATAGCAATAACTCTATCTGCCACATAGCAATAACTCTATCTGCCACATAGCAATAACTCTATCTGCCACACAGCAATAACTCTATCTGCCACATAGCATAATAAAAATGCACCTGAAGCAAAACGCTGCTTGTGATTGCATTTTCGTCTCGACGGAAACTATTCACGTAACATATTTTGCATTCACAGTGACAAACATTTTCGAATCAGTCTGTCTACTACTGCAAGAGAATAGTGCCATGCCACATAGCAATTACTCTATCTGCCACATAGCAATTACTCTATCTGCCACATAGCAATAACTCTATCTGCCATATAGCAACAACTCTATCTGCCACATAGCAATAACTCTATCTGCCACATAGCAATAACTCTATCTGCCACACAGCAATAACTCTATCTGCCGCACAGCAATAACTCTATCTGCCACATAGCAATACCTCTATCTGCCACATAGCAATAACTCTATCTGCCACATAGCAATAACTCTATCTGCCACATAGCAATAACTCTATCTGCCACATAGCAATACCTCTATCTGCCACATAGCAATAACTCTATCTGCCACATAGCAATAACTCTATCTGCCACATAGCAATAACTCTATCTGCCGCACAGCAATAACTCTGTCTGCCACATAGCAATAACTTTATCTGTCACATAGCAATAACTCTATCTGCCACATAGCAATAACTCTATCTGCCACACAGCAATAACTCTATCTGCCACATAGCAATAACTCTATCTGCCACATAGCAATAACTCTATCTGACACATAGCAATAACTCTACCTGCCACATAGCAATAACTCTATCTGCCACATAGCAAAAACTCTACCTGCCACATAGCAATAACTCTATCTGCCACACAGCTACTACTCCAACGCTACTCAACACAAATAGCGCATTCCTCACAATCAATACAGGGGGATTTTAACACGCACCTTTGCTACCTCCAAAGACAGCGCCAATTGCTGCTCGGATTCTTCCGGATCAAGCTCCTGCAGCAAACGTAGAGGAGCAGCAGGAAGTGAACATCGGTACTACAGTCAACTTCGCTAATAACGACTGCGGATATAACGACAATTCGCGAATAACGACAGCATTTCCATGCCCAGAGCAAAGTCCCTTCCAACTGTAATACATAATAATGAGACTTCGAGTATAACGACACTTCGCGAATAAGGACACTTTTCTGATGCCCTGCCGAATGTTGTTATAAGCGAAGTTGACTGTATACCGTGGCATGCACGTCAGCACTGTATCAGTCAAAGTACAGGTATCCAAGTTCAGAGCGGCAAGAGTAAGGCCACAAGGGTTACTAGTTACTACCGATGCATGTATCTACTGCACATGCTCATCGGCTAATACATGATTGTATCAGACAACATTGCGTCATGTGACAGTGCACACAAAAAACCCAGAGCAGGAGGTCAAAGTATACACAAGCACACATACATGCGCACACAGACATGCGCACACACAAAAACAATGAGTACGCACGCACGCGTGCGCACGCACACACACACACAAATACATGTGTACATGTACATGTATTGTACTTACCTTCAGGATGACCTCGTAATCATCCATTGCTTTCTTCAGATTGCCTAGCTTCTGATTGAGGCGAGCACGGTTAAACAGGATGTTCAAGTCACCAGGCGCATACCTGTGACCTGGTAACACATTTACACCATTAGAAGCCAAATACAAAGTTAGCCACCGCGACAGTGGACATAGTAAGCCACCGCGATAGTGAACGTGTGATTGTAAGAGTGAGAAGACTCGGTAACTTATCCTGAGCTTGACAAGTCAATACAGTCAGCACACACTACACAGCTACTCATTCTGAACTTGACAGTACAGTCACCACACAGTCACCACACATTGCTATTTCACAGCCAGCACAGCGACACACCTGGGCATTGCGATAAGGAGCCGAGCAACTCTTGCCATCTACAGGACATGTAGACGTTGTACCGTCACTGAAGATGTGCGATGCGTCAACATGTGGCTGGAAGCGGAGTGAAAGGCCTACAGCCACATCTACACACCCTAGTTGAAGACCCAAATATCCCAGTTTTAACATGACCATGCTTTGGGACTGACACTGATAATGATCGTCCTGTCAGCTGTGACATGTTGACCATCTCGGACCAGCTGACTAGGTGAAAATATTGCTCAACAAATTCTCTCTAGTAGTGTAGCTCAAGTGCTTGTGCTTTCAATGAGTGGCCTGACTTTGCTACATTCCTGCTATGAAACTCACGATTGACGAGGTCTTCTTCAAGGTCTTCTATACGTATGCAAGAGGCTATGTTCCTACCAATGCCAGCATGAAAAGGCATATTTGTACAATAATTACGTCTCACCTTTGGAGTAGCACTCCAGTGCCATTTTCTCGTCGTTGCGCTCCAGAGACTGTTCAGCCAATGTGACCCACTGCTCCGGATCATTGGGTTTTAGGTTGGCAGCGATGAAGGAGAACTGAACGTGCACAAACACACACAGACAGGATGGAGGGGAGGGGGATCAGGATCTATAGAGCACAGCCTACACTAGCCATAGTCACAACTCGACAGAAACGAGATAGAAGCTTACCTGAAAAGCACGCTCCTTGTCTCCTTTCTCCTCTAACGCCAATGCAAGGGTTTGGTAAGGTTCCGAAACAAAGGGAGCTGTTTCAACACCCACACGCACACACACACACACACACGCGCACGCACACACACACACACACACACACACACACACACACACACACATGCACACACACAGTAACAAAAAAAGAAGCAGGGAGGCTAGAATCAGTTGGCGGTGCTTATTGATCCTAACTGATGAAAAAACACCTTGACAGGATAGGGCATTCGCTAACTGTAGATCATCAACAGGCGGCGAGTTTAAACTCGGATACCGAGCCAATGTTGGTAGGCTGTTCATTTGCCCAATGGAGATATGTAGGAACTAGGGGTGCGTTTGGTTGGTACGATCTAGAACAGGATCGAACAGCTGGTGCACATGGAGCAGCCTCATGCCAACCAAACGGTACTCTAGAAACAGAGCACATTTTTGTGGAAAAATGTGCCAAACTTGGTGCATTCTTCAAAATGTGTATGGGTCACCATGGTCACTTAGTACGGTACGATGAGTCCAACCCAAAGGCGTATGCACGTGATCATTTGGGAACAAAATCGATGTTCCCGCCAGGTTTCACTGTGAAAAAGTGAAACTGCTCGGTCTGCTCCGGCCTCGAGGCCGGAGCAAGCAGAACATATTCTGGCCGACCCAGAACAGGTGCAGTCCCAACCAAACGCGCTGTTCTGGTGAATCCTGTTCTAGTCCGCACCAACCAAACGCGCCCTAGGTGTCAGTTATCCTTTCTACATAATAATTTAAAACGATAATAAAAAGAACTTCTGCTCCATCTCCAGACAGTAGCTGTAGCTGTTAAAAAAAGAGGAATTTTCAAACCATTTGAAAAGAATCTGCATGGACAAATATTCGATAATGACAATAGATAACTGCATTATTTTTTTACAACTTGCAGAAGAGAGACCATTGTGGGTGCTGTGTGGTGTGGTGCGCAAAACATCAATTTTATAAAATGTTTCCATCTCCGGACAACAAGCTGTCTAAAAAGAGTCTCAGAAGAGACAAAGAGTCTCACAAATCAGTTTTAAACTCCGCAAACTTAGCAAAAAACAATGGTCTGCCCTTTGCTGACCTTGTTGTATAATAGTCATACACTTGTTCACAACTTCATCATAGTTGCAGCGTGCAAGAGCCATGTTAGCTTCGCCAAACATATCCTTGAGCTGCTCAGGTAGTACAGTGCGCCGTCGCACTAACTTATTCTGCACGATCACAAGAAGAAGAACAACAACAAGAACACCAATACTCGTGAGAAGAAAGATTCCCAACACTCGCTATAGCCAGAAGTGTTGCGATGACAATCCAGCTACACTACTCACAGCCAGTGTACTGCATGTACCGGTACTGTTAGATAATCACATAGAAAAAGCAAAGCTAGAAAGGAACTACACGCACACACACACACGCACACACACACACACACACGCACACGCACACACACCTCAGACCTGCCCACCGCAGAAGCGATGATAGCGAACAGCTATGATAGACATAGCAACTTGTGCTGGGATTACACTATTCAACAGCTTGCAAGGCTGATGAATTGACCACCACTACTTTTTTAGCCTGGTATCCACCACAAAGCTGATTGAAGTGGCTTTTTCTGGCCAGTGAATCCCTATTTTTCATTTTTTCCATTTTTTATTCTTTTCTTTTTTTACACACACACCTCAGACCTCAGACATGCCCATCGCGGAAGTGATGATAGCGAACAGCTATGTTAGACATAGCAACTTGTGCTGGGATTACACCATTCAACAGCTTGCAAGGCTGATGAATTGACCGCCACTATTTTTAGCCTGGTATCCACCACATAGCTGTTTGAAGTGACGTTTCTGGCCAGATTCTGGGATTCACTGGCCAGAAAAAGTCACTTCAAACACACAAACACACACACGTGGACTTCACACACACACACACACACACACACACACACACACACACACACACACACACACACACACACACACACACACACACACACACACACATACACACACACACACACACACATGTGCACAAACACACACGAGCTTGCACACACACACACACACACAGATGTGCACACACACACACACACACACAAGCTCACACACACACGCACACACACACACACGACCACACACGCCCACACCTACATCCGAAAGTCCATATTTCATGCAATCCCCAGTCACTAACCTGGCCAAATAGTCTCTTCCGCCGACGCTTTTTGTCAAGCTCCATTGCCGCATAGAACTCAGCTGCATCAGGATCTGCAGTGACGTGTTAGCATAATGCACACGCACACACACGCACACACACACACACACACACACACACACATACACACATGCAAGAACACATGTAGACACACTTTTGTAGTGGTGTGTTTTCAATCAGTTGTAAGAGGAACAGTCTAAGACACGGCAGTCCACGCAATGGTCATGAATACCTCTAAGATCCACCTCCACGGTAAGACTGAAATTACGTACCATCCTCGTCGTCTTCATCGGCATGTTTCCGTTTCCGCTTGAGATCACTGATGCCTGCACCGATGGCTTTCGATATCGCTGACTGCGACTCTTCATCACCATCACTATCATCGCCACGGTTCACCAAGTTGTCTTTTCGGCCTTGGTCTAGAAGGCTTAGTGCGACAGCTACTTCATTGCCACCTGGATGAATAGGGAAAGAAGAAAAGAAGGAAAAGAGAAAGGAGGAATGCAGCTGCGATGAGCCAAATGGTGGAGACGCTTTGTGCCAATTGTCTCAATACTACCTGCTTTTCTGTGTGATGACATGTCAAAGAGGAACTAAATTCAAACAAGGCGTGTGCATGCATGATGATCACACACAGGTGCACGGATGAACTACAGTACATTCATAATTCATGTGTACGGATGCAGTACGGATGCAGTTTTGAGAGCTCTGCATCCTTTTGTGGAAGTAGTCCCAAACCCGCACCTGGCCGCGGGGTCTTTCAACCCTGGTAATGGCTCTAAATGCTGATATGGATCTTGCCCTACTTGGTTATGACCAGCTACAAGAGCTTGGCCGAAAACACGGTATCAATGGCTGTGATGGATTTGCAAGGCCAGAACTGGTCTGCGCGCTTCGGAATGCCGGCATCGGATCCTCCTGGACTTCCGCCAGTAAGTGCCAAGTCGATGTCTTTGCAAGTCTTAATTCTTCACCTGACCACGGAAGTATCATCATTTAATTCATTGAAAGCCGAAGTAATCTGTATCAAAAGCGAATTAGGTGAATTGCAGAAATCCAGAAAGCAATCGTATGCAGCTACTGCCCGCCCATCAACCTGCACCCAACCACAATGTACGCACACAGCAGACACACGCTCGCCAAATGCACATGTTGCACCGTACAGCACTATGGACCCTTACGCACATTCAACCAGAAAGGTCATGGGTGCACCGGATCAGCAGCAGACCATGCCTGCGCGGCCAAACCCCCAGCTTGATTCAGACTGGCAACAACATGAAACCAGGCGCGAACGTCGTGCCCGTACTCAACAGGAACGCGCCAGACAGGGCCCACTTTCACCTGGCGCCAGCACCCCTGCAGAGATAGGGGAAGACCCAAAGAGTACGGAACCCGCACTTAAGCGCACTATCACCTCCAGCTACAAAAAACCCCGCCCCCCTGCACCAGGGAAGTCGCAGCTCTGTGGCGTCCAGCCCGTCAAATATGCAGCTCTATATGTGGGAGGGATTAATCCTGGCTGCCACGCAGATGGAATCGTACATTGGTGCAGGGATCAGGACGTTGAGGTCGTATCATGCAACATTTCAGAATCCAAATACTTTGGCACCGCTTTTGCACATGTGCTGATAGACGCAAAGGACATGGATACAGTCAGCAAACCCGACTTCTGGCCGTCAAACGTCTCTGCCCGACCCTGGAAATTCAAATCCGATGATGATCGCACTTTAGGCAGTGTAGACCAGCGTCGCTACTCAACAGACAAGAAACAATGAGTTTAACACTCAACCCATTGGCTCCACCTTTCCGTCCTGCACCGACAACCACGCACACAACTTCACATGCAAATGCTGATCTCTTCCCGGGTAGATTGCTAAATCCCGAAGCGAAAACATTCCAGCCCCTGCCATTACCGGCTACCAGTCACCCATTTGTCTGCTTTAACGCTAGATCAATACGGAACAAGGTCGCGGAATTAACTGACTTCTGCTCGACGTGGGACCCGCTGTTCGTTTCTATTACTGAGACATGGCTGCACGGAGCTCAAATTTTCTCTATCCCAGGATACGACTGTTATCGAAGAGACAGACCTACAACCGAAAACAAAACAAACAGGTCCGAACTTTTGGCGTATGGTGGAGTTGCTCCTCTGGTGAAGTCTGGTGTATTTCCTTCTGTTATACATCGTTCGGACCTTCACGCTCCAAATTTCGAAGCTACGTTTGTAGAGATTGAGTTTCCGCTGAAGGGTACCGGAACACAGACATTTGGATCCGGGAAGTCCCTGCTAATTGGATCCCTCTACCACCCACCCTCGAACACGGCTGCCGCCATTGATACATTTTGTAACTCTCTCCAACGCTGTCTGACTGTTGTCAAAGCTACAACATCTGCAGTAGTGTTGATGGGGGATTTCAACGCTAGGTGTTCAGACTGGGAGGGGGACATTACCGACACAGCAGGTCACCAATTGCGATGTTTGCTTAAGATATTTTCTTTGGAGCAATTGGTAAACTTCCCCACTCACGAGTCTGCCTCGGGCCCTGGAGCGGCGCTGGATCTTGTAATAACGGATATTCCCCACGCCATTGACGACCTCCATGCTGAAGCACCTATGGGCCAATCTGACCACTGTATTGTTGTTGGTAAAATTAAAATGTCACAGTCCCCGCAGTCTCCTGTCTCTGAGCAGAAACAGCTTCCACATCGAAGTAACCTTGCTTCATTGAACATCTCATCCGTGCCGAATGAAACGGCAGTTGCGCTCAATGAGCGTCTATTCCATATTGACTTGGAGGCTGTGCTCCAACTACATCGGGGTGATCCATCCCTATCTGCAGATATGCTGTACGACACTTTGGAGGAGATACTGCAGTCCTACTTCTGCATGACGCACCTCTGCGACGGACGTAAACATTAATCCTTTTTAACAATATCCGAGGTGAAAAATAACTGGAAACAGGATGTGCAGTGTCTTCAAGCAAAAAGTAGGGAGTTCAGTTCCGGTCACTGAAAAGCGAAAAATGCAGTCACAGCTCGCCTGTACAAAGTGAATGGGCGCCTCGTGGCTGCAGTTCGAGATGCAGTTCGAGGCCCGAGTATCTTCTCCCGCGGCCTTGTCGATGCTATTTTTAGGTAGCTGAGGTCAGTACCTTTCCAATGGTTCCACACATGTCATGCTTCCAAAAATAATGTCTCCGCGCTTGGCGCGGATGCACTTCGAAGTACTAATTTCGACCAGATCCGTACTCGGCCCCGCGAGGAACACCCGATTTTCGTGTCCAGCGGCCTCAAATTAGCCTAAACCAAGAGGATTCTAGAACATTGAGGCTCGTGCTTTATTGTGGTAGAAGGAAAATGATCACAGAAACCAGCCCATGGCGATTTCCTGGCGGTAGACGAAAAAAATCGAGTGAACTGCGCGCACACTGTAGAAGCAGGGACGGTGAAAACGTGTGACTTGTGCAAGTAGGCGCGCACGGCATGCATGCACACATCCTGTATCGCCATATGTATGCACCAGATAGTGCAGTGCTGGACGGAAACCACACGGCTCACATACATACTTGCATTTACTTCTGTGACTATTTTCTCCCCCGTTTTCCGATCTTCAATCGACTATAACTCTAGATTGCCTTGGAATTTTGGGTTCAAATTTTCACACGTTGTTTCTCACATCTTCCCGGTTTAGAAAAACTAGCGTTTTATGCGAGACTCGCGAATTTGGTTTTTCGATTGAAGTCCCTACAAAAAGTAATTTATGTCCAAAGCAAAGGGAGAAAGCATGTTTTACCCAGGGTGCTTTTAATACGTATAAAGAATTGAAGATGACAGTGTGGTGTGGTGTGGGGGAGTTTGATTTTAACATTCTGCATTTTCCTACAATTATTATAATGAGAATTGGAACATCACAAACCAAACTCTGTATCCAACAATATTGCTGTCTGACCTATATCACTTTTCTCATCGTCACTGTCATACTCGCTCGCCAGCTCCTCTTCAGCATCGGCTCCTTGCACAATTTCACTGAGCTGATGATCAACAGACCATTGCTGAAAAGAGATGTCTCCACGCAACAGACTGACAAGGCCAGTTGCTTCTTCATCCTCGTCTTCTTCCATTGCTAGCTAATTTGGGATGAAGCACTAATGAAAGTACAGGTGCGTTTGACTTTGAGCCAGCCCCGCTGGATCATGGAGTGCACTGCTCCATTTGATCTTACAGTAGTGTCAGTACGTCTACAGCTTGTTTTGAGAATTTTCTTTTCATCGATTCAAAAAATGAACAAAATAGAAAAGCTGACAGGATCGCTTTTCTCACGTGCGATATCATGCCAGCGCGGTACCGGTACATATACAGAAGCCTTGCTTGGTAGTTACGCGTCCTCGCCTTGTAACATGCTGTCAAAATCGAAAAACATACCGGTACATGTACAACACTGCACTGAGTCATGCGCTAGCGTTCATTTACCATGTTGTACGAATCGCATGCGCACACGACCTGATCAGGTCGTGTGCGCATGCGATTCGTACAACATGGTAAATGAACGGCCGGCTGCAGCGTGAACATGGTGAAGCTAGCCTGAACTGAATCGTGAAGTACGTACGTACGAATTAATATGGCTGTTTCAGCCAGCGATTTTTGGCCATCTAACATGGCGGGGGGTACCCGCTGATTTTTGCAAAAAATCAAAGATTAATCATTTTTACGTTGAGATTAAGGTGAGTTGCTATCATTCTTCCGCGATTTACCGCCGCTAGCCCCACATTTTTGATACTAAATCCGCGGGAGTGGAAAGCTGACGCGCACAGCAACATTTTGGTACCAAACATTCCTTGATCGGACGAAGGAGAAGGAAGTTGCTTTCTGTTTTGGCGCAGTGGAATTATCGACTGAAATTGCTGTCAGTATATTGTTAGCTACCTTCATCACGCTCGTGGTACGTCTTCTGGAGTTATTCAGTCACCACTCGAGGTTTTCCTCGCATCCTCGGGTAGTTGTCCGTTATATTTTCGCAAGTTCTTTTGAATACGATGGTGAAATCAAAAATACGATGGGCCTTTACTTTTCTCTGTTTCCAGTGAGAGATATGCACATCTGCGACGCATCGCACGACATGGAGCACCATGCAGCGCATTTACAGCATCTATGCCGTGTTGGAGGCGCAAAATTTACTGCGTGCTCCCAACAGACGAGATATCCAGTGTCTGACTACACTGAAACGATGAAAAACGTATTCAGTATTGATGTTTGTAATGACGACCCTACCATTCACCCAACATATATCTGTGCTCTTTGCCAAAGAGTGCTGAAGAGATCACAGAGCACAGAGAAGTTCAATCCCAGTGGCGGTGGTTGTGGACAAGGGGTAACATTTAGTTAGAAAAGACCTGAACCTGTGATTCGCAGAGTCTGCACCAAGTTTCAAGAAAAATCGAAGGGTGGCCGACCAAGCAAACGGATAAAAACAGCAAGCGGAGCATGCAGCAAAAATGACATCAAGCAGTAGCAGTGCATGTGCATCTAGCAATAAAAGTAAAAAGTAAATTATCGTGTCCGTTCCCGAAGGGAACTCACGACGGCCGCTAACACCCGGTAAACCCTATGCATCTAGCAATAGCATGGATATACCTGAAAGTGAGGCGTATGACATATCTGCACCTGATTATGAAGCAGAGTGCAATTTGACTATGTCAAGATTTGCCGACAGCAGTGCAGCAGCCACAGTACAATGCATGATCTGCCGCAGCATGCCGAGCAATGGTGTTCGGTCACCATGCTGTTCTAGAGTATTTTGCACGAAATGCATATGCCAAACGTTAACTAACGGTGCGCAGTGTCCAGCCTGCCAACATACCCTGCGTGCTTCAGAACTGGCAAAGCCAAGCGACCTGTTCTGTCAACTGCTTGCGAACTGGTCCGTCCACTGTGGATCAAACTCGGTGGTGATCACGGCGGAGGATCTTTTAAGTTTGTCCTGCAGATCGTGAATGTGCAGCGGCCGAATTCACTCCTCAACACTATCCCGATTTGCATCTTCGAGGCACAAGACACGCCATCGAACCTTGAAACCGCGCTAGGAGTCTATCGTGACGAGGTCAGAGATCTGCAAACAACAGCAACATGGAAGAACAAGTCGTTCAAATTGTTTTTCTTTGGCGACTACGAATATCAAACGAAAGCATATGGTTTGTCGGGGTCCAGTGGCACCGACCATGCTTACACTGTCTATGTCAGAAGAAGAATATGGACATTCCACCAGCCCTAAACCCAGATGCCGATTCTACCAGCAGAACACTAGAAACTCTGTACAACGATTTCACTGGATTCACGAACAGTGGCTCAAATCTAAAGAATGCAAAGAACTACAACAACAGCATACGTCCAGTGATCTTACCTATTCCCGAGGAGAATGTTGTAATCGCGGCTCTTCATCTGGATCTGGGTATTTTCCCATGGATGCTGACTGCTTTTCAGGCTGAGCTCAAAGCCCTCGACATTGAGCTTGCCAGAAGAACAGCTGCTGCAGACACCGCCGTTCCTGCCGCCGTTGCTACTACAGCAGACACCGCCGCTGTTTCTGCTGCCACTGCCGTCGTTCCTGCTGCCACTGCCATCCCTGCAGCCGTCCCTGCAGTCGTTCCTGCTGCCGTCCTTGCAGCCGTTCCTGCTGCCACTGCCGTCCTTGCTGCCACTGCCGTCCTTGCTGCCACTGCCGTCCCTGCAGCTGCTCCTGCAGCCACTGTCGCTCCTGCAGGCGTTCCTGCTGCCACTGTCATCCTTGCAGCCATTGCTGCTACAGCAGTAGCTGGTGATGCTGGCAGCTTTGAAAAGCTTTCGTCACTGCATGAAGCCAGCAAAACGGATGAGGAGATTTCTGCAGTTACCCAACAACTACATGTAGTGCAGCAGCAAGTCCAGTACACTGTTCTCTTTTCTCAGCTTGATACCTGCTGCCACAGTGGAGGGCGTGACACAACACCTACAAGACCAGTGGAAGAATGGTGATGCACGCCGTACTGTATTGCTTGCGTGGAGACAGTCACTCACCGACCAAATGGCCGCAATAAAACAGAACAAAAAGTGTGAGGGGCCATGTTGAGCAAGCATCGAGCCAGTTTTCCAGCGCAATGGAATCGATAGGCAAGCATACCATGGAGGTGCTTTTGTGGGCAACCATGTGCACATAGCTCTTCAGCCAGCAGTGACAACTGAAATAACCCCAGCACATTTATCTGCAGTAGCTTCTCGTGCGCCGCTGCTGCTCTGCTGCTCCCAGAGGCAAATCGAATTCATGAGGATTACCAGCACCTGATGTCCCTGTATGGCGAGTGCACTGCCCTCTTCAGCCACTGCAGGCCTGTGGACGAGGCCACCATATCCAAGCTAGAAGTAGAAGGCTTGGTGGAGACATTTATGACTGCATGCCGAGATATCGTCGTCAGCAAAAAGCTCGGCCACATCACGCCGAAATTGCACATGTTGGAGGTGCATGTCGTGCCGTCCATCCGACGGCGAGGCGTTGGTCTTGGTCTCCTCGCAGAGCAAGGGAGTGAGAGCATTCACGCCCGCTTCAACGAGCTAAGGAGACACCACGAGGCCATCCGCAATCCCTTGGAGCGCCTCAAGTCTGTTGCACAGACGCATTTGATTGCAACTCTCCCACAACACGAGTCGCTCCGTCCAGTCAGCAGGAAGAGGAAATCCTCACAGTAAAGTTAGTGTATCTCTGCATCTTGTTTGCTGGCCTATCTGAAATTCTCGGCCTTCCATCGAGCTCTTTTAGCTTTCTCTCCTCTCAAAATAATTCAGATTGTTTCCTTTGTTCTCATCTCAATCTCTTTCCTCACAATATTTTCGAGGCGATCGAGGACGCGTCTGACGCGCGTGTCAGCAAGTACAAAAATTCGGTTCGTCATGGTTTCGATGTGAAAATGTAATAATTCGCTTCGTATTATAAAATACCGTTGGGATTTGTCAAAAACGGCGCAAAAGCCGCCATATTGTTAGATGGCCAAGTGGGAACAGCTAGCCGTGAAGTGAAGGCCAGTACGAGTACGTCACAGTGAAGGGACGGTCCCGCAACGGACTGGATATGTTTCGGAAACATACGACTTACGAGTGATCTTGAGCGTGTGGCCATTCTCCCTTTCGCACCTATGTTGCTCAGTGTTGGCGACCACTAACCAGGCAGATTTTTTACTTCATTCCAATGTTGGTTTCTCTGTCTTGCCGAAGAACGCCGTTTTTTTTGGTGCTGAGCGCACGACACAGCTAGGACACCGCTGAGAACATGATTGAATGAATAAACAGCGACTGCGGCTGTGTGTGCCGGATATCGATGCGGAAAATACCGGATTGCGGAGCATGTGCAAGAGAACGGTCTGAACCACTGATTTGGAGTTGCCTCCTGTACAGGTTAGGTACAGTCCTAATGCAGAAACCTGCATGAAGTGAAGTCACCTCATCTCCAGTGCCACGTTGCCATGTTCCTCTTGAAGGCAGGCATTTTTAAGACATGCTACATTGTATAATGTATATCACGTGTCGGAGTGAGAGAGTTCAGAATTCATGGACCTTGACTAGCCCGGCTAGCGTGTGCATGACGCACTCGAGTTGCTACGTGTGAGGCAGAATAACACGACAGCGTGGCCCGGGTGGATCTGTAATAACCAGGGGCGTCAGCTCAGGACTGAACTCAGTCGTAAAAAAAAAACCCATCAACGCAACGGTTGGATCATTCTGCTCCTCCTGCACTCATCATCAGTTTCCGGGACCGGATGCCGCGGCTGTGAGTGTGTGTGTGTGTTTAGTGAAACCAACACGGCACACTGCAGCTCCCCACACGGCACTGCCCGGCCTTGATACTAGTACGCGCCGCTGTGAACCCGAGTGATATAGCTGTGAAGCCGACGGCCGTGTGTTCAAACTCGGAAATCCGTGGACATACCTGCCAGGCCGCCTGCCGCATGATCCGCCATGGCGGCATATGGCTATCTATGGCCAGAGTCAAGGTCCAGTACATGCCCGGGTGTCCCTCCAGCTCTATTGGAACAGAGCACACCGGTAAGCTACAGTAGAACATGTTAAGGCGTCCACTCAGAGTCTATGATGAGATGACCAGATTTCCCAGGGAACCCCACTACAACTAGGACCAAGGGATGCGATGTCCAATCAATAAGATAAGAAGATGGATAAGAAGACCACCTGTAGACGGTGACCACATTTTGAAGGTCCCTTGAGCGGTCGCTGTAGCTGAC